ACTTTGATGAGACTGATACTGTAAAACACACATCATTACTGTTCGCATCACTGTGATCAAGAGCTGTGATTCAGATGTGATAATGAGCATTTGGTTATGAGACTGGGTAGTCTGACCAATCAGAGCAGAGCAGCTCTCAGAGAGGCGGGGTTTAGACAGACTGAATCCTTCATCAAACTGTCAATATGTGAGAAAAGTGTTTTTTGAACTTGGATGCATGTAATTACAGGAGACATTCAAAACAGAGTCTTTAAAGGGGTCATGAACTGGCTTTTTAAATTTGATTATATTGTTGTCTGAGGTCAACTTATGACGTTCGCTTGGTTTTTGCATTCAAAAACATCAAAATGAATAAGTAATAGGCTATTTTGTACCCTAGTTTTGAGCCTAGCTGACAAATGCTGGGTTTTTATGGGCGTCTCACACTGAAGACTTGGAAGTAAACGCCCACTGCTGTGATTGGATAACAGTTTTGCATATTATAATGAGTTTCGACTCACCTGTCGGTCTACGTGGGGAAATTGTTTTGAAACGTCCAATGTTGTAAAATGGCAACCGGAATGATTCGCCCACACATGTTCGACCCAGAGTCCGTGTGTTGCACCATTCCAGATCCAATATAGACGGCACAGCACCGTTCTTTACTCTTAATCGCTCTGCAAATCCAGTCTACAAAACAATCCTCAGTGAACAGACGGACGATGTTTTACCTCATCAGCTGAACGTCATTAAAAATAAAGTTTATCCATGCAGTCCTATTGGAATCCAGAGGAAGCTTATGCAGCGACTGTTTTCTTCCACAATATTCTGTATCGCTCGGTAGCTGGATCCGGTTTGTCATCACGAGGTAGGCATCTATGTTATTTAGCAACGCATTCTCATCCCAAAGCGCCATATAGGACGCTTTTGCAAAAGCGTAAATATCCAACGCACATGGCACCCTTTAACGTCTAATGAGACGCTTCGGTTAATGGTTAAGTTTAGGTATGGTGTAGGGTAAGGGTTAGACCACTAGGGGGCGCCTTCTGCCCAAATATATCTGGGTCTCATTTCACGTTAAAGGGTGCCATGTGCGTTGGATATTTACGCTTTTGCAAAAGCGTCTTATATGGCGCTTTGGGATGAGAACGGGCTCTATTTAGCTATGCGTGTAATGCGCGAGTCGTGGGCGGGGCTATACCGGCCATGTTGAAGTAGGCGTTGATCTTCTTCTGCGGGGGTGGGGTTTTATCCTCTTTGACGTCATCGTTCCCCGAGTCGTTTGCTGAGCCTGGTGTCAATAAAAGCTTTTATTGGACTAACAAGGACGTTTTCAGTTCTGAAACTTACAGGATATTCGTATAATATGATGACCTCTTAGAAGTCAAAAGCTCAAGGAAAATGTGATTTCTCAGTTCATCACCCCTTTAAAATACAAAGCAGGACATTTTGGAGTTTAAAGAAAATGTCCAAAATATGCTTTACATTCATTTTTGTCCTCCGGCTCCTGCAGGGGTGCAGTAATCATCGGTCCAGTCCGGCTGATGGATGGTTCTTCCTGAAGATTGGACTGATAAGTGCAGTGGCGTCTGGCTGTCATACTGTGGCTGAAGCTTGTTAGGGCTCAGACCTGAGAGGTCTAAACGCTCCCACTTTCAATTTCCTGCTCCAGTGACCCCTGCTTTCTTCTCTGGGGGTGTGTGAGTGCATCAGACCATCCACCATCTGCTTACTGCTACATATAGATTTACTATTTACGGAATAGTGCACACTATACACTGCCTAGTATTTCGTTCTTTTAAACGGTACGTGAAATATATTTCATGATATAAATGATCTAAACGGACATGAGTTGTGTCTATCATCTGGGTAATTAAAACCGTTGCGTAGGGAGTGATTGTCTTATTAAAGACAGAGACATGCAAATACTTTAAAGGAGTAGTTCAGTACTTTTGCTGATAATTTACTCACCCCCATGTCATCCAAGATGTCCATGTCTTTCTTTCTTCAGTCGAAAAGAAATTAAAGTTTTTGAGGAAAACATTCCAGGATTTTTCTCCATATAATGGACTTCAATGGGAACCAAACGGTTCAAGGTCCAAAAGACACTTTGGAGAACAGAGAGGAACAACATCAATGACATTATTAAAGTAGTAGTTCAATTTAATTTACTCACCCCCATGTCATCCAAGAAGATGTCCATGTCTTTCTTTCTTCAGTCGAAAAGAAATTAAGGTTTTTGATGAAAACATTTTTTTTTTTCCATTTACAGGTTTTATTTTCCATGAGTGTACTTAAAACCCAGGTGGTTCATTAACCTTCCCTGACCTCCATGCAGATGTTGCATTGAATATTTACTATAAACAGCATACTCAAGACACTCACATATGATTAAATCACCTTCTGGCCCACTGAGTATGAAAAAAACATACAGGCTAAGTGTAAAACTTTCAAAAGTTTTGGGCATTCATTTACACAGCGTTTTGGGGGCCTGAAAACACACTTTTGTAAATGGGTTTCAAAGGACACGTTTTTGAAATAGACCGTTATCGTCTCTGTGTAAACTACAAAAAATGTGAATTTGTGAAAACAGTGACGTCTATGCGCTTATTGTTTCTTTACAAAATGACATCATGGATGGGAATCATTTTGATTGTACGGAGGCGTATTGGATTCACTTGAAGAAAAAAATCTACTCTGAATTAACAAGTTAATTATCTCAGAATTACGAGATAATTTTTCATGGGAAAAAGCTTTTGTTCTGTTTATCCAACCCGATCTCACGACCAAGTCGTACGAATTCGACGAATGATTAAAAATGGCTAATTCGTAACAATTCATACGAACTCACTCGTGCGAATTAATACGATTTTCCTAAATCGTACATATTTTACGAATTGGCCAATTCGTATGAATTCGTACGAATGACCTACCCCTTACCCCGCCCCTAAACCTAACCATCACGTGGGTTTAGACAAATTGTACGAATTAGTACGAGTGAGGTCGTACGAATTAGACACTTTTTAATCATGCGTCGAATTCGTACGAATTGGTCGTGAGATAGTGTTGGTTTATTTGAATTAACAAGTTAAATTTTCATGAGAAAAAAAGTTTTGCTGTGTTTTTCTGAATTAACGAGTTAAATAAAAAAAACAGAGCGAAAAAAAAGTTTCCATGAAAAATTAACTCGTTAACTCAGAAAAACAGAGCAAAACTTTTTTTTGTCATGAAAAATTAACTCATTAATTTAGAAAAACAGAGCAAAAACTTTTTTCCATGAAAAAATATCTCGTAATTCTGAGATAATTAACTTGTTAATTCAGAAAAACAGAGTAGATTTTTTTCTTCAAGTGAATGCAATTCACTTCCGTATTGTGTGTAAAAAAAAGCAAAGGAAAAACCTTTCCGTTTTTAGTACATTTTTGTCATGTAAAACGACATTAATTTGTACAAATATCTATTTATTTATTTATTTTATACAAAAAATTGTCCAAACAACAAAAATACATATTTAAAGAATTTTAAGAAAATTAACATTTGGAAATTCTGGAAACAGTTAAAATTATCCTATAATTATTTTTTATATTTTTTTATCCCCTCAATTACGCTCATGTTTCTTTTATAAATGTATATTTAAAAATCATAATTTTGCATACTGTGCAGAAATACAGTTAGACTACTAAAACACTTCCTAATAAAAAATACTGTCTATAAAAATTATGAATTATGAATTATAATAATTATGAATCCCCCCCCATTAAGGTTGACATTAGGTCGTGTCCCACATGACCCAGTGGAGGTGGTTCTGTATGTGCAAGTGCGAGACACACCGATTTAATGGGTTTCTTGTTCTGAATACTGTCTATACATCATGCATGAGGCATATAGCCTACGCCAGCGAAGCAGAAAGCATTTGCACTTTCAGTGCTTCCTTCATTGCTCATTGTTATCATCCTCAAACATACAGGAACATTAGTTTCAGCACCACTGTTTATTTCTGTATCTCACATTCAAGTGCTTCTGTGGACACTTTTTATCTCTGTCAGCCTGGAAACCCTTTAAACGTAATGACTTTAAAGACATACACAGCAATATTGCAAGATAGTAAAAAAGACAAAGATGTTTCAAAATGTGAAAATAGGCTAACCATGTACAGTGCATGTTAAGTCTAAATGACTGGAAATTGTAGCTACTCAGAAACAATAAGTTAAGTCAAAGACCTATAGAGTGCCGAAGTGATGACGTCACTTTGTAGGACAACGGTGCATGGGTTCACTCGGTCGAAAAGCTATGCATTTTCCCCATAGACTTTTGGAAAATTGCAAAAAATAAGATCTGTGTTTAACAAAGGGTTAAAACCCTTACACGTTTTGTCTAGCAAGTTAATCTTTACAAGTTAATCCAACATTTATTCATTTTGAAGCCTATATAAAGATTTGTTTTATATAACACAATCAGACACAATAAAGTTTAAAAACCATAAGCAGGTTATAACTGTGTGTTCTATGTCATAAATCAAAACGTGAAAATATTTAGAGGCTCTGTTCACCACAGACCTTATTTCAGGCGATTTAGCAAAATCCCATTCAAAAATCCCATAGGCTTTAGAGCGAGGGAACCGTAGTGCTAAAATGCTAACTCACTTCCGCGTTTTGGCCTACAGAGTGACGTCGTAACTTCACATAGCCTCACCTACTTGTTTTTTCTGACTTGTATTATTTATTTATTTATTTATTTTTGCAAAAATGCGTCTGTTAGGATGCCTAGTTAAAGTTAAAATCTTTTTTATTGTTTTTTAAAAATCTGTGTTTAGTAGCTTTTTAGTCAAGACTTTAAAGTTTGCGTACATACAAGAAACTGGCTTTGAATATTAAGAAATTAGTAAAAGTGTGACAGTTAGCACCAGCCACCAACCTTAATAATTGCAATGAAATAATTATTAATATTGTTAAATTAAAAATTTGCTAAACATGCCCGAGACAGCCTAAGCGTCCGTGCGCATGCGCGCAGAGAGACACGTGTTCAGTCAGCTGATCTGAGGATGTAAACACTGACCACGTGCGGCTGATCAATGAGCGCTGGACTTTGATCATTCAGTTAGTTATTAGTTTTGCAGTCTATCTCCTAAACGGCTGTGTGTCGTGTGTGTGTTTGTCCTGCTGCAGACGTTTTAATGGCCCCGTTAAAGTTTTGTGCCAATATTTCCTGGCTCTTCACGGAGTTGCCGGAGTTCACGCAGAGGATGCGCGCCGCGGCGCGTGCGGGGTTCCGAGCGGTCGAGGCGGCGTGGATCTACGACGCGGACCTGAAAGAGTTAAAAACTGTGAAGGATGAAACTGGACTCGAATTTGCGCTCATAAACACACCCCCGGGTAAGAGTGAACACACACAGTGATAGATAGATAGATAGATGGATAGATGGATAGATGGATAGATAGATAGATAGATAGATAGATAGATAGATAGATAGATGGATGGATGATGGATGGATATATGGATAGATAGATAGATAGATTCTTTCTGAAAGCGACGAGTGAAACGATAATTGCAGTGATATAATGAGAGCGTTCTCTAACCTGTCAGCTCACAGTTAAAGGTCTCTGAAGGGTGTTTATCAACGACAGGAATAGAATAACTTTCAGTTCATTGGTCACAGACATAATGGTGCTTCATATGCAGATAAAACTGCTTAATGGATTACATCTGACTTCTCTCAACTCACGGGGGAAGCGTGAACCCGTTACACTGATCTGATGCAATTCTGCGCTGATGTAAACACTATTGAAATCCCTCTTCAATTCCTTAGTTCAGCTTTAAAACACTGACCTCATTCAAACTGTGTTGTGGATAGTTTCAGTCTTAGGTGTGCTGTCCATCATCAGGTTTTAACTTCTTAGAAGGAAAGGTTCTATATAGAACCTTAAAAGGTTCTAAAGCGCTACGTATTTGGAACCCCTAAAATGCAATGCATATGAATGATCACAAAATTCAAGATATGGGGGTTAAAAAATGTAATTAATCAATATCAGACGTGAGCAGTGCCATTTCAGTTTTTATCCTCCAAAATCAGCATGATTAAAATGGGATATTAAGTTACTACAACAGTTTAATAAACTACAATTTAATTACATACAACAAAATGATGCAGAATAATGAAAAATATGAACGAATAATAGCCTTTAAAGAACCTTTGTGCCAAAAGGGTTCTTTCTTCTCATTATAGAACCTTTTTTAACATGAAATATCCTTTGGAGTTGAGTAAAGAACCCTATATAGAACCCTTTTTCTTAAGAGTGTATATCCTCCACCATTTTATGCATTAAAGTGACACAAACAAAAAGGGCTATGTGTCCATGAATCAAAATTAACTTGTAAATACAGTCATAAAGGAAACTTTGGAAATGTATATTGGAAAGAGATGCTGCAAACCTTTCTGGATGCTTTATCTCCCTGAAATGTCCTGTTGACACTTACGTATGTGTTATTTGGTGTGTCACTTTGTCCTGCAGGAGATTTAAATGCAGGAGATTTGGGATTGTGTGCTGTTCCCGGGAGAGAGCAGGAGTTCAGGCAAGGTTTGGATCTGGCGGTGCGGTTCGCTAAAGCACTGGACTGCAGAAGGTACTGGTGCGAGTCTTATACTGGGCTGGTGAAGAGCAGGGGTTTAGTCCAACTGACCAGTAGCACCTCATTGCAATACACGAGATCCAGGGGACGGAGTTGAATCCAGATCTAAGGGGTGGGGTTAGGTATCAGGGGGCGGAGATGGGTCGGTTTAGGGGTTAGGGATCAGGGGAGGGGATGGGTTGGTTTAGGATGGGGTTATGGATCAGGGGGCGGGTATAGGTAGGATTCGGGTGGGGTTAGGTATCAGGGGGCGGAGATGGGTCGGTTAGGGGAGGGGTTAGGGATCAGGGGGTGGAGATGGGTCGGTGTAGGGGTGGGGTTAGGGATCAGGGAAGAGGATGGGTCGGTTTAGGGGTGGGGTTAGGGATCAGGGGGTGGAGATGGGTAGGTTTAGGGGAGGGATTCGGGATCAGGGGCGGAGATGGGTCGGTTTAGGGTGGGGTTATGGATCGGGGGGGGAGATGGGTCGGTTTAGGGTGGGGTTATGGATCAGGGGGCGGAGATGGGTCGGTTTAGGGGTGGGATTAGGGATCAGGGGGTGGAGATGGGTCGGTTTAGGGGTGGGGTTAGGGATCAGGGGGTGGAGATGGGTCGGTTTGGGGTGGGTTTAGGGATTAGGGGTGGGGTTAGGGATCAGGGTGGAGATTAGTCGGTTAAGGGGTGGGGTTAGGGATCAGGGGCGGAGATGGGTCAGTTTAGGGATCAGGGGCGGAGATGGGTCGGTTTAGGGATCAGGGGTTGTGATGGGTCGGTTTAGGGGAGGGGTTAGGGATCGGGGGTGGAGATGGGTCGGTTTAGGGATCAGGGCGGAGCTTAGTCGGTTTAGGGGTGGGGTTAGGGATCAGGGGGTGGAGATGGGTCGGTTTGGGGTGGGTTTAGGGATTAGGGGTGGGGTTAGGGATCAGGGTGGAGATTAGTCGGTTAAGGGGTGGGGTTAGGGATCAGGGGCGGAGATGGGTCAGTTTAGGGATCAGGGGCGGAGATGGGTCGGTTTAGGGATCAGGGGTGGAGATGGTCGGTTTAGGGGTGGGGTTAGGGATCAGGGGGTGGAGATGGGCCGGTTTGGGGTGGGTTTAGGGATTAGGGGTGGGGTTAGGGATCAGGGTGGAGATTAGTCGGTTAAGGGGTGGGGTTAGGGATCAGGGGCGGAGATTGGTCAGTTTAGGGATCAGGGGCGGAGATGGGTCGGTTTAGGGATCAGGGGTTGTGATGGGTCGGTTTAGGGGAGGGGTTAGGGATCAGGGGTGGAGATGGGTCGGTTTAGGGATCAGGGCGGAGCTTAGTCGGTTTAGGGGTGAGGTTAGGGATCGGGGGTGGAGATGGGATATTTTGGCTTCATTTTTTATAGTCTATGGCTGGAAATAAGCTGTTTTGGATTTTCATATTTTATTCTATGACGTAATTCGATTTTTAAGTCTGTTACCAAGTGTCTAAATGAGACTAGAGGATTTCGGAGACACGAATCTACTCACCAGTCGTTTCTACAGATTCATTGTGTTTATAGTCGCTGCTCTTGCAAACTATTCTACCTCAAAACAACAGAAGCTTAGTGACTGTGGTTTAGGTTCTTTATAGCATACGTTTAGCTTTGTACTGTATTCAGGCTTTATAATTAATTGCGTTGTATTCATTTGTGAGGATTATCATGATAAACTTCTGGGTTTGCCTGCAAAAACACGTCATCGCTCCAGCACTCTATGGCAATATTACCAATACAAACATTGAACGAAATGAAGTGTGGGATTTACACGGAAGAGATCGCTTGTATTGCTTGTTGCTCGGTGTCTGGTTAGGACACAGGTTGCCTAATGTAACTATAGCAGGGATGCATTGTTTCAATGACCTGATTTATATTCACAGTGAAGCGCTTCACATTATGCAAAGCCTCGCTCAATGCGCACTGAAGCTGAGAGAATGGGAAACAGAACTTAAGTGTCTAGACACAAAGGTTCACTCTAAAATAGATTGAGATCATCTGAAATCATCTCTGCCCCAGACCTCCAAACGTCTCATCTAACACGGGATTCACATCCTCCACGGGAAGCCCGAGGTTCCAGCCGTTCTCGAGCCGAGGCGATCCGCTTTTACCGAGAGTAACTCGTGCTAATGTTTCTCTCCAGGATCCACCTGATGGCCGGGAGGGTTCCTGCGGGGGCCGAGCGATCTGCCGTTGCCATGGAGATGGAGGACACGTTTGTGCAGAACCTGAAACTTGCTGCAGGCGTCCTCTCACAGGTGACCTCTGACCCCTTCACTGCATCATGAGTCATATGGTAGAGGACCAGTGTGTGTTTGTATGGAGGAGATTCTCTGTGAAGTTCAGAATGTCAACTGTGGTTTGCCTGTAGTTTTTGGTAACCGATAATAACCGATAACCGATAAAGGGTTAATTCCTTTACATCCTCAAGCTGTCAATCATAGTAGCTTGTAAAAGCAAAAAATAGTAAGGGACCAGGGATGTACGATATATAAGGCACCATATCGGTATCGGACAATAATGTTCATTTTTAAAGTTATCGGCCGATAAGAAAAGTTAACCGATATATTAGAGCCGATAAATAATGGATTATTTCCTTCAGCTGAGACACTGTTCACGATTATGGTTTTGAACTGCTTGAAATATGATTGGAAACATTTTAAAAAAATGAAAATACAGTAAAGTGCAACATGTGCAACGCAAGTCTGTCATATCGGCTACATAAAACTATAATGAGGACATCATAATTGTGTGCTTGGGACGTGGAATTTAATGGTAAGTCTTTTGTTTTTGTAATCAGACTCTCAAAAATTATATAAAAATGTGGGTTTTGATTTATCAGCCAATAAATCTGTTATCTGTAATATATACAAAATTATCGGTTATCGGTCATAATTTTAATATCGGTGCATGCCTCGCTAAGACTGCTTATTTAATCAGTTATCACTAGCAATTTATCAAAATGTAACTAAATGAATTTATGCTTATTTAAGCAACAATTTGTTCTAATTCAATATAATTTTCATTTCTTTCCATTTACATTCCATTCCATAGACGCAATATTTGTCTTTCAGAATAATAATAATAATAAAAAAAAAACGTTTATTCAGCAAGGAGACATCGAATTAATCGAAAGTGACAGTAAAGACATTTATAATGTTACAAAAGATTATATTTCAAATAAATGCCCTTGGTTTGACAAATATGAAGCAGCACAACTGTTTTCAACATTGATAATAATCATAAATGTTTCTTGAGTATCAAATCCTCATGATTTCTGAAGGATCATGTGACACTGAAGACTGGAGTAATGATGCTGGAAATAATGACATTTTAAGAAAACATCAGCTGTTGTTCTTGACTGTACAGGAAGGGATTCTTGGACTGATTGAGCCAATCAACACCAGGATAACAGATCCACGATACTTCCTCCACTCCCCACACCAGGGTAAGACATCTCTTCTCCCATGGATGATTGTGCATTTTGATTCCAGATTGTTTACGCGTGTGTTTTTGTCCCGTAGCCGCAGGGATTCTCCAGAGAGTCGGTCATCCCAGCATCAGGATGCAGATGGTGAGTGAACACCGAAGTCAAGGGTTTTATTTCATCATTATTCATGCAGCTTTAGCAATCTTATGAGACTCTTAATAGAGAGACATCAAATATTTGTACTTTTTTCAGGATTATCGAAATGGAAAACGACTGAAGTTGATTCTAAACGTTGAAGTGACTTGACTAGTCTTAAATATTCATAATTTTAACAAAGATATTTGAAAACAAAATTATATTATATTTTTTTCTTCTTCAACCCCCTAGAAAAGAAGGACCACAAAAAAAAAAAAAAAAGAATTTTAATATCTCGCAACTTTTACGTTATTTCGCGCAATTCGAATTGTGAGATTTAGGGTACATTTACACAACCGCGAAGTACTAAAAACCGAAACGTTTTTTTCTTTGCGTTTTTCGTGTATAGATGACAACATTGCCGAAATGATCCCGTTCACACGGATCAGTGAAAACGACTAAACGCTGTTTTCTGCTGCCAGGCCAGTAGATGGCGATGTCACTGTGTAAAGAAACACGCCTATAGACTGAACAGAGAGTGCCCTCCGCTTCCGTCAAAACCGTGACTTCCCAACCGTGAACTCGAACTAGATCGATGTACTCCCAGTTACGAGCTCTGACGTAAGAAACCATACAAAACAAAATTTGGTTGTTTACATCTAGCTACCACAATTCCTTGCGCTCAGGTAGTTTGGCGTGACGCTACAGAGTCGTGGTTTGAAGTCGTAATTTACATGCTCAAAAACCTGCAGCATTATTTCGGAAAAAATATGAATGGTAGTCAATGGCGAGAGACAACTTCTCTCTTTTTATTCCGTCTGAACTGTGCCCTGAATTACATATATGATGTTTGTCAATTTAAAAGATAATTATGAAAGTTATACTTGCGAGGAGTGAACATTTAGACAGAGAAAAAGTATCAAACGTATCTTGTGTAGAAAAGTTAGCTTTTCTTTTACACGTGTGTGAAATCCAACAATATTCAATAAAAAAACAATATCGGCCGATATATCGGAATATCGGATTTTAAAACCCAAAAATATTTCAAAATCCTTTATCGGTCGGGCTCTAGTTGTCACTGACCGTCCTTCCCGGATAATACACTCACTTTCAGCGCTCTTTGAATAAATCATGGAGGGACGCTGTGCTTGTTTCCAGACGGAGGAGGAGTGTGTAAGAAAACACAGTGAAGATGATCAACCGCAGAACACAAGATGTGTGACTTCAGATTCTCTCTCCTTTTGCAGGACCTGTACCACTGGCAGATCATGGATGGAAACTTAACGCAAAATATACGCAAATACTTACCAATGACAGGTAAATGTGGGACTCTTCAAGTCAGTATGAAATTAAACTTATCTTGCACTAAAAAATGAAAACTCATGTTGTTCAACCCCGTAAGACTTTCGTTCATCTTCGGAACACAAATTAAAGCGATAGTTCACTTTGAAATACATTTTTGGTATGTTTTATCTTACCTCAAGTGCATCCAAGATGTAGGTGTCTTTGTTTCCACAGTATTTTCAATTTTGACATTTTTAGGTCAAACCGGTGTTGCGTATCAGTCATATAATGCAGGTCTATGGGAAGAGCATGCACAGAGAAGTTCAAACTAAACATGATTTAATGACTCGTGAATGTAAGTACACACTGATGGCCTAAGACACGAAACGAACAGTATTTCTATAGTTTTTACCTCTTGTTAACAGCCGTCGAACTGATCTGAATCAGATGTCCAACTGAACCGAACTGAACCGTCTCCAGACGTTACGGCGGAAGTGATCTCTCGCGCATCTACAGTACGTCACGCATTGTTTACACAGATTTCGGAAGTTTTACCTTTCACTAAACATATTTAGATATACGGGAAATCGCAATGGAAGACGATTTCGATATATCTAAATTTGTTTAGTGAGGGAGAGTAATTACTGACAGAGTTTACATTTAGGGGTGAACTATCCCTTTAATGGCAAGTCACATGACACTTCTCAGAAAAACAAGCTCTAACGTATGCTAACGGACAGGGGTGACACCATGCATTACTAAGTAATTAATTACAGTAATTTAACTACTTTTCCCTTGAAAAGGTAAGGGACTGATGTAATTGCATTACTGTAAACACTATTGAACAATTATATCAAACATGTAGAATGTTTTAAACGTGACCTTCCTTTAAATATATAAAATACAAATTTTAAGGATAATTTATGCAATTCTATATCTTATATAGAACAGTTTCATGTCTGTCCTTGGATTGTTCAACTGGTTGAGGTTTTGAGATTTAGAAAGTGATAAGTAATGTAATAGTTTTAAGAGAGAACAGTAATCTCAATACACTGTTGAAGATGCAATTACTAGGCTAATAATGAATTACTTTTTTTAATTTACCCAACACTGCATAACACACTAATCCCACAAAACGTGCCTGTCAGCTCAGCGCGGCGTGAACTGGCTTTAAAAAATAAATGTTCTTTATTGGCATTGATGGTTCCATGAAGAACCTTTAACATCCATGGAACATATTCAATGCACAAAAGGATCTTTATAGTGGAAAAATATTATAAAATATTTTATATATATATATAATATTTTAATAATTATAATATTGGAAAAATATTATAAAATATTATATATATATATATATATATATAATATTTTATAATATTTTTCCACTATAAAGATTCTTTTGTGCATTGAATATGTGCCATGGATGTCTTTGGGGAATCAAACATGATTCTTCTGTGGCAAAACCCTGTTTTGGAAACTTTATTTTAATATCTGTTCCTGGTTTTAATGTGAATGATTCATTAGTGCCTGTTTTTCTAAAGAAAGTTCGATAAATCGTCTCTTATTATGAATACGTTCGATAAATCGTCTCTTATTACGTTACTACTAGTGTGTCAGTCATTTCTACATCAGTGTTATTTTAGTATCATTAATACTATCATGTTTTTGTAAATATTCTGAATTAATTTTATTTTAATATTTTCTTTTGTCATTTTAAGCTTGGCGAAAGTTTTTGCAAATTTGTTGAACATGTTTTTAAGTTTAGTCTATTTCAAGAAATGTAGTTTATCATGGTATTAATTTGAGCTTTAGATAGCGATAAGAACCCTGCTGTTTCTGTCACAGGCCACATCCAGATCGCTCAAGTTCCCGACCGCCACGAGCCGGACAGCGATGGAGAGGTCAGCTTCTCGTTCCTCTTTAAACTGCTGGAGGAGCTGGACTATCAGGAGTACATCGGCTGCGAATACAAACCGCGGGGTGAGTGAAGGAAAGAGCTTTAAAATGCCTCTTGTTTTTAATCTTAAAGCTACACTGTGTGATTTTTACCCCCATCTAGTGGTGAAAATGTATATGACCATCCACTGAATATTAGTTTCTGTTCCTCTCAATTACGATTTCATTTTAACTCCTACGGTGGCCAATGTAGTCCAAGATTAACATGGCTTCCAGTTCAATCTCGTCCATGAGTGTAAACTCAAACGCAAAGCTTGAATTAACCGGTTTGTCCCTCTTTGGCTAATGTACTTTCAAGATGGAGGAGCAACATGGCGGCCGACATTAGAACCCCTTACCCGTATGTATTTTCAATGGCGTATTATACACTCACGAGAATACTTTACTACTTTAATAACGAAGTAAATATACATTAATGAGCACACATATTTTTGAAAGAACTAAGTGTTTTTAGCTAAGAATAAACTAAAAGAGTTACACAGTGTAGCTTTAATGTTGAAAAACGATGATAATGTTGCACAAAAAGAGCTCAAGATGTTTTCTTTTACTGTACATGATTAACCAAAAAGGCTAACTTGGGATTCAAAACTTAAGTTGCAAAGAGTATAGAGTGAAATAATTCATATTTGAAGAGTTCAGATGCAAAAGCCTCTAAGTGCCATTTGAAATTTTCTTCTAGAATGATCATTTTTATCAAGTTTGTATATTTAAGTTCAGTGATTTCACTTAAATGGCAATGATAATTACCTATTAATTGTTATTTAAGTGAAATTACTGAACTTAAATATACAAGTTTGATAAAAATCATCATTAAAGAAGAAAATTTCAAATGGCATTTAGAGGTTTTTGCATCTGAACTCTTCATTTGTAAATGTGATTCTCCAGGTTCCACTGAAGCGGGTCTGGACTGGGTGAAAAGATACTGGAACGATCACAACCGAGGACCAATTTAACTTCTTAAATTCATGCATTTTCTAAAAGGGCAGCGTGTATTAAAATGCCAAGACTGTAATTTTCTGTCGTTTTATTAATATTTCACTATGAAACAGCACAGGACATAAAGAACACGTTTTAATTTAAGATTTATTGTCAAGCGTTTTTTTTCTTTTCTATTTACATAATGTACAAATTTCAGTTTCAGACATTTGAGTTGCTAATTCACATTCTAGCGTTTTAATAAATCTTCCAGTGTCCTTCAAGAAAACAAAACAGTTAAACACATTATTCTTCGGTTTTTGTCACCGTGGGAGTTACATTTGGTGTCGTGTCAAAGGTTCCCCACGATCTAGTGTCGTCTGGTTAGTAGGAATACCCGTCACGCCGCCCTTGATGATGAATGTACAGGAAGAGCATGCAACCATTTCAAGAGAGATTCAAGGTGAATATGATACACAAGCTCCCATCAACTTCATAAGATAAAACAAAGGCATAAAGGCACTTTTGGGACGATGAAATGGCAGTAAAGACAACTATGTTGCAGAAAGTGATGCATTATGGGGCACAAAACTATCCAACCTGCAGCAACAGGACTTTCTCGAGGAGCAAAGCCGAATCTAATGCGCATCATCAGCACAAACGAACACTCAGACTACAGGAGGACAGTATGGCTTTGGCAAACCAGTGCAGTCTCACACACACCACTACATCCCTCCTGTGCAAAATTTAATTGCTTAAACAGATGCAACCTGTCCGACGCACACGAGATGCATTGAGTGTGTCTCATGAAAGAAACACACGCTCACAGCAGGCCCGTCCAGAGGTTGAAGCAGGCGGTGTTGATGACCGACTCCAGATGGTGGTACATGGAGACCAGCTGTGGTGGAGGACTGCTGCTCGGCTGACTCTGAGCGGGCAGCGGCTCTCTGAACACCACCTTCAGACTCTACAGACGACGACCACAGGGTCACACACTGGGGTCAGGTTTGACATGTCACATTTCGCCCCCTCCCCATATTGCAGCTCATTTGAAGGATCATTTTGGCATGACATTTCATTTACTTTCATGCTAATAAAAGCACACCATAATGGAAAATAAACTAATTAATTTATAAATAATTTTTTTTTTAGCATGGAACCTATAATGTATGCATCATAATAATATTTGTTGTACTGCTTTTAAATTATTTAATATTTAAATAATTATTACAAAAATATATTCTAATACTTCATTGTAATATTGTCAAGACTCACTGTATCGCAATAATGAGAATCATCATTAAAAATAAATGATAATTGAAAAAAACAATGCATTATGGTAATGATATTGTAATTTTAGGAGAAAAAGAACGTTTACATTTTCAATTTTTTCTACTGAATATATAATATATATATATATATATATATACACATATATATATATATATATATATATTTTTTTTTTTCAGTAGAGGATTTATTTATATGTGTGTATATATAAACATATAATATATATATATATCCTTTACTGAATGTATGTATATATATATATATGTATATATATATATATATATATATATTTATATATATTCAGTAAAGGATGTATATATATATATATATATTATATGTTTATATATATATATATTCAGTAAAGGATATATATATATATATATATATATATATATATACACACATATAAAATATATATATATATATATATTTAAATACGTGTGTGTATATTTATCTCTCTCTCTCTATATATATATATATATATATATATATATTTTTTTTTTATTCACTCAGGAGAGGGCGAGAATAAACTAATTATAACATTACACATAACATAACATTAACAAGCATAACGTAACATAATAATATAATATATAAAAAATGAAACAAAACTCACAGTTTTTCCTGCCTGTGTGTCCAGAAAGACGAGCACGAAACAGTCAGTAAACTTCTGGTTCAGGACAGCCTGGAAGAGAGAGTTAAGATGAGACGTTTCTTTTCATTTTTAACCTTGATCTTCACAATCCATTTAACTTGGATTGGTGTTCAGCATTAGGAAACAGCGTTAACATGGTTTCTGTTTGTGTGGAGGGTGAAGTGATCATCAGTTCAGGAAATCTACATACACCCACATCATCTCTGATTACAGAATGAAGCATGAAGTGTGTGTGATGATCTCTGAGTGTTCGCTCACAGGCACTGGAGGTCTCATAATGTGCCACAGTTTACCACGCGCTTCATTGGCTTTGAGGAACTGAGTTCAACGCCAGTAATGATTTAAGAGCACTTGTTGTCTCATAACGTAACGTGACAAGCCCAACATGACCTCTGCTAACATCTCACACTGTCACATGACCCGACTGTACAGCCGCAGCGTCAGGTTCATGTGCAATTCTGAACACTAACACTGATGATCTGGACTGTGCAGATAAAAAAAGATTTGTTTCTGCAAATCTTGCTCTTATATTCATCACAGAATAATAATAATAAAAAATAATAATAATAAAAAACAGTTTCCACAAAAATAATTAATATGTATTTTGTGTATATTGTGTTATTTATTTGATGTATTAAATAATTTTTTATTTAATATTATTTTTTTTTGCATTTTTTATGTATATTTTTTATGTTCCTCTATGTGGCTTCACTAAGTGTTTTGAGTGTTGAAAAAACTTTTTTGAGTGTTGTTTTGAACTTGAAAATGTGAAGCAGCACAACTGTTTTCAACATTGATAATAATCATAAATGTTTCTTGAGCAGCAAATCATCATATTAGAGTGATTTCTGAAGTATCATGTGACACTGAAGACTGGAGTAATGAGGAAAACAGGAATCACAGGAATAAATAATAATAAAAATAATAAAAAATAATTAATATGTATTTTGTGTATATTGTGTTATTTATTTGATGAAGGATGTTTTTTTATTTTATTTAATTTTTTTATTTAATATTATTTTTTATTTTTTTATTATTTAGCATTTTTTTATGTATATTTTTTGTTACTCTATGTGGCTTCACTAAGTGTTTTGAACTTGAAAATGTGAAGCAGCACAACTGTTTTCAACATTGATAATAATCATAAATGTTTCTTGAGCAGCAAATAATCATATTAGAGTGATTTCTGAAGCATCACGTGACACTGAAGACTGGAGTAATGAGGAAAACAGGAATCACAGGAATAAATAAACTTTTTTTTTTACAATATATTACCATAGAAAACAGCTATTTTTAATTGTAACAATATTTTGCAATATTACTGTAATTTTGTTCAAATAAATGCAGCCTTATTGAGAATAAAAGACTTGGGGCCAGATTTACCAACAGCTCACTAACCCTCTTTAGGCATTAAAAAACTACTCTCAGGATTTATTAAAGACACGCAGTGGAAAAATGAGCGCTGAAAAGACGTGGACAGGGTTATTTTTGCGGGTGACCTTCTCGAAAATGCATTTATAGAAGTTTTGCTTTCAAATACAATATTTATGAGAGTGTTCAAATGAATCATGCAAGGTGATTTACTAAGGTTTGCGCTGCTCAATTTACTGGTATTTGCTCCATTATTTACCAAAAGCGTGCTAATATGCGCTGCTCTTGGTAGATTGTGTTGGTCATTATGGAAATGATCCGCTGCGTCTGTTCTTTCATTTGTGTCGTCAGTAGATCACATCTGTGCTTTTACGGGATTGTGCTCTCATGTTAATTTGCCCTGTTTAGTAAATCTGGCCCTAAATGTCTCACCCCCTGGTAAGTGTGTGTGTCTCTTACCAGGTACTGAATGCCACTGTCGTCTTTAAAGTGTCTGCAGTTTTGTGAGAAGCGTGAGAGCAGAACTTTGATGAGACTCTGGTACCAGGCGGGACTCATGTTCAGGAAACAGTCCTAAAAAACACAATCACAAGAAGCTTTGGAATAACATGAGGGTATATTATATTAATTTTTTTCTTTTTTACCTAGCAAACAAACCACTTTTCAAAATGGTAAAATTCATGTGTATATGTATGTGTTCTGTACATGTTTGGTAGGTGATTTGATATAGATATTTATATATATATATGCAAAAAAAACAAACAATAATGTCGACAAAAGTGCATATATAGTATATGTACAGTGGTGTGAATAAGTTTGGACACCCATGCTAAAGTTGCCTAAAAAGAGGAATAAAAAATCATCTTTTGGATATTGATCTTAATGCCTTAATTAGAAAAATGAGGAAAACTCCAACCTTTAAGGACACCAATTTTCTTTGTGAATGAATAATGTATCATAAATAAATTAAAATAAAGGTTAAAATACAGGGTGCATAAGTCAGGACACCCCTATGTTAAATTCCCATAGAGTCAGGCAGATTTTTATTTTTAAAAGAAAAACATTTATTTATTTATGAGACATTATTCATTCACAAAGAAAATTTGTGTCCTTTAAGGTTGGAGTTTTCCTCATTTTTCTAATTAAGGCATTAAGATCAATATCCAAAAGATGATTTTCTATTCCTCTTTTTAGGCAACTTTAGCATGGGTGTCCAAACTTATTCACACCACTGTATATAGTTTGTGCTGTTTTGTATTATACACATAAATATGCATCTCACCATTTCATTTATGTACATTTTAAACAAACTCAAAAAATCCCTGTTTGAAACGCCTTTGGGATCCTGAGAGACTGGACCAGAATATTAGACGAGTCTGTGGATATGTGATTGCGATTGTGAAAGCTGCAAACGCTTCAAGTTAGCAAAACCACAGGAAGGCAGTTTTCACACTCTGGTTGTGGGCGGCAGTACATTTTTAAAAAGATGTAATTTGCAGTAAGTTTCTCCCGGTCTGATATCACAGTGGGAGTACATCTCTACTTCCTTTGTGAGCCTGTATCGGTTTGACAGCGGTATACATCATCCGAGCGCTACGATTAGCATTAGCAGTCGTGGCACAGGAGCCGCTCGGCTCAGTAACATTGACTAAGCGGTTCTGCACTCGTGAAGGGAATACAGAAGTGAATACATGAGCAATCAAACAGCATTGATATGCAGGATTGGGGAAACTGAGGCTACGGCGAGTCTTCACATCACAGCGAGTGTCACGTGTGGAGGAAACATCTCTTTCTCACAGAGTTCAGATAGATGTGGATGTGTGAGGTACAGACGTGAGGAGGCCAATCAAACTATAGAAAACACCGAAAGGAGGAGGTGAAGGATTCAGAAAGCGGATAACCGGCAATATGGTCATATAAGCATCAATATGGTCTGAACCAAACAAGCGGACTGACAAGATGGGTTTTGATTCGTTTAAAATGTCTTTGTTTTCAAAGAACAAAATCTCACTGAAAGCTCATTTTTTGAGATATCAACCTAAAATTTGAAACTTATTCCGATTTTTGGCTTTGATTTTTTTTTTTTGCAGTTTTAGAGTCATCCAGGTTTTGAAAATATATTTTTATATAAAATATGAATAATTGATTTTTTTTTTATATTGTACATTTTCATAAACTCAAACTTCTATAACTTTTTTTTTTTTCACTTTCTAGTAAAACTATAGTTTATAGATTTTTTTTTTTTTTGGTATGTGGCAACTTATTTATTTATTAGGGCCCAAGCCCTGAAAGGGCGAAGGCCCTATTGTTTTTCTTAGGATAATTTAAAAAAAAAATGTTCTATCGACTATTCAGGCACTTTTGGGGCCCTTAACATGCTCGAAAACTCTTGAAACTTTGCACATGGGTCAGAACCCGTGGCCATCAGGGCCGGGCTGAAGCTGGTACACCCAGGCGTGGCAGGGGGGCTCGACAGCACCCCCTGCAATGGGCTCCGAAAACTTAGTCCATAAATCAAACACGCTTGCATGTAATAATCTGAAACTCGGTGCACATGTAGATCTCATCGTTTCATATATACTTCACACTCTTACTTTTGACCCCAGCCCAACAGGAAGTCGGCTATTTAGGGTTGTTTGGAAAACGCATGCAATGGAATTTGAAATACTCCTCCTAGAGAATTCACGAAACTCGGTCAGCATGAAGTCAAGGCATAACATGTCTTTGGTCCGTGTTGCGTTCATATTTCAGTCGAACCGCAAAGTTGTTACTTTGATCCCGTTTGAGCCCTAGAGCCGACTCGTCTTATTCCGACGCCTGGCACTAGACAAACGTTTTATTTTCTTTGTCTGACGTGGAGTTTGCGTTGGAGTTTGGAATGAACTACAAGCCGGTCTCTTTGAATCCATCTTCTACTTTTGTGGAAAGTTGACTAAAGTTTTGTCACTCGAGTTGTCTTCGCTGATACGGAGAATGACGCGAATACACAAACCCGCCAGACATAGCCAGGTGAGCGTGAACGCGCATGACGTCACAACTCCGTCCCGAATTCCTCTTATTTATTTCACTGTACAGGATTATAGAGGCAATCGCAGTGATCAGAGAAGGACTCATTCAGCCCATGAGGCAATCGTTTAAGCATGTATGGGTTAGAAAAACAGCTATTTTTAACATGAAATGTTGCGCAATGCACCTTTAAATGAATTAAAGTGACAGTGAAGACATTTATTATGTAAAAAATATTCCATTTCAAATAAATGCTGTTCTTTCTATTCATCAAAGAATCTTGAAGAAAAGGTTTAAAAAATAATTTAAATTGTAGTGCATCATCACTAAATAATAAATTAATGTATTATATTTTACAATTCCAGTTCTCGATATATGTCTTTATAGCCAAATACAGGTGAACACAGTGCAGTCTGCTGCCATGATGGACACATTTACAGTACAGCATCTACTGCTGTGTAATCTCATCACGAACGAGCACCCTGTTGGCAAACGATGTGGAGTGTGAATCTGTGCGCATGTTGGTCCAGGAGGGATAATTTATGCCGTAAATAAGGAACGGAGTGTAATATTAAAGGGCTGATTTCCCGTGCTAATTAGCCGATGTTTATTGTGATGAGTGGAGCGCATGTTTTCCCCCACGGAGCGGCGCATTTGCATGTTTGTTGTCCGACACCTATCAGACGAACTGCACAGAGCCACTCGCTGATCCCGAATACACTGTGAAATGAAGGAAAAACATGCAATTTTCTGGTACAGGATATAATATAATATATCCACAAACAGGGACTATGGTTATAATATAACCTGTAGTTTCATTGAGCATTTGTCGAATGTACCCTATTCAGACCATATTTGTAGCTATTCGTGGAACGAGAAAGGAACAGGAAATGTGAGATGAATGGGTGTGAAAGACGCTCTCAGAGGTGAAGGACGGTGTGTTTTCATACCAGCTGTGGGTCGATCTCAGCGACAGATCTGCTTTGCACAGCGTCCAGTAGCTCCTCCAGTTCACCGAAGGCCAGTTTGCTGAGTTTGAGTTTATCCAGGGCCAAGTGCTCTCCGTGAAAGAGCCTCCTCCAGAGGTTATCCCTCCGGCAGTGACCCATGGCCTGCTCCACGCTGCTCTGAATCTGCCGGCGCGCAGACATCACCTCAGAGTTGAGCAGGGGGAAGAGAGGAGACATGAAGAAGAGGCCCTGAGAGTCGTCGGTGTCTCCGAGCCCGGCCTGACCCGCGTGCAGGAGGCTCTCCATGTGCTCCGACTCGGGGCTGGCTGCGGGGCTGATGGGGGTGCTGGTCTCCTCCCACAGGTCCAGGTCAGGTTCCCGGGTCTCCATCCGCTCCGCACGGCCACTGAGGTCACCGGGGTCACGGTGGATCTGAGGAAGCTTCTTAAATCGACGCATGTCTGCAGTCAAACGTGGGAACAGCTCTCTTTGACTGGTCATGATCACGTAGAAACGGAGCCTGAAACCATTCAAAATGAAAAAAAAAACGTTTTTTTTTTTTAGTGAACATTACATTATTCCAAAGCTTTCTTTTAAAATCTGTAATGAAAATTCAGAGAAGCCGAGGTTGGTTTCTTTTCTGTTGGGGAAGAATATTCACATTATAATATTACCTAAAATAAGTAAATTAATATGATCTAGAATATTTTTAATAATAATAAAACTATTATTTATTTTATTTATTACTAAGTAGTATTGATATGATTCATTAATATGTTTTATTTATATCTATAATCTGTAATGAAAACTTTCTCCACCTCTAAATCAACTTTTCTTTTCTGTTGGGGAAGACAATTCACATTATAATATTAAATAAATAAAAAATAAAGTAATTAATGAAATAAATAAATTAATATGATCTAGAATATTTGTAATAATAATAAAAATATAATTTATTATTTTATTTATTACTAATTAGTATTGATAATTTGTATTATTACTATCTATAGATAATATTTATACGGTTGCTATTTATAATTATCTACTAATAACAGTATTATTTACTAATTATTCATATTCATACCAATTATTTTAATTATTACTTTTATTATTATTATTATTAATAAATATTATAATTACTACTTTTTATTGTAACATTAAAGATAACGTTAAAGATACATTTTACTATAACATTTATTGTTTATAATAATTTATTATTATTTATATTTATTTGTAGATAACATTTATGATCATTATTTATACTATATTATTAATGCTTACTATAAAATGTTACTATTATATTATTTATTTACCATTTTAAATGACAAATATGGGTGGATAAACAGGCCTATATTATTTTGCTCTGATTATTCTGTTTCACACATAGAATACTTAAAGCATTCCAGAATTACAGAAGTTAAAAACGTTGCAAATATTGTTTCGACTGCACAGGGTGATACACCTAAGTAGCGTGTAACCCAGTATTCCTTCAGCGGCACACACCTGAGCAGGTGTCGCTCTCCTTCAGACTGCTCCTCAAACGGGGCGGCGTTATGACACACCAGCAGCGACACATCAAAGTCATCATGGTGGCGTAATCCCTCCAGGTCTTTAAATGAGCCAGAGCTTAAAGAGAACCACATTATTATTACAATATACAAATATAAATTATAACATCACACATCACCTGCTGCAATAAGTCAGAACATTTCACAAAGTACAAAGTGTAATATTGATTGCATTGGGATATGTGAATATAGGGGGAAGGGATGTTTCGTGCAAAATATAAAAGTTTGGTTGATGTTAAAAATTATGGTATGTTTGTTATCTTGCTATGAATATAAAATGATATATACTGGAACTATTTAGGGTTATATAAGGGGTGGGAAAAATACTGTAATACTGTTTCAAACATACTGTAATTATTGTTGTACTTTATAGATTTTTTTTTTTCGGTATGTGCCAACATATTTATGTATTTATTTCTTATTTGAAATAAAAAGAACGAAAATAAAGAAATACCTGTTCCACAGAGCGATCAGCGCATACTCGTGCAGATCTGTGCTGGGCGCCCCCTTTTTGTTCTCAGTTGTAACTGCAGCCTTAGACATGCGCAAGGGCTTCATCCCGTAAGTCCCAGCGTGATCCGTGATGTAATTGTACAGCTGGTATGCGGTTATCATCCCCGTTGATATGGAGAAACTCCCTAGTAAACATAAAAATGCATATTATGCATGACTGGCTAAAAGAGGAAAAACACAAAAATGAATATGGCATCAACTATGTGTTTTAGCTTATACAATCACCCTGGAAGACGTGGTTGCGTCCAAATTTGGGTATGTCAGGGTGATGGGCGATGAAGTCCTCCAGAAAGCTAGTGAGCTGGTATCCCTGATGAAGGGTCATGTGACAACCCACGAGGTACTGATGCACCACACGCAGGTGGAAGTCGTAGCTGAACGAGTGAACGTGCATCAAATCCCGGACCTTATCGCACTCCTCGGTGAACAGCATGGACAGCTGGGAGCAAAAACACACATGCATGCAGTTACTCACACTGGTGCAGGATCTCAACACAACCCAAGAGAAACCGTTTGGATCAAAGGCATCCAATTCCCCACAGGAAGACCGCAAGCAGTAGCAGAAACATCCTCCCATAACCTCTAAATCCTGATAGCGGTACTAACTCAAAACCTAATGACTCTGTGCTTTAAAGAGCTTCTCTCCTACAGATGTTCAGATGAAGCCAGCCTCACTGCAAAGTCAAAACCAAAGGTCAACATCAAAAGAAGAAAAACATTAAACCTGGCTTAGGACCATTCATCAGATAATCAATCCAAGTGCTAATATTACTAATTAGATTCTCATTCCTTTAATATGATGATTTCTTTTAATCAGCATGAAGTTAAACACAAGGTTGTTTACGCCACTGAATAAAAAATAAATAATAATAATTGCGACTTTTTATCTCACAATTGCGAGATATGAAGTCAGAATTGAGAGAAATAAAGTAGCAATTGCGAGATATAAAATCTCAATTCTGAGAAATAATTTCGCAATTGCAAGATATGAAGTCAGAATTGTGAGAAATAAAGTCGCAATTGTGAGAAATAGTCGCAATTGCAAGATATAAAATCGCAATTCTGAGAAATAATGTCGCAATTGCGAGATGTGAAGTCAGAATTGTGAGAAATAAAGTCGCAATTGTGAGAAATAATGTCGCAATTTTGAGCAATAAGATCGCAATTGTGAGAAATAAAGTCGCAATTGTGAGAAATAAAGTCGCAATTGTGAGAAATAAAGTCGCAATTCTGAGAAATAATGTCGCAATTGTGAGAAATAAATTCGCAATTGTGAGAAATAAATTCGCAATTGTGAGAAATAAATTCGCAATTGTGAGAAATAGTCGCAATTGTGAGAAATAAAGTCGCAATTCTGAGAAATAATGTCGCAATTGTGAGAAATAGTCACAATTGTGAGAAATAAAGTCGCAATTGTGAGAAATAAAGTCGCAATTCTGAGAAATAAGGTCACAATTGTGAGAAATAAAGTCGCAATTGTGAGAAATAAGGTCACAATTGTGAGAAATAAAGTAGTAATTCTGAGAAATAAAGTCGCAATTGTGAGAAATAAAGTCGCAATTGTGAGAAATAAGGTCGCAATTGTGAGAATAGTTGCAATTGTGAGAAATAAAGTCGCAATTCTGAGAAATAGTCGCAATTCTGAGAAATAAAGTTGCAATTCTGAGAAATGAAGTAGCAATTGTGAGAAATAAAGTCGCAATTCTGAGAAATAAAGTTGCAATTCTGAGAAATAAAGTCGCAATTGTGAGAAATGAAGTCGCAATTGTGAGAAATGAAGTCGCAATTGTGAGAAAAAGTCACAATTCTGAGAAATAAAGTCACAATTGTGAGAAATAATGTCGCAATTCTGAGATATAAAGTCGCAATTGTGAGAAATAAAGTCGCAATTCTGAGAAATAGTCGCAATTGTGAGAAAAAAAAGACAGATTTGAAACTTTATTTCGCAATTCTGACTTTATATCTCGCAATTCTGATTTTATATCTCGCAAATCTAAATTTATTTCTCGCAATTGTGAGAAAAAAAACCCAGAATTGTGAGATAAAAGTCACAATTAACTTTTTTTATTTTTCATTAAGTGGCGGAAACAAGCTTCCATAAATCTATAATTACTTATGAAACAAAAAGTAATTATACATTACAGTAGTGTTGTTGTGTTTTACTTTATGCTGATAAAAAAAATCATCATATTACAGTAATAAAATGCACAAAATCTTATAAATAAATATGTTCTGAATGGCTGTGACAGTGTCATACAAATTACTCGTTCTGTTGTTCCTGGTTCAGACAGCGTAACTATCATGAAAATGAAGACCCGATGCACAAAATCTTAATGGTCCTTGATTTGCGGGTGAAATTGGAAGCAGACAAGTTCTTGATACGCTTCACTCAAGCGCACACGAAACCTGACATTACACGTCTAAAACTCGACATAGTTGACTTGTGAAGAGCAAACCTCTTTTTAAAATCATCTGATATATCAATCAACATTATAATTGTATCCTATTTAATTAGATCTTGCATCAAAGCCGTGCTTACAAAAGCATTAGTGGCAAATGCAAATGATTTGAGCGGGAGAGGGCGAGAGTAATTACAGAACAATGGGAGCAGAGAGGGTGAGGGAGGCGACGGCGACGGCTAAACGCTATTACGCTGTCGCTTTCATCCTGACCATTACCCTGGAAACAAATGCAAATAGGTCTTATCAAATCAAAGAGTTGAGGATTAAAAAAAACCCTGTTCATTTTGCGCTGTCATGGCCGTTCCATTTGCAGAAAGCAGCGCCGCACCATTAATGCGAGAACCGCTTTTCACGTCAACATTTTGAAATCTGCCAGTGGCCCATTTGACTGAAAGTTCTGCCACAGGCTGAGGAGAGATAATATCGTTTATCCATTTTGCTCTCAGTCATCATGTGAGGGTGCTTTTTGGAAACATGGCGCATGAAAACAGCGCAGTTTGGCACGATTGCTGTGGATAGTCGGTTGTGTTTGTATAATCACACTCCAGGCCCGAGTCATGTGTTAACCAAATCCTTACAATCAGAAAAATAAGTCTGTTTTCAAGACTAGTGTAAACATTTCCCAGAGCATCGAACACTATGTTGACTTCCCAGATGCCACAAGGCAAACAGGTCAAGTTCTGTAATGTTTCGCCAACAGCTACAACTGCCAATATCTGTTCAATGGAGCCAACGTAAGCCACTTAAAGGAGAAGTTCACTTTTAAAAAAAAAAAAATATTTGCTGATAATTTACTCACCCCCATGTCATCCAAGATGTCCATGTCTTTCTTTCTTCAGTCGAAAAGAAATTAAGGTTTTTGATGAAAACATTCCAGGATTTTTCTCCATATAATGGACTTCAATGGGAACCAAACGGTTTCAGTGCAAACTGCGAACTGTTCAAAGGGCTTTAAACGATTCCAGACGATGAATAAGGGTCTAATCAAGTGAAACGATCGCTCATTTAATAAATAAATAACAAAGTTTAAGTTTTATAAGCTCAAATGCTCGCCTTGCTCTGTTCTGTGATGCGCGTTCGTGACTCTCCTGTTCGAAAATTCTTTCAGTCAATTCGTTCGTTGAATGAATCAAATGACTCGAAAAAAGATTCGTTCATTTTGATGAGTCACGAACAAAAATCCTGGAATGTTTTCATCAAAAACCTTAATTTCTTTTCGACTGAAGAAAGAAAGACGTGGACATCTCGGATGACATGGGGGTGAGTAAATTATCAGCAAAGGTTTTTTTTTTTTTTAAAGTGAACAACTCCTTTAATAAAACAGCTGAATGCCATATGGTTCATAAAGCCAATCCCCTGTTTGTTTACTCTTGAACACTTGCATTAGCTGGACAAGTGGAGTGATTTGACCGTAGAATACCACTATTGTCAGACGTTATTCCTCATTTGCAATATATTGCTTGAGCAGAATTTTGACAAGCACTTTTGGAGATTTTAGTGTCTCTCCATTCAAGCAAATAAAGCTGTGCTTCCATGGTTGGAAACATCTGCTCGAGGCGTTACGGATATGACCGCTGAGTGAACTTGCCTTAAAGGGACTTTTTGAGAGTTTGAGGTGTTCTACTATCTTACTTTCAGCATTTGCACAGTAATATATGAAGTTTTACTCATTTCTCTGGTAACCTCACCAAATCACCTTTTCCACAACACTTAATGTGGAAGTCCTAAAAGGTCCATAAAGTCAATATAAAAATGTGTACTTTTTAATGAATGTATCTCACAATTTGTCGGTGCACATTATTCCAAGTACAAAAAAAGAGCATCTTTAATCAAAATGCTATAATTGGTAACACTAATTTTAAAGGTTACACGTTACATGTACTTACTCTTGCAATAACAGTAAATGAACAATTAATTTTGAATAGTAACTTAACCTTAAAGGAGTAGTTCACTTTTAAAAAAACTTTTGCTGATAATTTACTCACCCCCATGTCATCCAAGATGTCCATGTCTTTCTTTCTTCAGTCGAAAAGAAATTAAGATTTTTGATGAAAACATTCCAGGATTTTCTCCATATAATGGACTTCAATGGGGTCCAAACGGTTCAAGGTCCAAAAGACAGTTTCAGTGCAAACTGCAAACTGTTCAAAGGGCTTTAAACGATTCCAGATGATGAATAAGGGTCTTATCAAGCGAAATGATCGCTCATTTAATAAAAAATAATAAAGTTTAAGTTTTATAAGCTCAAATGCTCGCCTTGCTCTGTTCTGTAATGCGCGTTCGTGACTCTCCTGTTCGAACTCGTTCATCAAAATGAACGAATCTTTTCCAAAGATTCATGAGAGTCGAGAACGAGAGTCAACTCAATCATTTCGTTCGTTGAATGAACCAAATGACACGAAAAAAGATTTGTTCATTTTGATAAACGAGTTTGAACAGGAGAGTCACGAACGCGCATTACAGAACAGAGCAAGGCGAGCATTTGAGCTTATAAAACTTAAACTTTATTATTTATTATTAAATGAGCGATCGTTTCGCTTGATAAGACCCTTATTCATCGTCTGGAATCGTTCAAAGCCCTTTGAACAGTTTGCACTGAAACTGTCTTTTGGACCTTGAACTGTTTGGTTCCCATTGAAGTCCATTATATAGAGAAAAATCCTGGAATGTTTTCATCTAAAACCTTAATTTCTTTTCGACTGAAGAAAGAAAGACATGGACATCTTGGATGACATGGGGGTGAGGAAATTATCAGCAAACGTTTTTTCAAAAGTGAACTACTCTTTAACCAAACCATAACCCTATATAGCTTAATTAATATTACTCAGCATTTATTTGTGATTACACTGTTACCTTAAAACAAAGTGTAACCCAATAATGAGCTGAATCTCTTCTTTTCAGCCAATATAATGTATTAATCTTCCATTTCAAACCAACTGGACTAAATTCCACTTTTTTAAAATCCAATAAATTCCCACTTTTTTTTTTTTTTAGATCCTTCACACTCAGAGAAACGCCAGATTTTGGAAGAAAAATATGTTGTGTACAGCATTTTGTTGACTTAAGATCTGTAGTGCTAGATAGGAAACACAAGATATAATGTCAGGCACATTAAGAACAAGCGGAAGCCGCCGTGACAAAGAGGAAACGCTCCATTTGTGATTTCCTCAACTTGAAACAGCGGTGAAAGTCATGTCGATTGATAAAGAACAATCTCCGAATTACTGTTGATGGAGACATAAAGGAGACAAGCAGATCCAAATGAACATGCAACAAGAGCAGAAGAAAATCAGGGATAATCATTGAGCAAAGGAAAGAGATCATTGGCCAACGAGAAGAGTGACCCCGTGACCTCCCAGAAGATGCCACATTCATGAGCATCCGCATTTAAATAGAGCCGAGAGACACAACCGTGAGTGCGGCTGAAGACCAACCCCAAGATGCATCGCTGAAGAACACAGACAAACACAGGGAAAGGAGCCCTCTGATTTTCAATGAACGGGCAAGACTGGAAGGGGAGGAGCCAGGCACTACACGGGGGAGGAGTCTGAGGGAAGAACTGAAGCCTGATTGGTTGAAGACGAGCCCACCCCGAGGATGCAGAGACATACCGCAGAGTCAGAGACCGTGGGCGTCTCGGGGAACGGCTTGCTAGGAGGTTTGTTGAGAAGTGAGCCCTGATGGAAAGAAAGAGTGAGATGGGACTAGACACACACACACACACACCATGTGCAAAACAGTGACACACACACACAAACACAGAAGATAACACACACAAACAGAGACAGATGAGAAACATGCCACACAGAGAGGTTAGAAGTCAATTTACACAAAAATGAACACATGCACAAGCTGACTGTCACACGCTAATGTATGAGGGTGTGTTACAGGAAGTGACACGCAGATGATCAATAATGATGAGCATGAGCTGTGTGCGGTCCTTTATAGATGATGAGCTGGTGTGACCTTTCACTTTCTCACTACTGTAATTATCCACTGCTTATCATGATCTGTGCAGTTCAATAAGGCCCTCTCATCTCATATATAACCTCGTTCGGTGCGTAAATATTTTTAATTACTTTAACACAATTTTATTTTATTTTACACGTGGAGGATAGGTACAATGATTTTTTTGGTAACACTTTACGATAAGGTTCATTAGTTAACTACACTAGTTAACATGTACAATATGTGAACAATACTTCTTCAGCTTTTATTAATCTTAGTTAATATTAATTCCAACATTTACTAATACGTTATTAAAATCAAAGGTTGTATTAGTTAACATTAGTTAATGGACTGTGAACTAACATGAACGCACAATGAACAGCTGTATTTATATTAACTAACATTAACAAAGATTAATAAACACTGTAACTAATGCATCGTTAGTTCATGTTAGTTAATGCATTTACTAATGTTAACTAATTGTAAAGTGTTACCATTTTTTTTTCCCCATGATCTATTCTCAAATGTTCCCAATTCCTGCAACAAATGTCATAGAAAGTAACTGATGTCCATTGCCACCTCAAATTCTGTCTGGAAGAGTATTAGTAACAGTTAAAGTATACCTTAAAATAAATATTAATAATGAATTTATAATGAAACATGCTAAGAAGATAATATTCAGTATATAAATGTTGCTATGTATGGTCACGATCAGAAAACAGTGCCATTTGTGCGTCACTGACGTACAACTGACAGAATACTGAATTAGTCACATGGGCAACACTTTCCAATCAGATTCAATTTGTTAACATTAGTAAAAGTGTCATGAACTAATAATGAACAATGGTTGGACAGGATTTACTATTACAGGTAAAGGTAAATGTTAATCTATTTATATGTATAATATTTTTATACCATAATTCTTGGTTCATGATTCCTTATGCAATAACGAATGTTAAAAAATAAAAATTATTGTTAAGTTGAGTAGTTGCTGGTAAGTTACTCACCCCCATGTCATCCAAGATGTCCATGTCTTTCTTTCTTCAGTCGAAAAGAAATTAAGGTTTTTGATGAAAACATTCCAGGATTTTTCTCTATATAATGGACTTCAATGGGAACCAAACGGTTTCAGTGCAAACTGCAAACTGTTCAAAGGGGTTTAAACGATTCCAGACGATGAATAAGGGTCTTATCAAGCGAAACGATCGCTCATTTAATAAATAAATAACAAAGTTTAAGTTTTATAAGCTCAAATGCTCGCCTTGCTCTGTTCTGTGATGCACGTTTGTGACTCTCCTGTTCGAACTCGTTCATCGAAATGAACAAATCTTTTTCCGAGTCAATTCGTTCATTTCGTTTGTTGAATGAACCAAATGACTCGAAAAAAGATTTGTTAATTTTATATCTCGCAATTGTGACTATTTCTCACAATTCTGACTTCATATCTCGCAATTGTGAGATAAAAAGTCGCAATCATTATTATTAATTTTTTTATTCAGTGGCGGAAACAAGCTTCCGTATACATTACAGTAGTATTCTTGTGTTTAACTTTATGCTGATCACGTTTGCACTGAAACTGTCTTTTGGACCTTGAACCGTTTGGACCCCATTGAAGTCCATTATATGGAGAAAAATCCTGGAAAACCTTAATTTCTTTTCGACTGAAGAAAGAAAGACGTGGATATCTTGGATGACATGGGGGTGAGTAAATTATCAGCAAAAGATTTTTTAAAAGTGAACTACTCCTTCACAAAATTGTTTAATGTACAGTACAAGGTACAATATTTTTATCGTACTCTTACAATAAAACATGTACAATATTTGAAAATTATTTAAATAGGAATTTTAGCCTTTTTGCAAGTCTATTATTAAAAAATTAAATATGCATAATTTGTTGCACTCTAAACATATACAATGTAACCGGGTTGGCATAAAATATGGTATGAACATGTTCATCATATCATGACTTGATAATACGTTTTAAAGTCCCCCTGTAGTCAATCATTTTATCCCTTAAAACTAAGGTTTTTTGTTCCTTGCCTTAAAATATCTTGAATGTAACTCGACACCCTTGCCTCATTTAGTGTACACGGTTCTATGAATATGCAAATAAGCCCCGCCTCCACTCATTACAGCAGCTCATTGACAATCACACGTTGATCTGATTGGTTAGTTTGTGACGTCAGTCAGAGACACCAGCGATTTCAAACCGTGTTTTTGAGACTGTCTTTGGTTCACTGCCGTTTTAATGAGAAAATACTCAACAATGCTGTCGCCTTGGTTTGACTTAAAGCACATTAAAAACACCACATAGACAAACACAATGTTAAAACCTTGATTTTCACCACAGGGACACTTTAAGATTGGCTTAATAGTTTAAGAATTGAGCGGAAACAACAACAACAATATTTGTTGATCACTGGAGAGAGCATCATTAAAAGATCTATGGCAGAAACAGCCCTACTGTAGTTATTTGTGCCTGAGATAGGAAAACATAAGCTTTTTAAACGCACTTTATTGTAAAGAACAATTTTCTAGATAAAACGGCACTGTTTCCTGACCTTTAAATATGGGTTTAACAAGTCAGACGCACTGATTTTCATGGCGAATTCGACAAGAATATCCTCTCTAACGTTCTACACGAACAAAAACGAGGATTAACACAGCGGAATAATTAACAACTCAACTTGACTGTTCATTCCTTATGAAAAATAATAACACTGTTCGCCCACCGAATAGGCAGATGGGAATGTTTGCTGACGCAATCGAAAACTATGGATTCTAATTGCACAAATATAATATAAATTGATGAATTTTCCTTGTGACGTGCATTCCTGTTTGGCCTCAAAGTTGCACTTACAAACAACCAAACAAACACGCTAATGATTTAATCGCTGGATATGAGCAGCTGTGATTGGAGACACCTTATGGGCTTCTGGCGCTGGTGAAGAAATCAGAGCCTCCTGCTGAGAAACATCTGGAGACTTACAAATATTTACACTTAATTACTTCTCATTTAGAGCCAACCTGGACCCACTACACATTAAATACGGCGTCAGAGACACATAGACAGATATTTGAGCTACTCTATAGACATACATTACAGGAGGGATGCACAAAAATACAATATGAACTTCATTTACATGTCATGATGCCGTTACCTGAGAATTAACCGTCTGACCCATGGGAATCCTGGAGCACTCTAATGCAAACTGCTTCACGCAGAAGTAACAGCCCTGAAACACAGTCAGAATGAGAGTGTGTGTTACTAGAGGAACAGTTCTGCATCACTACAGTGCATTCATCTCATCTCTGCTTTGTTCAGCATGTTCAAGAGCGGTCCGCGCAACAGAGAAATTCTTACGGCCAAAATAAATCAAATCGGACTCCATTTACTTTCTTGATTCAACCAGGTCACCATTCACCTGTGCACATTTTTACAATGAACAAAAACTCCCATTTATCTCTTTCCTATGATCACCTGTCATATAGAAACACTTTCACTCTTGATGGATAAACTCAAGTGAATGTGTTGTCGAATGCTCAATTCATCTTACTTTATTATAACTTTCTAATGTCATCATTGTGATTAATTTGATCATATGTTGTAATTATACATTTTTTGCACTTGACTATTGACACCAGACAAAAGAAACCGCAGTAATAGTAGTAATAGTAGTGGTAGTAATAGCAGTATTGATAGTAATAGTAGTAATAGTAGAAGTAATAGTAGTTGTAATAGTAGTAGTTGTGATAATAATAGTAGTAGTAGTAACAGTAATAGTAGTAGTGATAGTAATAGTAGCATAGTAGTAGTGATATAGTAGTAGTGATAGTAATAGTAGCATAGTAGTAGTGATATAGTAGTAATGATAGTAATAGTAGCAATAGTAATAGTAGTATAGTAGTAGTGATAGTAATAGTAGTAGTAGTGGTGGTAGAAATAGTAGTAATGATAGCAATAGCAGTAGTAGTAGTGGTTGTAGTAATAGCAGTAGTGATAGTAATAGTAATAGTAGTAGTAGTGATAGTAGTAATAGTAGTAGTAGTGGTGGTAGAAATAGTAGTAGTGATAGTAATAGTAGTAGTGATAGTAATAGTAGTAGTGATAGCAATAGTAGTAATAGTAGTAGTGATAGTAGTAGTGATAGTAATAGTAGTAGTAGTAATAGTGGTAGTACAAGAAGTAATAGTAGTAATGTTAGTAATAGTAGTAGTAGTAGTAGTAGTAGTGTACAACTAATAGGGTTTGGAATTAGTTGAAATTCATGACCATAATATCAAACTTAGATTTAAAGTATGAATCTTATTATGAACTATAATTTCTTTATTATTATTCTTGCTGTTGTTATTATTATCATTATTAATAATAATCTAAATAAATGCTAATAACAATAACAATAATATTAATAATACTAATTATTATTAGTATTATTGCTGTAAGATTAATTCTTATTGTCAAATTACATGTTACAAACTTCAGCAAACAGGCAAAGCAAATGTAAATAAACAAACAAACAAACAAATAAAATAACTCCCGCATGAGTAATCTACTAGTGTTCACATGAACATTTCTATGCGTAAACCGAGATTTCAATCAGAATTCATGATCCGTAATTCACACAGCACTGATTAAAAGCATTATAACGGTTAGACAATTATGACAGCTATGACAACCCCAATATAAAAAAATATATACATATTTTTTTGAAATTTTATTTAAACAGATATTAGAGAAAAGGACTGAAGATCAAGTGATGACGTGCTGTTTCCTTGCTGTTGATTCTGTGTGTTCAAATATTAATAACCACAAATAGTGCGAGAGCGAGACAGAGTCCATTAAACATCTCTCTCCTCAGCGTCCGCGGAGACACTCACAGCGTTCCTGTGAAAAGCCCAGCCAGCGTATGCTGTCGGCTGATGTGCTAAGAGGCCATTCTGTCCCTGATCTGCACTGAAGGCCGAGACACACAGACGGATGAAGGTCTTACTTGAAACGCCAGCTCCATCAGGACGATGCCTCCCGGCAGCGCTCTCTGCAGGTGATACGACGTCGAGCTCGATGCACTGCTCTGCTGAGAGAGGCAGACGGGACACAATCAATGTGGGTGTGTGTGTGTGTGTGTGTGTTCATGATTTTCTATCCCGGTGGGGACTTAAACCTGAATGCACACAGACTCATGGGAACTGTGGGGACCTCATGGGTAAACACGCTTATAAATCATACAGAATGATTTTTTTTTGGAAATGGAAAAATGCAGAATGTTTCCTGTGATAAGTAGGTATAGGGGCAGTGTGTGTATGGCAAGCCGTTTTAGCTTTTATTCATTTCAAGGATATGAATTCTTCATATCAACAATTAAATTGCTGATATCTGTAATTGTATTTTCACTAGTGAAATTTCACCATAGGCTGACATTCAAAATGAATTGTTGATTTTTTACTAGTAGAAATATCATTTTTGATACCAATAATTACATTGTTACTAGTAAAAATGTGAATTTCTGATATCAGTAATTAAATTCTCACTAGTTGAAATGTCTATTCTTGATATCAACAATTCCATTGTTACTAGTAAAAATGATCATTTTGATATCTGGAAATGTATTTCTGATATCAATATTATTTCAGATATCTAAAATGGCTTTCTTACTAGTAACGATCACATTCATGATGTCAGAAATTAACATTGTCACTAGTAAAAATTTAATTATTGATATCAAAAATGAACATTGTCACTAGTAGCAATTCAGTTGTGGATATCAAGAATAGACATTTCAACTAGTGACAATTTAATTACTGATATCAGAAATTCACATTTTTACTAGTAACAATATAATTATTGATATCAAAAATAATATTTCTACTAGAAAAAAAATCAATTAAAGTAAAAATTGAAAAAAATGAATTCTTGATATCAAAAATAAAAGTTTTTACTAGTAATAATTGTATTTCTGCAATGTGAAATTGGAATTTCAACTAGTAAAGAAATCAATTCTTGATATCAACAATTGGTTCTGAATGGCAACCTATGGTGACATTTCACTAGTGAAAATACAATTGTTGATATCAAGAATTCATTTCCTGGAAATGAATAAAAGCTAAAACGGCCTGCCATAGAGTGTGTGTGTGTGTGTGTGTGTGATGGGCAGGTTTAGAGGTCGGGTCGGGTTAGTGTAAGGGGATAGAATATACAGTTTATACAATATAAAAACCATTACGTCTATGGAGAGTCCTCACAAAGAGTGTGTGTGTGCGGGTTTGACTACATTGAGAGAGCCAAATATAGTGAAATATTATGATGACCACCTAGTGAGTAAATTTTACTGCTCATCACTAGTTAAAAAAGGCTTATAAATCAGTTTTTATTTAAATCTAGTGTTTTTCACATGTTTCTGTGATGGGTAGGGATTGGGTTAGGCCATAGAAAACATCATCAACCTGACAAAAAATCAATGGGAGTCTATGCCATGACCTTACTATTATTTTTTATTGTTTTTGGAAGAAGTTTCTTCTGGTCACCAAGGCTGCATTTATTTAATTATAAATACAGTAAAAACTGTAATATTGTGAAATAAAATTTATTCCTGTGATGGAAGCTGAATTTTCAGCATCATTACTCCAGTCTTCAGTGTCACATGATCCTTCAGAAATCACTTTAATATGATGATTTTCTGCTCAATAAAATTTTCTTATTATTATCAATGTTGAAAACTGTTTGGCTGCTACAATTTAAACTTTTTTTGGGTAATTTTTGCCTTTATTCGGAAAGGCACCAGGACTGTGTCAATGCAAAAAGTGCCAAGTGTGTGTGTGTGTGAGTTTGAACTGACTGAAGCATGACTGAATGGTTGAATGTGGATGAGCAGATAATGGTTGTGTACCTTCGGGCTGTCTTCACTCTTCTGCTTATTATATGAGAAAGATGAGAAGGAAGATCTGCCTTCAGTGGATAAAGAACTCAACATGGCGGCTCGGGCTCGAGCGATGCTGCAGAGAGAGAGAGAGAGAGAGAGTTGACCCCGTCAGTAATGTGGCCCTCATGCTGGCGGTCAGACTGAATCACACACTCCTGCTGCTTAATACAGTGTGTCGACCATTAGCACCTCACACACTTTACAGAGAAGTCTACTTATTGTTGAACATATTGTTGCCAGGTGATATTTTATACTCAAGCTTATGACAGGAACGTATAGTTCGAAACAACTGGTTTGAATTCCAGAAACATTCGTCGTTATTGGGAAGTCGTAATTACAACGACGGGTGTGTTCAAATCACTCAGGTCAGAGCAAGATGGCTCAGGGCAGTTTCACTCTCGTAATTACTAGGGATGCATGATATATCAGCCAACGACCCATGTTCATTTTTAATGAATAGCAGAGGTAAAAGCCTGGATTTCACCTTAATGAAAGCAAAACTGAGGTTATAGTATATATTTATTGCTTAAATTTTGGCCATTTGTCTCCATGTCTGAAACCATTAGTGAAGAATCTGGGTGTGGTTTTCGATAAACAGATCAATACGGTGGTCAAATCCAGTTTTTTTCTAGCTAAAGTTAAAGGACTTTGAAAGGGTGAATCATGCTTTTATACTTAGACAAGACTTGACCACTGTAATTCCCTGTATATGGGCATTAACCAAGCAATTGTTAATCATCTGCAAATGGTGCCGAATGCAGCCGCTAGGCTTCTCACCGGTGTGCATAAACGAGAGCACAATACTCATGTTCATTGGTAGCCAATCCGTTACAGAATTGATTTTAAAGTCTTAATGCTGTTTTTTAATCTTTGAATGGACTGGCTCTTGAATACATTTCTGATTTACTATCCTGGAAGGTCTCTTAGGGCATCTAACCAGAGACTGGGATAGAGAATTATTAGGGTTGTGCAAAGATTAATTGCATCCAAAATAAAAGTTTGTGTTTACATAATATATTTGTGTGCACTTTGTATAATTATTTTGTCTCTATATAAATACACACATGCATGTACTGTATATTTTTAAGAAAATGTGTTATTCATATATAATATGTATTTATTTATTTATATTTATACAGTATTTACGTGCAAATAATTCTTAAATATATACATGCATGCATATATAATATGCATTTATATATAAAAAATCAATACATGCATGCATATATAATATGTATTTATATATAAAAAATCTATATATACATGCATGCATATATAATATGTATTTATATATAAAAAATCAATATATACATGCATGCATATATAATATGCATTTATATATTAAAAAATCAATATATACATGCATGCATATATAATATGTATTTATATATAAAAAACAATATATACATGCATGCATATATAGTATGTATTTACAGTATACATAAAAAATCAATATATACATGCATGCATATATAATATGTATTTATACATAAAAAACAATATATACATGCATGCATATATAATATGTATTTATATATAAAAATAATAACACAGCACACATATATTATGTAAACCAAACTTGTCTCTTGGAAGCGATTAATCGCAATTAATCTTTGCACATCCCAAAAAATGATATAAAAGTTTGGGTTTAGATTTATCGGCTTTCAAATATAAAAATGCATCGCTTATCAGTCATAATTTTCATATCAGTGCATCCCTAAAAATTCTGACTTTGTGGTGGCATTCACGTGCATTCAACTCAATCTCTATGCACCCTGACGGTCAAAGCGTGTGTGTTTGGGAGATGGGACACAGACCTGCGCGCGGGCGACTGCGGTCGGACCTGCACCAGGATGAAGCCCATGCTCTGCAGATACTGCACATACTGCTGGAGGAACGTGCTGGAGATCTCCTGCAGCCACGGCTCCTCCTTCAGGCGACTCGGAAGCATGTCTGCAGAATCCGTGCTGTAGCTGCGATCCCTCCCGGATGCCGTGGAGTCGCTGGAGCGATGGCGCTTCTGTAACCAGAGAACGAGAGAGCTGATATCACTACAGAGAGAGAGAGATCCTACTAGCCATGTAGCCTCACAAAGCCAGACTTTTGACTATCAGCATAAAGTCTGGTCGATACTGAGCCGAAAAAAACATCCGCTTCAGGCACAGATATACTCGCGTCACGGCAAAGGTATTTTCATTCTTCACATAAGGGTAAAAAGACGTTTGAAACATCTGAGAAGCAGAATACTGTGAATATGAATATGTAAATATGTGCTGCGCGCTTTCCTCTTGAAGGAGTAGTTCACTTTTGAAAAAACTTTTGCTGATAATTTACTCACCCCCATGTCATCCAAGATGTCCATGTCTTTCTTTCTTCAGTCGAAAAGAAATTAAGAAATTCCAGGATTTTTTTCCATATAATGGACTTCAATGGGAACCAAACGGTTCAAGGTCCAAGAGACAGTTTCAGTGCAAACTGCAAACTGTTCAAAGGGCTTTAAACGATGAATAAGGGTCTTATCAAGTGAAACGATCACTCATTTAAAAAAAAAAAAAACAGGAAGTTTAAGTTTTATAAGCACAAATGCTCGCCTTGCTCTGTTCTGTGATGCGCGTTCGTGACTCTCCTGTTCGAACTTGTTCATCAAAATGAACGATTTTTTTTCCGTGTCATTTGGTTCATTCAACGAACGAATTGACTCGGGGAAAGATTAGTTCATTTTGATGAACGAGTTTAAAGCCCTTTAAACAGTTTGCAGTTAGCACTGAAAGTGTCTTTTGAACCGTTTGGACCCCATTGAAGTCCATTATATGGAGAAAAATCCTGGAATGTTTTCATCAAAAACCTTAATTTCTTTTCGACTGAAGAAAGAAAGACATGGACATCTTGGATTACATGGGGGTGAGTAAATTATCAGCAAAAAACGTGGATATGTTTGCACACGATCCATGCGAATGTGCCATAGAACAAACGCAAGCTCATGTGAAACAGTAGAAGATCGATATGTCATGGCGTGATATCTTGGCTTGGTAAAGTTTGGTAGATTGTATATTTTTTTACATTTTGAGAGTATTACCATTTGTTATTTGTTGAATTCATATTTATGAAAAAGACGCTGTAGAGTGTGACGTTATACATCACAACTGCTGCAGGGTCCGAAGAAAAAAGGAAACGTCTAGTGCATGTCCGTGGCTTTACAAGTTGAAGAAGGCGGAGCCTCAGAGCCACACAATGCTTTGGTGGACACACGGCCTAAGTCAGGCTTCAAAATGATGGAATTGCTTTTATAAATGGGTTCAGACCCAGCAGAGAGAGAGAGAGAGAGAGACCGACCTTCATCTGTGGCTGTAGAACCTGTTCCTCTTGAATCTGTTTCCGGAACACGGGGTCGAAGAGCAGCGGAGTGGCACAGTAATGGACCAGTCGAGAGGACTGCTTCAGTGTGTCCAGATCCGCGACCTGTGCTCAGACACACACAGCAAGAGGGTTACCAGGTTTAAACATCGAATTTCTTTATTTGCAGCAACAGCTTATTGCTTTCATAAAGGTGAAGTGCGAACAATTTCAATGATTAAATACATTCAATCTGAGTTTAATAAGCAGAGACAACTATGTGTCACTCATAGGTTGATTTGTCCTAGAAAAAAAGAAAAAGAAACAAAAAAGTCTCACAATGTGGTTCTGTGGTGCCTTCAAAGCACTGAACTGTTAGTTTGAACGTCACGACTAGTTCAACACATTGACTCAACCAATGGTAAATTTATAAACAGGTTATTCTGTGAATATACAGTGGTGTGAATAAGTTTGGACACCCATGCTAAAGTTGCCTAAAAAGAGGAATAAAAAATCATCTTTTGGATATTGATCTTAATGCCTTAATTAGAAAAATGAGGAAAACTCCAACCTTTAAGGACACCAATTTTCTTTGTGAATGAATAATGTATCATAAATAAATAAATGTTTTTCCTTAAAATACAGGGTGCATAAGTCAGGACACCCCTATGTTAAATTCCCATAGAGTCAGGGGGATTTTTATTTTTAAAAGATCCAGGATAATATGCATCCTGATAAAGTTCCCTTGGCCTTTGGGATTAAAATATCCCCACATCATCACACACCTTCACCACACCTAGAGATTGGCATGGGGTACTTTCTATAAGATCATCTTTCAATGCAAATCAAACCAGCTATTAGGCTAACTGAAGTAAAACCATGCCGATCTCTAGGTGTGGTGAAGGTGTGTGATGATGTGGGGATATTTTAATTCCAAAGGCCAAGGGAACTTTATCATGATGCATATTATCCTGGATCCATGAAATAACTGGCTTTTAAAAATAAAAATCTGCCTGACTCTATGGGAATTTAACATAGGGGTGTCCTGACTTATGCGCCCTGTATTTCAAGGAAAAACATTTATTTATTTATGACACATTATTCATTCACAAAGAAAATTGGTGTCCTTAAAGGTCGGAGTTTTCCTCATTTTTCTAATTAAGGCATTAAGATCAATATCCAAAATATGATTTTTTATTCCTCTTTTTAGGCAACTTTAGCATGGGTGTCCAAACTTATTCACACCACTGTACACTAAGAATGAATATACACTGAGCCGGGAAGAGTCTCTTCTGCTCACCAAGGCTCTGTATTATTTGATCAATAATACAGTAAAAAGAGTAAAAATCTGTGTCACATGATCCTTCAGACATCATTCTAATAGGTTGATTTGATGCTCGAGAAACACTATCAGTGTTGAAAACTGATTTTGATCAATGCATCTTTGCTGAATAACAGTGTTACGTTCTCACTCTTTTGAAAGGTTGAAAGGTGACCTCACCTGCACAATAGAGTAAGCAGTGTAAGCTAATACTGTGATCTGGACCTCAGCAGTGTGAAACAGTCAAACGAATGGCAGAGACATCTCACACACTACAGATTCCCTTAATGTCCCCGCCACATCTCATTAAACCCAACTGGGCCGTACACGCGCTCGTACACGGATCGGCATCTTTGCGCATGAGGCAGAGGATCCGCACGCGCTCAAATGAATCTGGACCTGATGAGCCGCTGAGAAAATCGTGTTCTGAGAGCGTGATGGAAAATACCGATCACACACATTGTGTGCAAATATTAATGTCTGCATTGAGTATGTATGAACTCACAGAGATGGGCATGTTAGATTGAGCTGACCGCTGCTGCCACGTCACAAACAAATTCTCAATCTTCATCTGTCGCTCCAACTCTGGAAAACAAAAGAAACATTGTGAAATGAATCACTAGCTTTTTCTGTGTCTGAGGTTCATTATTTTAAGTGGTGGTTGATTATGACTTCACTTTTCCAACTTTAGTTAGTGTAAAGTTGCTGTTTGAGCACAAACAACAGCTGCGCTCAAAGTACAAAGCAAAGGGAGATATTTGCTTTTAACGAAATCGTATTTTAAGGACTTCAACAAACGGCTGATAAGGGACTATACGACATTCCTCCTGGGTCAGTGACAACACTATCCCTAAAATTTACCTAAACCCCGCCCCCGGGAACGTGAATTATTGATTATCATGACAGAATATGCTAATCAATGACTAGAAGAATACATAAATGCATCAACTAACCATTCAGAAATGTCTACATGTTGTGGCTTCATGAGTCTCTTCATCATTGTCTGACTCCGGTTTGAACATAAAAGGATAAAAGCTGCTAAGAACGAGCTGTTGAAGCTCCGCCCACTGTGCCGGGAGCAGCAGCTCATTTGCATTTAAAGGGACAGACACAAAAACAGTGTGTTTTTGGTCACCCTAAAAAAGTGACAATTTTAACATGCTTTATTAAATGATCTGTGGGGTATTTTGAGCTAAGACTTCACATACAGACTCTGGGGCATCATAAATCTTGTGAAAAGGGCATTATACCACCCCTTTAAATTATGCCAGTCATGTCTTTAGGTGTGTCCATGTGTGATCTGTTTGTACCTCTGCGTTCAGCTGCTTTGACCTCCAGAAGATGGGCTCCGTGGCGAGCGACTATATCTGCTCCGTCCTGATTGGTCAGCGGCCTCCCTGTGTTCACGTCTCTCAGAGCTTCATCAAAGGGCACGAGCTCTCCGGGGAAGGCCAGAGGAGGAAGAACACGCGCAGAGCTGCCCAACCGGCCCTGATCTTTACTCGCGGCCGGAGGAACCGGACTCCTTAGCAGAGCATCCGCCTCGATCGTGGAGCTCAGGAAGGGGTTGGGCTCCTATAAGCAAGTAAATCAATCAGAAATAAATAAATAAAGAACATATGTACAAATTAACTGAAGAACAACTCAGAAGAGCATCAAAAAAGTATGGAAAAAGGGAATTAAGTATTCATAAAAGTATGAACGCAAGAATAAATAGTATATTCATACAAATAGAATGAATTAAGTCAGGAGATACTGAACTTGTGATGAATTTGAAAAACAGAAGAATGAATGGAAGTACAAACAAAAGTATGGAAAAATGAAAAGGAAGGAAGGAAGGAAAGGAAGGAAGGAAAGAAAGGAAGAAAGGAAAGGAAGTAAGGAAAGGAAGGAAAGAAAAGGAAGGAAGGAAAAGGAAGGAAGAAAAGAAGCAAAGGAAGAAAGGAAAAGGAAGAAAGGAAGGAAGGGAAGGAGGCAAGAAGGAAAGGAAGGAAGGAAGGAAGAAAAGACATAAGGAAAGGAAGGAAGGAAAGAGAGGAAGAAAGAAAGAAGAAAGGAAGGAGAGGAAGGAAGGAAGAATGAAAGAAAGGAAGGAAGTAAGGAAAGGACAGAAGGAAATGAAGGAAGGAAGGAAGGAAGGAAGGAAGAAAAGACATAAGGAAAGGAAGGAAGGAAGGAGTGAAAGGAGGGAAGAAGAAAGAAAGAAAGAAAGAGAGGAGAGGAAGAAAGAAAGAAAGAAAGGAAGGAAGGAAGAAAGAAAGAAAGAAAGAAAGAAAGGAAGAAAGAAGGAAGGAGAGGAAGGAAGAAAGAAAGGAAGGAAAGGACAGAAGGAAAGGAAAAATGAAGGAAGGAAGGAAAGGAAAGGAAGGAAGAAGAAAGAAAGGACCAAAGGAAAGAAAGAAAGAAAGAAAGAAAGAAAGGGAAGGACCGAAGGAAAGGAAGGAAGGACAAAAGGAAGGAAGGAACGAAGGAAGGAAGGAAGAAAAAAGAAAGAATGACAGACAGAAAGAAAGAAAGAAAGAAATGAAGTAAGTTAATTAAATGAAAAATGAAATTGGGAGTGTAAAGCAGAAAAACAGTGGTGTTTTCTGAAGCGCTCGTCCTACACTCGTTCTCTTCACATCAGTGATTTCAAAGCTCAACTCTCATTCCCCTTCAGAAACTCACGGCCAGATTCAGATTTTTGATGTTGCTCGCCTTCAAACGTTCCAGGAACGTGCCGTGTGAGTTCATCATCTCAGTTCATCAGCGTTAAACCCACTGACACGCGTGAGTGAAGCCTTTCCTTCAGACCACCCAATTAACACTGACCTCGGCCACAGAGCCACAGGAACGTCACTCAGTCGCTCTTCTTGTGGGAACTTTTGGGTGAGTTAGTGTTTGGAAGACTAGTTCAAGTCCTCTAGGGCGAGTTGGAGGCCTTTCTAAAAGAAGCTCGACCAGATGCCTCATGATGGCGGATGCTCATGTAGCCGACGGGCCAGTAAGCTGGACTTAAGTGCCTGAACTCCGACCCCTGGGACTCTGACAGATGATTGACGGTTAGGGCAAATTTTCTGCTTTGTTGGATCAGCCTTCTGTTAGCACTCATTAAAAGTGTGGAACCACTGACAAGGAAAGACAAGAGTTCTGTCCTCTTCAGGAAAATGGAGATGTTTTGTGCATCTCTGCTTCAATTACATGCTGAAGTGTGTGTGAGAGAGAGAGAAAGAGAGAGAGAGAGTATTTGAGTGTGTGTATCTATCGCCTATCTATCCAATCCATCCATCCATCCATCCATCCATCCATCCATCCATCCATCCATCCATCCATCCATCCATCCATCCATCCATCCATCTATCTATCTATCTATCTATCTATCTATCTATCTATCTATCTATCTATCTATCTATCTATCTATCTATCTATCTATCTATCTATCTATCTATTGCCCATCTATCTATCTATCTATCTATCTATCTATCTATCTATCTATCTATCTATCTATCTATCTATCTATCTATCTATCTATCTATCTATCTATCTATCTATTGCCCATCTATCTATCTATCTATCTATCTATCTATCTATCTATCTATCTATCTATCTATCTATCTATCTATCTATCTATCTATCTATCTATTGCCCATCTATCTATCTATTGCCCATCTATCTATCTATTGCCCATCTATCTATCTATCTATCTATCTATCTATCTATCTATCTATCTATCTATCTATCTATCTATCTATCTATCTATCTATCTATCTATCTATCTATCTATCTATCTATCTATCTATCCATCCAACCAATACATCCAACCAATACATCCAACCAATCCATCCAACCCATCCATCTTCAATCCATCCATCCATCCATCCATCCATCCATCCATCCATCCATCCATCCATCCATCCATCCATCCATCCATCCATCCATCCAACCAATCATCCATCTGTCCATCTATCTATCTATTGCCCATCTATCTATCTATCTATCTATCGCCTATCTATCCAACCAATCCATCCATCCATCGCCTATCTATCCAACCAATCCCTCCATCCATCCATCCATCCATCCATCCATCCATCCATCCATCCATCCATCTATCCATCTATCCATCTATCTATCTATCTATCTATCGCCTATCTATCGCCTATCTATCCAACCAATCCATCCATCTTCAATCCATCCATCCATCCATCTATCCATCACTATTATAAAACACCTGCGAAAATCTTTTTTTCATGATTATGCTCTTTTAAAATGTTATAAGAAATGTATGTATGAGTATTTATGCAAGCACATAACTGTCATAAGGAGTTACACTAAAGGCCTTCAGTTTGAAAACAACAGTCTGCTTTCCAAAAATGCATCCAAACATTTGGGGAAAAACCTTGACAACAGCGGACAACTGAATCAATAACAGTGAACAGGAGATTTCTGCTCTGTACTGACTTAACGAACAAACATGTTCTGCTGCATTAACTGCGAACAGCTAAAACACAGCGTGATTCAATTCAGTCCGTTTTGGCAGCGCAGCGATGTCCAATTTCGGCAGGACCAGCGGTCTGGATAGTTTCCAGTTGTTTGGTGTTAACAGGTGTGCTAGAGTGATTACCGTCCTGCCCTGAGGATCTGACAGCTGTCCGTCACCGAGTGCGATATGTCAGACCGCCTCGGGGACCGCCCGAAAATGATGAGCTGCTTAAACCAACTCACTAGTGCTGTGTGTATCTTATTCTGTCCAAAAACACTGGTCTAAAAGCTCATCCGAACCAATCCAGCAATCCGTGACAGCTTACAGAAAGCGGGTTTGTTGAGAATGGCATACTATCGAGTATGTCTGATGAAGGGAGTAAGAAGGTTCAGAGTCTCCAGAATCTTTGGATAACATTGCATTAAATCGATCAAAAGTGACGATTTCCATGGTTATTTTGACTCATGATATCAGTCGTGAACTGTAAACATCCCTTGATTGGCTTTGATATTTTTATTCTTAAAATCTGATTAAAAACACTAAATAACCATGTTTATTTACAAGATTAGATAACTGGATGTTACTGCCTGAAATAAACATGCATAATGAGATTGTGTGACAACCACACAGCAAATTACCATTCGAAATGTGTGTTTCATGAGTGAATCGTGTGTGCATACTGACCTGTTTCAGATCCTCATGTGCAGGTGTATCAGAGAAGCAGTAATGATGGAAAAGACCCATTTTCTGACTCAGGAGGCAGTTGACCACATGGGCGCGGGCGTTCTGCCAGTGCACCAGTCTGACCAGACCTTGATTCAGAGAGCCGCCCAGATCCACCGACCAGTTATACGTGTAAAGAGTCACCTGTAAACATAAACACACAGAGATATCTTATGAAACAGACAGACCAGACCTCACAAATCCACCAAACCTAAGTCTATTCACACTGAAAATGGAAATGCTGCATGATGTCAAACAATCAAAGTTGATTATAACACATTTAATTGTTGATACGCAGCTATGTGGAGGCTCGTCGAAGCCGGTTAAGACAAAAAACATTAAGCAATGATGTCACGGCTGGTTATATTCAACAGAACTGACCTTCTTATTGACGATGTGTATATACAGGAAGCGCTGGCGTGGAGCCACGCCCTTCACAGCCTGTCCCGGGCTCAGCCAATCACTGTGCTCCAAGGACTCGAACCGCTGCAGACCCTTATGAGCTTTAATAAAAGACAGAATTATGTGAGGTGGTGTTATTTGGGTAAAAAGATTTGTGTATATAATAGATCTGATTATAATGTCACTTCTGAATCTATTCAGTTTACCTCTAAATAACAGCTATGGGATTATTTTAGGGATCATTACATTAATTTAAAAAAAAAAAAGGTTTTATAGCCTTGAGACACGACATTTATATCATCTATAGAGTGTGTTTGAGGAGAAAGTCAACACTGAATTCACTCTTGAGTATGACATTCTCTGCTTAATTAAGCTCTAATATTTTTAAATGCCAACATCAGAACGCATACTCATCTAGAAGTTAAAACCTCTTCTGTTTCAATGGTACAGTACAAGCAGGGAGAAAAATGATCTTGCACACATGCATAAATGAGTGAACCTTCAATTAGGAGCACTTTTATCTACTTGAAAACTTGAAAAAAGAAAATTCTTTAAATATGCATAATTTATTTAAAACTATTTATTGTCCTGGAATAAAGTTTCTGTTCAACTTTAAAGATTTTGGCAATTTGTGTGATGGGTGATGACAGCAGTAATTTGAATGGACAGATGGATGGATGGATGGACAGATGGATGGATGGGCAGATGGATGGATGGGCAGATGGATGGATGGATGGGCAGATGGATGGATGGATGGGCAGATGGATGGATGGATGGGCAGATGGATGGATGGATGGGCAGATAGGTGGATGTATGTGCAGATGGATGGATGGACAGATAGATGGACAGATGGATGGATGGGCAGATGGACAGATGGATGTATGGATGGATGGATGGATGAATGGATGGGCAGATGGATGGACAGATAGATGGACAGATGGATGGATGGGCAGATGGATGGATGGACAGATGGATGGATAGGCAGATGGATGGATGGATAGATGAATGGGTGGACAGATGGATGAACGGATGGGTGGATAGGCAGATGGACAGATGGATGGATGGATAGATGAATGGGTGGACAGATGGATGAACGGATGGGTGGATGGGCGGACGGATGGATGGGCAGATGGATGGACAGATGGATGATAGGCAGATGGACAGATGGATGGATGGACAGATGAATGGGTGGATGGTCGGACGGTTGGATGGATGGACAGATGGATGGATGGACAGATAGATGGACAGATTGACAGATAGATGGAAGGATGGATGGACAGATGGATGGTTGGATGGAAGGATGGGTGAATGGAGAGATGGATTGAAGGATGGGTGGATGGAGAGATGGATGGACAGATGGATGGTTGGATGGAAGGATGGGTGGATGGATGAAGAGATGGATGGATGAAGAGATGGATGGATGGATGGATGGATGGAGAGATGGATGGATGGATGGTTGGATGGATGGAGACATGGAAGGATGGATAGATGGATGGAGAGATGGATGGATGGATGGTTGGATGGAGACATGGAAGGATGGATGGATGAACAGATTTTTTATGGTTTTGCTTTAAAGCACATTTCTCTAATGTTGAACCAGATTTCTTTGATTTCACAGAATTTCCTAAATTCATTATCGTGGGAAGTATGGTGATTATTTGAAAACACATTCATACATATCAAAAGAATGAATGTGATTTTTGTTGCCTTGTAATGTTCTTAAAAATGAGAATCTTTCCAGGACAGAAAAGTCCTATTTGAAGAATCACTCAAATCTCCAGTCCCTGTCAGAGTGTGTCTGTGGTGTAATGGAGTGATTGGGAGGAAGGGCCCCTGTCGCAGTGAGGGCCACTAGGGGTCCCATAAGGGGCCAAACTTACGTGAGCACCTATTTAGTACTGGACTGTTCTCTTCATCTGAACTGTCTTCTGTGGGCAAACAGAGATGAGCACAAACAGCTTTGCAAAACGAGACAACTATGTTAATGAGGCATTGATACACACATACATACTGTACATGCACACACACACACACACACAGTTCGGCAAGAGACAACATAAGCGAAAGAATCCATGATAACAGAAAAGCAAGAAGAATATTAATCAATCTCATAGGCTAAAAGAGATGTAAGAGATGAATACACCCAGCAATACTACAAATAAACTCACACAAGAAAAAAGAAAACATTTATTTGCAAGATCAGCCGAACACAAGATAAAAACACCAAGCGCAGCGATGTCGAAGAGATGTGATGCATCTGAGCCCACGGTGAGAAAGCGGTTAAACTATAAAGAACAAGAAGTTGATAACTTCAGCTTCGGACACAGGAGAGAGAGGTTAGAAGCCAACTGTTGACCACAGAATTCAGTCATGACCTTACACTGCCTACAGCCTGTTAAACTGCAGACAAATTAGTGGAGTATGATCTTAAAAGTCTCAGTATCATGAAGCCTGAATGTCACAGAGAAATGTCTCGGTCATATATTACCCCAAAATCAAAAAATTCATCTTGCTCAAAGACAAAGAAGCCTCTTTTAGGGCCATTCAGACTTTTTTACATTGTGACAAAATGTCATGACAATTAAGCAAAATGTACCCCCTGTATTAAGCAAATGACCCCCTGGAGCATTCGCATTAATGTAAAGTGAAACAATTATTAAATATTATTTGAATTGTAAAGCATAGCTGAAAAGTAGTTTGTAAGCATACTGAAAATCAAATATAAATCATTTCAGGACTAAATATTACATATTTGTAGTATTTATTTTTAAATGACAAAACAATTTCTGATAATACTGCAATTTTAAACATTTATTGTAGCCCTCAAACCGTATTCACTTTATAGCCCTTAATCCTGTAATTGTGGACAAATGTGGGCACAGAGCACAGAGTGTGATCCTAATTTTTATTTATTATAAATGTTATATCACTGTCTTCGATAAAGTTTTGTCTATCCATTAATGGTGTTTATTTTTATTTTGGGGGTATTTTTGAATTTATTTACTTCAAAAAGTACCATATTTTCTATGTAATTTATGCTTATTTTTGTTTGATTTTTTTTACTACATTAAAATATCATTCCAATAAGTTCTTAGAGCTAAAACCTAAAGATGAAGTGACTTTGCTGTCACCTGGTGTCTTATTTTGGCTTATTTTAGAATGCTCTAAATTACAGTTTTTCCCATTCATTTCTATGGGTGCTCATTTTTGACCCAAATACAAGATTAAGGAGTTTTTTTTTCACCCACTTAACATTGTAGAATTGAGTCAAAAAAAAATGTATGTGTTCAGGAGGCAAATTTATGGAAAGTAGCCAAGTCTTGTACCGCTCAGATTAAGGGAGTGTTTTTTTAAAAATAAATCAAAACTATTTTGCCCACATTTGTCCAGAATATGATTTTAGGGTTAAACATTATTAAGCATTTACTTATATCATTTTTTTTTTCAGTCTAATAATATAGGTTTCTTTTTCTTTATAGGAACTATTTCCTGATATTTTTTTTTTAATTTTGGGGAGAAATATGACCTGATTAGAAGATTATTTTCATGAGATTCAGATGAATATATAACGCATTACAAAGGTTAATTTTGTGCATTGTAATGCATTCCCAATGCCTTATAATTCACCTTATACAGTATGTTCTCATGAATGAGTGACATCATCACATCATTCACATCACTTTTTAGAGATTATAATGCACTATATTATATTGGCACTTGTTAATTTGGTTTTACTGAATCTACTGCAACTGTGGTTATAATAAGCTTATTCATGAAAATAAAACAAATCGTAATGCGCTCCTTGGACAGTTTACTCCAATTCAACTTCAACCTGTGTGTTAAATAATCTCTGAAGAGAGTGTAACCAAAAGCCCTATTCGGAAGAGAAATTCGTGTTACACTTATTATAAACAGCAACTTCTATCCACTCGTGAAGTTTACAAATAATAAACTGAAATTATATCAATAAATAATAATATTATATATCAATAGTCCTGTCCGAATCAGTACATGTAATCACAGACGTCGAGTGATAAGAATTGTGACTCAAACATCGTTTATAAAACTAGTCCCGTCCGATTAGGGCTTAAGATGACATGATTATTGCTGACTGGTACCTTGTTCTGTACTGCAATGCCATTGGCTGAAGTTGCGACCAATGAGAATGAAGCTCCTGGAGGTGGCAGGTGGTTGGCTGATGTGCTGGATGATTGACAGGGGGGCATAGATATCTCCCTGAGGACAGCTGCCGACACACACAGGAAACAGTTCATCGCTTTAAGCATAAACTGAATCGAATTCACCAACTAATCACAGCATCTGAAACACATGTGGACAGTTGGGATGAATGCGTCGACCAAGGTCAGGAACGCACCTGGTTCTTTCAAACACTTTGACTATGGTGTCACTGGCCAGAGAGCTCACAAGATTTACAATTTCTGAGAGGATGGAAGGCAGGAGGAAATGATGCGAGACTTCAGTTGAACAATGCTGGATGGACGGACAGCCTGTAAGACAACAAGAGAAAACGATCCTTTAATCAGGGACTTTTTCTGTAGTGTTTACAGATATAAACAAGTTCAATTTAAGACTTTTAAGACCTTTTTAATGCCACTTTGAATGAAATTTAAGACCAAACCTGTGATGAAAATAAACATTATATTACATAAGTATATTTGATATTTAATGTTTAACCTAAGTCAATGAAGTAATTTAATATTAGCTATTTGTTTAAGTAAAATCAATGTTACATTTGCAACAGCGCTCGAAATACATTATCAATCACTGTTTATGTAATAAAATCAGAATCATTCTTGCGATTCGATGCTTTACTGGTTATTTTACGGACATTGGGTCCATCCGACGGGAAAAATTTTAGCGGTAATGTGACCGTAAATGAAACAAATACCAAGTAAATGATGATTTTATTTTTATTTTAGGGTGAAATATCCCTTTAACGTGATTTAAACAAACAAAAAAAAGATGCAAAAGCATCACAGAATAAGAGTCAATTCGTTCGTTTCGTTCGTTTAATGAACCAAATGACTCTGGAAAAGATTCGTTCATTTTGATGAACGAGTTCGAACAGGAGAGTCACGAACGCTCATCACAGAACAGAGCAAGGCGAGCATTTGAGCTTATAAAACTTCAAGCTTGTTATTTATTTATTAAATGAGCGATCATTTCACTTGATAAGACCCTTATTCATCGTCTGGAATCGTTTAAAGCCCTTTGAACAGTTTGCACTGAAACTCTCATTTGGACCTTGAACCGTTTGGACCCCATTGAAGTCCATTATATGGAGAAAAATCCTGGAATGTTTTCATCAAAAACCTTAATTTCTTTTCGACTGAAGAAAGAAAGACATGGACATCTTGGATGACATGGGGGTGAGGAAATTATCAGCAAAAGTTTTTTTCAAAAGTGAACTACTCCTTTAACCTGCCTGTGTTTCACCCATATATGAAATCTGATTTAAGATTCAAATAGTCAAAAGTGGACTTACATGAAGAATGGCCAAGTTTCTTACATCATTAAATTGTAAAAATGTATCATTTACATCATTAAAATGTAAATTTCTTACATCATTGTAAAAACTCACCCAGTTTGTTCATGAAGGTGACCCAGGGCAGGTACGTGGTCTGGTAAACGGTTTGAAGAGTACCAGTATCACCTTCCTCCAGCTGGACTGCATGTCTCCTACAACACAAAGACATCCAGACATGTCTGTAGGCCTACGCGGATGATAATTGCTTTGGTTAGAGGTCATTTCAGCATTTACGTCTCTCAGGTTACGGCCATCTGAATCAGAAATGTCAGTATTCTCTCACCACCCACGACCAAATTATCTATTGTATTCGGACAACACAAAAGGATGAATGGTAATTTAATTTCCATCCCAAATGGGATCTCAGAAACTGCCAGGAAGAACTGGCCAAAAATCATTTTGGAAATCTGATTATTCTGATTTGGCTATTTGGCACAATGGCGTTTCAGAGAACATGTGTGATCCGTGTTGACAAAATCAGTGGCAACAAGCACATTTGTTAAAAATTAGTTACATTCTTTATTAAAATACACAACATTATGTATGATTTGCTGGAATCAGACGAAAATGACTGCGCTACACCTGCTTGAAGTTGATTTAAAGTCCATTTTTAAGTCAATTTTGAGAAAAAGCAAGTTTTCTAAAGGTTTCAAAACAAAATCACTAAGCCATCATACCTTAAAATCCCCAGTAACAACACCAAATTTGCCACACACCAAGTCAAAACAAAATATCTATAGGAAAAATATATATTCAACTTTTTTTTTCTCCATGATACCACAATTGTTTGATTAACATTTATTTCAACATTTTATTTAACAGACAGTTCATATATTAAGACCTACTGTACTGCACGGATGTAATATAATATTACATATCAGATCATTTTTCCCAACAGTTAACCTAACGTTTATTTAAGGCATGAGAGATAATGTTTGCGTGAATACTAGTCAAGATAGATGTTTTTAAGGTTTTTTTTTCTCCATTCGGTCACCTGACGGAGTTTTAGGACACCATTGGGTCACCTGATGGAGTTTTAGGACACCATTGGGTCACCTGATGGAGTTTTAGGACACCATTGGGCCACTTGATGGAGTTTTAGGACACCATCACCTGATGGAATTTTAGGATACCATTAGGTCACTTGATGGAGTTTTAGGACACCTTTAGGTCACCTGATGGAGTTTTAGGACACCATTGGGTCACCTGGTGGAGTTTTAGGACACCATTGGGTCACCTGGTGGAGTTTTAGGACACCATTGCGTCACCTGATGGAGTTTTAGGACACCATTGGGCCACTTGATGGAGTTTTAGGACACCATCACCTGATGGAATTTTAGGATACCATTAGGTCACTTGATGGAGTTTTAGGACACCTTTAGGTCACCTGATGGAGTTTTAGGACACCATTGGGTCACCTGGTGGAGTTTTAGGACACCATTGGGTCACCTGGTGGAGTTTTAGGACACCATTGCGTCACCTGATGGAGTTTTAGGAAACCATTGGGTCACCTGATGGAGTTTTAGGACACCATTGGGTCACCTGATGGAGTTTTAGGACACCATTGGGTCACTTGATGGAGTTTTAGGACACCATTGGGTCACCTGATGGAGTTTTAGGACACCATTGGGTCACCTGATGGAGTTTTAGGACACCATTGGGTCACCTGATGGAGTTTGGGACACCTTTAGGTCACCTGATGGAGTTTTAGGACACCATTGGGTCACCTGATGGAGTTTTAGGACACCATTGGGTCACCTGATGGAGTTTTAGGACACCATTGGGTCACCTGATGGAGTTTTAGGACACCATTGGGCCACTTGATGGAGTTTTAGGACACCATCACCTGATGGAATTTTAGGATACCATTAGGTCACTTGATGGAGTTTTAGGACACCTTTAGGTCACCTGATGGAGTTTTAGGACACCATTGGGTCACCTGGTGGAGTTTTAGGACACCATTGCGTCACCTGATGGAGTTTTAGGAAACCATTGGGTCACCTGATGGAGTTTTAGGACACCATTGGGTCACCTGATGGAGTTTTAGGACACCATTGGGTCACCTGATGGAGTTTTAGGACACCATTGGGTCACTTGATGGAGTTTTAGGACACCATTGGGTCACCTGATGGAGTTTTAGGACACCATTGGGTCACCTGATGGAGTTTGGGACACCTTTAGGTCACCTGATGGAGTTTTAGGGCACCATTGGGTCACCTGATGGAGTTTTAGGACACCATTGGGTCACCTGATGGAGTTTTAGGACACCATTGGGTCACCTGATGGAGTTTTAGGACACCATTGGGTCACCTGTTGGAGTTTTAGGACACCATTGGGTCACTTGATGGAGTTTTAGGACACCATTGGGTCACCTGTTGGAGTTTTAGGACACCATTGGGTCACTTGATGGAGTTTTAGGACACCATTGGGTCACCTGATGGAGTTTTAGGACACCATTGGGTCACCTGTTGGAGTTTTAGGACACCATTGGGTCACTTGATGGAGTTTTAGGACACCATTGGGTCACTTGATGGAGTTTTAGGACACCATTGGGTCACCTGTTGCAGTTTTAGGACACCATTGGGTCACCTGATGGAGTTTTAGGACACCATTGGGTCACCTGTTGGTGTTTTAGGACACCATTGGGTCACTTGATGGAGTTTTAGGTCACTTGATGGAGTTTTTCGGTTCCTTGCCACTGTTGCCTATGGCTTGCTCAGTTGGCGATATTCAAATTAATTAACCAATCAGTAATACCCTTGATCAGCTCTACCAAACGTGGATGTTTTTCCACTACGAAACGAATATTGTTATTATGTTTTGATTGATACTGTGAAGTTGCTTTGATGCAATCTATATCGTGAAAAGCGCTTTATAAACATACTTTGACTTGACTTGATCAGATCTGACAGTCCACGGTCCTGACAGTAAGATCGTTTTGGTTCGACAGCATGAGTTTGAAAATCTCATTTCACTGGTTCACACTCAAGCTATTGAGAATTCGCTATGATATATGAATATCACAACGTTGGAATACTGCGCTTTAAAACAATCCCAAACATGTGCTGAGAGGAAACGTGAGAAGCGAGTAGAGAAAAACAGCATTCTTAAAGGTACTCCTCTCAGAAAATGAACAAATAAAGATACTTTTAGGTGTTTAATTGCTATTTGGGCTTAAGGAACTATTTTTTATGAAAATCTAAAAAACAAAAATTTCACCTGTTTAGCTCAAATTTATCCCGACTCCTTTTCCAGCACAGGTCAAATATACATTTTTTTAAAGCTTTATATCAATTAACAAAATCTTTTTAACTAGTTTCAGTTTTAAATGGACTGTTTTGCATCTTACCATCTGAACATGAAGCGTGCGCAGATGTCATCTGAACAAACATAACCCTAGGAAACAAAACATATTTTGTACCTCTGGGCCTGCTCTTGTTCGACTGCCATGGCTTTCTCATGGTTCCACTGCTGTTTGACACTCTCCGTCTTGTGTCTCCGTCTGCCCATGCGACTGTCCTCGGCACGCTCCGGTATGATGTCATCCGTTGTCTTTGGACTGCCGAGTTCAGAAGTTTCTGGTTTACTCTACACAGACACATCATAAGACAGATAACTGGCACCAGTCCAATCATTTATGCTTCATTGCACATCATGCTGACCATCAATGCAATTTTGAAGGCGTTGACAGTCGTAATTAATGAGAGCAATTTGCTGTTAATGAAGACAGCACATGCTGAGTGTGCACACGCACCAACATTTCCCAGAAGCTGCGGCGGGTGCTTTTGCCCGTGGGCGTGGTGGACTCGGGTGTGCCGGCTCCGGCGTTCGGGGTGGAACTGGGGGCAGATATTAGGGTGATGGGAGACGGGCCGGTTCGGAGCCCGTGGGCTCCACTGGGCCGCCGATGACTCTCCTTCACCTCTTTACTGTCGCACTGCAGAAGACTCAAGGGAACTACAGTGACAAAACACTAAGGATCAGCAAAACCAGGACAAGTTCACCAACACACGCTACCGTTCAAAAGTTTGGGGTCAGTACGATTTTGTTTTTGATGGCTCTTCTGCTCACCAAGACTGCATTTATTTCATCAAAAATACAAAACAGTGAAATATTATTGCCATTTTAAATAAGTGTCTTATAAAATGTAATGTATTCCTGTGTTTAAAGCTGAATTTTCAGCATCATTACTCCAGTCTCACAGAAATCATTCGAAAATGCTAATTTGAAACATTTCTAATTATCACCAGTGTTGTCTTTTTTTCAGGATTCAGCATTTTTTTTCAGGAGAACAGCATTAATTGAAATCTTTTGTAACATTATAAAATGTTTTTATCGTCACTTTTGATCAAATTATTATTATTATTTTTTTATCGTACTGACATTCTTTTGGATGGTATTGTATTGAGCAAAACGTGTAAAACTGTCAAAAAAAAAAAAAATCAAGAAAATAAGAACAAATAATCAAACTAAAAGCATCAGCACAAATAAATACAATAAAGGAAAGAGACAAATAAAATAAACAGTGTTTTTCATTTTTTTCCGGTAGGTCTAACATTAGTTTTCAGATACAGAAATTGAATCGAAAAGAGATTAAATGTAAAACAACATTGCATATAATCCTCACTGTATAAATTAAATAAAGATTATTCGCTATTAAAGTTATAAAAGCTTTTCAGTTAACAGCGGTGAGTGATTTCCTTGTCTTTTTTTGTTTGAATAACATTAAAAACACAGACAGACAGCAGAAATATTAGGCTTCTGTCACTTTAAAGGGATACTTCACTTTTTTTGGAAATAGGCTCATTTTACAACTCCCCCAGAGTTAAACAGTTGAGTTTTACCGTCTTTGAATCCATTCAGCTGATTTTCTGATATTTAGAAGAGTATATCAGTAACCAGACAGTTTCTGGTCTCATTGACTTCCATATTTTTTCCTACTATGGAAGTCAATGAGACCAGAAACTGTCTGGTTACTGATATTCTTCTAAATATCAAAAAAATTTGCTGAATGGATTCAAAAACGGTAAAACTGAACTGTTTAACTCTGGGGGAGTTATAAAATGAGCCTATTTCCAAAAAAAAAGTGGAGTATCCCTTTAAGAGTAATCCAGTGATCCAATGATACTGATACACATGTTGTCTATATCAGATGTTTACATTCACTTAAGACATATCCTACTGTGTTTGGATGTGTAGGATACTCGCCAAGACGGCATGTTGAAAACGTTTGTGTGAACGTTAGAAGTCTTTTGAAAACATATTTGCACTTTTAATATCTATTTTAAATGTTTATTTTAATTTTGGGGATGAACCTAGATATTTCTTGTAAAACACTTTGGTCAATCAAGGTCGATTTGGTAACACTTTACTTGAAGGGGTGTTCATAAGACTGACATGACACCTTCATAACCATGACATGACATTTGTCTTGAATATGAAGTAAGTTTTATGCATGTTTATGACAATTTGCTCAATATTGACATTTTGAATGCATATATGACATTGTTTAAGATGTCTTTGTTATGACACCTTGACATAAACCCTAACATCATAACCTGCCAGTGTCTTTGTCATGACAACTCGACATTAAATTAAGTTAATCTGTCATGTGGTTGGCTTTGACATTGGCTGTCATGAGGCATTATAACCGTCATGAATATTTTCCATGACCTCAACTACAGTGTTACTAATTGAATTTGTCATTAAAAAGTTATAATGGCTTCATGACAGCCAATGTCAACCAATAAAGCTAAGTGGTTTCTTACGTTTTATAATAAATCTGCTATGTCATGTTTATGACCGGTTATGACAGCATATCACATGGGCATCAGCTCATCACCTGTGGTTTCATCCCGTTGGGCGGCGGCAGGCAGACAGAATGTGTCCAGACATAACGGGTTGGGCAGCACGCGCATCTCCATGATGACATCACCGAGGGCGTGGCGTAGGGCGGCCCTCAGCCTGTCCGTCAGCTGCAGCGGGCTGACATTACCCTGCTCCCACACGTCGAAGCGCACACGCACAGCTGCTCCTGCGCACACACATCAACACACATGCGTTTAAAGTTGTATGAAACGAATATTGCGCTAGACTTTTGTGACAAACTTTTCTTGACATTAACTTTTTTTACATTTTCTCTGGCCACAATTTTGACCATCAATGGGAAAAAAAACTGCCATATAGATATTTTTAATATTATCTCATAATTTGTCAGCAGGTATATTAGGCTGCTGTCACTTTAAGACCTGACGCATGGATCCATGATTACACTATTACGCATGTCTTTTCTTTCTCAACTCACTTGAAACATAACGGACTGTGCTTACGTGAATACTCGCCAAATTTGACATTATTTTGTGTTTATTTGACTGTTTACGAGCACAAATGAACTCTAAGCACTGAGAGGCGGCTTTATGTGTGTGTACTGTGTGTGAGCACAAAATCTGCGGGAATGAGTAAAGTTATGCGCAATATGTGCGATCCCACACTGAAATTCAAGATTTGTAACAGCATCAATATTCATCCGAAGCAAATAAAACGAGTGAGTCAGTGGAGGCGGGTTTGTGTGTAAGTGCGAGAAAGCGCAGCTGGTATTGTGTATCTATTATGCAGAAATTTACTATTAGAAGCATTTCATAAATTTTAGTATCAATAGGTATCGAAAAATTCATATTTTTGACAACACTACACTGCACTTAGTTTATAATTTCAGATGCCTATTTAGAAGTCTACAATTTAAAAATGCATATATTATATTAGGGCTGTCAAACGATTTATCGCGATTAATCGCATCCAAAATAAAAGTTTGTGTTTACATAATATATGTGGGTGCACTGTGTATAATTATTTTGTGTACATGTATATATATATATATATATATATAAATACACACACATGCATGTATATTTAAGAAAATATATTATTTATATATAAAATATTTAGATTTACATATATAAATTATATATATATTAGGGCTGTGCAAAAATTAATTGCGATTAATCGAATCCAAAATAAAAGTCTGTGTTTACATAATATATGTGTGCGTAGTGTGTAAAATTATTTTGTATATATAAATACACACACATGCATGAATATATTTAAGAAAATGTGTTATTCATATATAAAATATTTATATTTATATAATATAGATTATATATTTATATATATATACACAGAATTTAAGCGCAAATAATTCTTAAATATATACATGCATGCATAGGTATTTATATATACACAAAATAATTATATACAGCACACACAAATATATTATGCAAACACAGACTTTTATTTTGGATGCGATTAATCGCAATTAATTTTTGCACAGCCCTAATATAAATCTATATACATGAAAATACTTCTTAAATATATACAAGCATGTGCATGTATTTGTATATATAGAATAATTATACACAGTGCACCCACATATATTATGTAAACACAGACTTTTATTTTGGATGCGATTAATCGCGATTAATCGTTTGACAGCCCTATATTATATATAAAACTCAACCAGCCAAAGTGGCTAGTAGTAATGTACATCCGCATTTGGTGAGTGTTAACGACGTCAAGGGAATTGATTGGATGGTTGTGGTTTTCTATTGGTGGATCTCAACTGAGTGACAGGTTATAGCCCCGCCCTCGTCATTAGAGAAGAGAGGAGATGATGTGCGGGGAGGGGAAGTTAGTCTGATTCAAGATTATGTGGGCACATGAATTACTGTTTGTTTGCAAAAGCTTCCCAACCTGAGCTCTGGCTGAGAGAGTCCACCTTAACAACCGTCGTCAAGGCCTCAAACTGGTCTGGCTGGAGCGGGATGGTGGAAACGTCAGCTCTAAGAGCCGGTCCGCTGCCGTCCTGAGCGGGAACCTGCAGCACGCAGCCTTTAGCGTCCACGAATGAGAGCGCGATGCAGGCGATACCTGGAGAGCGCAGCAAGAGAACACGGTTAGAGGAGAAAGTGATGGAGTAAATGAGCTTGACTGAGAACAGATGCAAAAAATGATGCAACTCAAATGAAAGCAATACATTCATCTTGTGCTGAAAGACAAACGGGGGTTTGCTATAGAGACGCATGCTGATGCAAACTAAGCCACTGATTTTTATTAAAAGGAACAAATCTTGTTATATGAAGGTCACAAGAAATCAGTCTTTAAACTTTTTCCACATATCCTCATCATTTATGATGCTTCTTTTTCAAATGCCTTTTATGTACAGATCTGATGCATAACATTTCAATAGTAGAGTATGAAAAAGCATCATGATGTTCACAAAAAGCGGAAAAAAAACCCCAAAATTTATTTTCTTGTATTTATTTCAAAAATTGTGCCGTGCCTTAAAAAAAACAAAAAATTAGTTTTAATACTGTTAGTTTTTCAAAAGTTGTGCAGTTATATAGCACTTGTTTTTCCATTTCCATTCAAGCTGTAATTTAGTCAAATTATGCAAAAAGTGTGAACATATTATTTAACAGTAGAGATGCACGGACACTAAATATCTCAATTTTAACGTCTTAACACTTGTGCATCAATTAAAAAAAGTCACACATAGAGGACAAAAATGTCTGTCAAAAAACTGTCATAAAAATGTGAATCTTGGGAGCACAGAGTTAAGCTTTATTTTTATTATTATAGGTATTATTTTTATATTATTATAGGTATTATTTTATTATAGGTATTATTTTAAAGAGGACCCTTAGAAGATTATTCCTTACGTAAAATAATAATAATAATAAGTAAATCCAAAAAAAGAAGTTATATAGGTATAAGTTTATGAAAATTATTTTATATAAAAAAAATAAAACGGCAAGAAAATCAAAGCCATAAATCTAAATAAGTTGTGTTCCAAATTTGAGGATGATATCTCAAAAAAATGATCTTACGCTTATGATCTTAAGTTTTTCTCTCTCAAATATTACAAGCACACAAACACATATACACACAAACACAAAAAAATGTATCGAATGAAAGCCTCTTAACAAAGATTGCATCATTTTATAGTTAATTGGCCCTGTGATTAAAAATTGCAGTTTCAATGGGCACATAAAAATCCATATGTCCATAAAATAGATATAAAATAATATCTAGATATAAAATGCTAGATAAATAAATAAAATCTCTTTCCACAATTCTCATTTTCACCACAAAACAGAAAACGTTGATCAGATGAAAAACTTGACCAAAAAAAAAAAAAAAAAACTTAAATGAAAATAAGAAATGTTGTCTAAGTTGAAGAGCTAAAATGACTACAACTGAAATAAAAATGCAAAACAAAATTACAAAAAAAATTAAGAGAGTTTATTTTCTAAAAGTGCCCCCATATGTAGCCTTAAATTATATAAACACAACTATATTTCAGAAAAACAATGCCTCTACTTGAGCACAAACTCTCATAAATCCTTGAAATGGGTTTTTCTGCTGTTGCATCGACTCGGTTGTGCTGTTTACAGCGTGAAGCCGCGGCTCTGATAAGCGCAGAAAGAGAGAGATTTCCATCATTAGATTCTCAGAGATCGATGGCGCCTTCGCTCCAGTGGTTGTGGCTATAAGAAAGCCTCGCAAACAGAGCGGCGGTCGCATTAAAAGGCATTAGCAGCAAACAGTGGAGCGCGAGCAGGGATTTATCCAGCTGCTTGTATTAGCGTATGCCGTTAGCGGTTTGAAGCATGATCGATGTGTAAGTGTGTGTGTGTGCCAGATATCAGATACTAATGCGTTGCACACACACAATCATATCACATGCTAAAGTGTGCATGTATTCTGCATGCGTGTGGCCTGGATGCATGTAGGAAAGGTCTGAAACACAGTACATAAAAGCAAGTTCAATTTCCTGCAACAGCGCACTCCTGAAATGTGTCAGGATGTGATTCACAAGGCAATGCAAAGCAAGAACGTGTTGCTTTCAGAGCAGTGCCAATCAAGGAATAGCTTCTCTTTGCCCTCTCATCTAAGAAGTCCGTTCGCTGTGATCTTTTAAGAGCACTTGATGAGGTGTGATGTAGTGTGGCGTGACCCCTGCGCTCCAGCGAGACGACAGAGAAGGGCCCTTCAATCTCTGCTGGACTCTGCCTGTCTGACCGAAGCCCTAGAGCCCATCATGGAAGTCACTTTCGGATTTATAATGAGTGTGTGAATGAGATGACTTTGGACACAGACAATCTGATCTCAAACACACGGTACAAAGTGAACATTTAACGAAGTAAAAACACACTAGGGATGGGCAACGATTAATCGCATCCAAAATAAAAGTTTGTGTGTGTATAATTAATCTGTGTATGAAGAGTTCAGATGCAAAAGCCTCTAAATGCCATTTGAAATTTTCTTCTTTAATGATGATTTTTATGAAACTTGTATATTTAAGTTCAGTGATTTCACTTAAATGGCAATGATAATTACCTATTAATTGTTATTTAAGTGAAATTACGGAACTTAAATATACAAGTTTGATAAAAATCCTCATTAAAGAAGAAAATTTCAAATGGCATTTAGAGGTTTTTGCATCTGAACTCTTCATATATAAATACCCACATGCAGTGTTGGGTAAGTTACTCTAAAAAAGTAATCAATTACTAGTTACTAATTACCTCTTCAACAATGTAATTAGATTACTGTATGAATTACTCTCTCTAAAAAGTATTTAATTACTAATTAATTTCAAAATCCAATTTCAATCTCAACCAGCTGAATAATACAAGAATAGACATGAATCTGTTTTAATTCTTTCAAATAAATACTATAAAATTGCATGAATTATCCTTAAAATGTCCAAGGTGGAGAAGGTTACATTATAAAAACATACTTTTTAACATCAGACAATACATTTTGATGTTAAACCCACTATTGTTTTATGTCTGATCTCATGACATTTCACACTTTTTTTCCACGCATATTTTACAATAATTACGTACGAATTCGCATGCGAATTTGTACGAGTGCGGTCGTACGATTTAGACACCTCATAAAATGCATACGAATCGCTGTGAGATCGGATTGATCTATACACAGTATTTACCTCAATTACATCAGAAGTAACTGTAATTAAATTACAGATAAATGAAGAGTAATACCTTACTTTACATTTTCAAGGGAAAAGTAATGAAATTACAGTAACTAATTACTTAGTAATTATTTACACCCAACACTGCCCACATGCATGTATATATTTAAGAAATATGTGCATGTATATATTTTATATATATTTATTCACAATTAAAATTATATATAAATATTTGATATATTAAGAACACATTTTTCTTAAATATATACAAGCATGTGTGGGTATTTATATATACAAAATAATTATACACACTACACCCACATATATTATGTAAACACAAACTTTTATTTTGGATGCGATTAATCGTTGCCCATCCCTAAAACACACAATGTGAAATTGTCATATACAATGAAAGAATAAATGTAGCAATACTTGCAAAAATTTGAAGGGTTGTTTCGAAAGATTAAGATTATACAGAAGCACTGTAAATTCACCTTAAAGTTTTATACATTAAAATTAGTTAAAGATAACATAAACTAACATTTCTTAACTAGTTTTTATTTTACTACTAATCTGGTGTTCAAACGTTTGCGGATGAGGCGTAAAGTGCGGTGCGGTAGATGCAAATATGCCTCATTCGTGTGTCAAGTTCACGCGAATTGAGCGTCTGGCGCGTTACGCGCAAATGATTTAGTTAGTGCTATTTGTGCATTCACGCGTTTGACGCGCGAGTTGAAAAATCTGAACTTTGGCGTCAATTCGCAGTGGATGCTTCAATAAATTATTGTGTAATATGACTAAATTTGTGTGGTTCTAATGCACAACAAAGCAAATATTTTATCACTCAAAACTTTATTTCAATATACGAGACAATATGAATGAACTCGAAATGACTCGAAAAAAGATTCGTTCATTTTGATGAACGAGTTCGAACAGGAGAGTCACGAACGCGCATCACAGAGCAATGCTTATAAAACTTAAACTTTGTTATTTATTTTTTAAATGAGTGATCGTTTCGCTTGATAAGACCCTTATTCATCGTCTGGAGTCGTTTAAAGCCCTTTGAAGCTGCACTGAAACTCTCACATGGGGGTGAGTAAATTATCAGCAAAAGTTTTTTTTAAAAGTGAACTACTCCTTTAAATGTTATTTGATACTTCCTAACTAAGCAAACATAAAGGCACATATTGCAATACTATTGCAAGAGGTCAATCGTTGATTGTTTGCACAATGCTCCTTTTCTCAGTGCACTTCACACTGACTGACTGTGTGATTGTGAGTATTAAATTTAGTTTTAATACACGCCAGAAGCATTCAACATCTCCTAGCATTAGCAAGGTGTTTTGAGTTGGTGATTGGGCAGCCAGCTTAAAGGAACAGTTCACCCAATTTAAAAACAAACAAAGTTATTTATTTTCTCTTATATGCATCTGCATTTTGATGTAAGACAATCTGTAATGGAAATAAAAACAGTCGCGCTTCCCATTTTTCAATCTGAGCATGAATAAAAATGAGATTTTCAGCAAACAACCGATTCAAATTCAATCAGTTCCTAAATATAAACTTATGCAATGGCTTGGAATATAGTGCGCTGGTCAAATGGACAACTTCTATGATGCTTTTTTATAATTTTTAAGCTATAGCTACAGGTATATATCTAGATACAGTAGCTATAGAGATTATGTTAAACTTTTCCATCCTGTTTCCATCCAAAGTTACGAATTTTACTTAAGCGCAAAATTATAACATCGTATCGAACATTTGAAAAAATAAAGTGCTGTTTCCATCCAGAACAAAAAACTGCCTTCCTGAAAAATGCCGCAAAATGTCACTAGGAAAAATGTCTTGTTATCTTGTGTTCGGAGGCGAATGCCTGGTGTTTGGGAAAGCAGTCGTATAAGACAGTTTTGGGAGATAGATCATTAAACCGACAGACTTTGCTTTGGCGTTTCCATCTAGCATTTTTGTATGTTGTAAAAACTGGGTATACAAATAGGTGGATGGAAACAGCTACAACATGAGGGTGAGTAAACTTTCATTTTTGGGTGAACTACCCTTTTATCATGTGACCATGCAGTTCCACACGCAGCCAGTGGGGGCGCCACGGGACACACAGCAGAACAGTGGTGTGGGTGGAGGGTCTTATACCTTGAAACTGAGAGGTTGGGAAGAGATTCTGAACAAGGTCCGACATTGTACCTGAGGCACGACAGACACCCACAGGACAGAAACAATGAATGGGACAAATCAACATTAATGATCAACCAATAAGCAGTGTTGGGGATTTAAGAGTAGCGGCACCAACTTTAAGTTGCAGTGTGCGATTTCTTCGTCACTCGCAGCACTAAAGTAGTTTGAGCATTGAGAATCAGTGTCAGAAAACCTCTTTTCTAGAGTTTATTTTACCAGTTTTAAGCTTTTCAAGATTTTTAAACAATTCAAGTCATCAATTAATGTTCACGTTGAAAATTCACGTAAAAAACGCAGCTTAAAACCTCTCTGGTTTGAAAATATTAATGGATTTTAGGCTTAAAATGAAAGATTATTTCTCCAATGGCCTTTCAATGTGGCACAACCGTAACTTCACGTCAGTTGTATTGTGGGTACATTGGTGTTTGAGTTTGAATCAGCTACTGTAGTCGGCATACTAATTGCTTTTGTACCAGAATACTGATTAAAATGAAATAAAGTTGCTTGGCAAGCTACAATTTCAGAAAACTACTGAGAGAGATGAAGAGAAACAGGAAGATGAACATAGAGGTAACATTCAAATGCTAATTTCAATTAAATTGCCTGCATTAACATCAGTGTTGTTACTGTTAACTAAACTTTTTTAATTAAAATACGAAAATTAGTTGATAAACCTATTTAAACCACCAATGTTCCCTTGGCAAGTCAATTAAATAAAACTATTAAAAGTACTAAAACTCACACCAAAATAATTGAAACCTTAATAAATATATATATATTAAAGTCAAAATAAAATTATGAAAGCACAGAAAATTACTAAAATATTATAATATTAATAATATATATATATATATATATATATATATATATATATATATATATATATATACACACACACACACACACTACCGGTCAAAAGTTTTAGATCGGTAAGATTTTTTGTTTTTAAAAGAAGTCTCTTCTGCTCACCAAGGCTGCAATTATTTGATAAAAAATACAAAAAAAAAAAAAGTAATATTGTGAAATATTATTACAATTTAAAACAGTGGTTATCTATGTGAATATATAGTGAAGTGTAATTTATTCCAGTGATCAAAGCTGAATTTACAGCATCATTTCTCTAGTCTTCAGTGTCACATGATCCTACAGAAATTATTATAATATGATGCTGAAGAAACATTTATGATTATTATCCATGTTGAAAACAGTTTTTTACATTTTTATTTCAGGATTCTTTGATGAATAGAAAGTTCAAAAGAACAGAATTGATCTGAAATGGAAAGCTTTTGTAACATTAAATCACTACCATTCAAAAGTTTGGGGTCAATAAGAATTTATTTTTTTATTTTTGGGGGAAAGAAATTAGAAAATACTTTTATTCATCAAGGATGAGTTAAATTGATCAAAAGTTACAGTAAAGACATTTATAATGTTAGAAAAGATTATATTTTAAATAAATGCTGTTCATTTGAACTTTCTATTCATCATAGAATTTTGGAGGAAAAAAATGGTACACGACTGTTTTCAACATTGAAAATAATAATTTATGTTTTTTGAGCATAAAATCAGCATATTAGAATGATTTCTGAAGGATCATGCGACACTGAAAACTGATGTGTAATCAGCAACGGTAATGATGTTGAAAATTCAGCTTTCAAATTACATTTTAAAACATATTAAAATAGAAAACAGTCATTTTAAATTGCCATAATATTTCACAATATTACTGTTTGTCATTTTTTTTTATCAAATAAAGCAGCCTTGGTGAGCAGAAGAGACTTCATTTAAAAACATAAAAAAATCGTACTGATCTAAAACCTTTGACCGGTAGTGTATATATATATATATATATATAATTTTTATTATTAATATTATATAAACACATACACAATAAAACAATATAAAAATAAAAACATGGAACATATAATTAATGCTAAAATAACACTGATTAATGTACTTGCGTATGATATGTTTTGAGTCATCCCAGGACATGTAATGGCTTGTGGGAAACTCAAACCCATCTCATATGCACACAGCACTGGTCAAGCTGATAATAGTGAACATCTCAGTGAAGTCCTGCCAACCCCTGGAGGAGCTGCTCCGACCTCTCGGGAACCGATATTACCGTCATCCTGCATCAATAAACCCACAAGTAGACGATTCCAGAGCCACAAAGCCCATTATTTACATTCTGATGAAGTGCATGAGAGCATCCAGTAATGGTCCTTTTAATAGCGGGTGCATTAGGAGATCTTCAGGAGCAGCTCTTCCAGGTGTTTGGGTGGACTGTCAGTTCATTAGTGTTAAAGAAGGGGAGAGGAACCCTGTGGCTCCCACTTCTGCTGTCTCCTCCTGACAATGATCTCTCTGCAATATTAGGACCCTAAGAGGCTTGTTAAAGACGCTTCACGTTAATGAGACAGACCCTGCGCAGCACTCACAAACTTTACACTCATACTCCAGTATATTTATAAACTGCACATTCAGCCCAAAGGAGTGTTAAAACACCCTGATTTGAGGACCTAAAGGGGTCGGACGCAGATTTCAGATCAGATTTGAAATGAAAGGCCAGATTTTAAACTGTACCGTAAATTTCCCACTTAAAGAAGTTCGACTGTATTTTTCTGTAAGCCTCAGTAGAAGAATCGAAGAGTTCAGACGCAAAAGCCTCTAAATGCCATTGATGATTTTTATCAAACTTGTATATTTAACTTCAGTAATTTCACTTAAATAACAATTGATAGGTAATTATCATTGCCATTTAAGTGAAATCACTGAACTTAAATATACAAGCTTGATAATAATGATCATTCTAGAAGAAAATTTCAAATGGCACTTAGAGGCTTTTGCATCTGAACTCTTCAATCATGGCCATTGTTATTAGTCATAATTAAGCTATAATTGCGAATTTTGCCGGTCTAAATTTAGATGTTGATGAAGAATAGTAAAAGTATGCCAGAAAACACATCCTCATCAAGATTGCATTTATTTGATCGAAAATTACAGTCACATTGTGAAATATTATCACAGTATAAAATAATGGTTAATTTTTTTAGAACATTTTTCATTGATGAATAAAAGTCAAAATAGAAATCTTTACTATTACTTTTTATCAATTTAACACATCCTTGCTGAATAGTGTGTATTAATTTCTTTCAAAAAGGAAATAATTACTGACCCCAAACTTATATTGTTACACACGATTTCTATTTTAAATCAATGCTGTTATTTTTTTTTTTTACTTTTTATTCATTGAAGATTCCTGAAAAAGGTCTCACAGGTTATTAAAAAATTACGCAGCACTAATGTCTCCAACAATGATAAAAAATCAGCATATCAGAGTGATTTCTGAAGGATCATGTGACACCGAAGACTGGAGTAATGATGCTGAAAATTCAGCTTTGATCAAATAAGTTATTTTTTAAAGTATATTTAAAATAGGAAACAATTATTTTAAATTGTAATAATATTTCAAAATCTTACTGTGCTTTTTACCTTGCTGAGCATTTTCAAAAACATTAAAATTAGTAATGTTTCCAAACTTTTGACCAGTACTGTATATATAAATACAACAAATTTTATTCATAAAAAAAAAATTCATGAACATTTGTGTCCTTATATACAGTACATGTTATGTACAACTTCAACCACTGCTTAATACCTATTATACCTATACTAATACTACCTTTAGTACACTTAGATCCAGGAACAATGAATTATGGGGAGGAGCTCAGTCAAGACGCACTGGTGTAAATAGAGAAATGTGCTCGCTCTTTAATAAGGTGAAGCTAAACAACACTGGCCAGTCAGCAAATCTAGCGAGATGGAGAGAAACTGCCAGCAAACACAGATGGAAGGAAGAAATAAAACTCATAAAGGTAAACAGGCAAAGTGTGTGTTATTCAGGGCCTCAGAAATAAGGCGCGAAAGGAGTCACACACACCGAAAAAGGAGATGCGGATGATGTTTGCTAGCTAGGCTGGGAGAATATGAGTGTTTTTACCTTTGCCTCCGGTTCCTTGGCCTCCAGGTTTATTGTACAGATAGATGTCATGATCCGGCAGCTCGCTGCTCAAATGGAAGTAATGCTACAGCGAGAAACAAAGAAAACTGATTTATCTAAAATTAAAACAATGGTTACACTTTACAATAATGTTCCAGTAGTTACCGTTAATAAATGCCAAACATTTAGCAATTCAGTTGTTACAGTATGTATTCATCTTTGGTAATGTTAGCTCAGGTGCATTCATTAATATATTAACAGATACACTTTTTGATTTCAATAGTGTAATAGTAAACGCTGACATTCCCATTAAGATTAATTTAGAAGTATTTTTCATTGTTAATAATCTCATTTTAACAAATAGAATCAGCCCAAAAATTATGCATGCATATTTTATATCTTCATAATGATCCTCTTTTTTGAAGAACTGGCCATAATTATAGATTTTTTCCTTATGATTAGGTACTGATATTTGTAATTAATAGATAATGTTAGCCCGTTTTTAAAAATCAGACCTTAAAAAGGTACTAAGTTGTAATTATAATCACTTGTTCGCCATTATGTGAGAAAAGCACCATGACTATTGTGCACTTCTAATCACATATTAGCTTCTAAAAAAGGGACATTTAAGAGAACACAGAAATGCAACAGTGTGTGTTTTTATGACTTGGCTCCCGGTGGAGAAGTGTATTATGGGAGCTCTCTGAATGAACTCTCAGTGACCTGTTAAACAGAACCGCACTCACTCAGAGAGCAGAAATGTCTAAACACATTTGCAGAGCTCTGCTGCGCTCACACGTTATCTACGGGCTTCGCTTCACACCCACAGGAAAGTATAAACCGCTTACTGCAAACCACTTTTTACACTTTTCTTTATATATATATATATATTTACATAATCAGTAGTATTTCTAACGAATGGATTTCAGACCATTTTAACATGATTTGCGAAAGTGAAAAATTTGAAAGTTACTTTTTTGAAAAATTTGAGTTACTTTTCTTTTTAAAAAAAGCACATTTCATTTGCAAAATATTTAGTTTTAGTTTAAAAATTCTAATAATATAATAATCATAATAATTCAAAATAAACCATGTGATTATTCTTAAGTATTTTAAATATAATTATGCATAATTTTTCATGTTATGATTCATGAGTCATTCTCCCCCTGTGTAATATTTCTTCACAAAAGCTTAAAGGAGTAGTTAACTTTTGAAAAACACTTTTGCTGATAATTTACTCACCCCCATGTCATCCAAGATGTCCATGTCTTTCTTTCTTCAGTCGAAAAGAAATTAAGGTTTTTGATGAAAACATTCCAGCATTTTTTCTCCATATAATGGACTTCAATGGGGTCCAAATGGTTCAAGGTCCAAAAGACCGTTTCAGTGCAAACTGCAAACTGTTCAAAGGGCTTTAAACGATTCCAGGCGATGAATAAGGGTCGTATCAAGTGAAACGATCACTCATTTAATAAATAAATAACAAAGTTTAAGTTTTATAAACTCAAATGCTCGCCTTAATCTGTTTGTGACTCTCCTGTTCGAACTCGTTCATCAAAACGGAAAATCTTTTTTTGAGTTATTTGGTTTATTCAACGAACGAAATTAACGAAATGACTCTAAAAAAGTCATTTCGATTTTTTCATCGTCTGGAATCGTTTAAAGCCCTTTGAACAGTTTGCACTAAAACTCTCATTTGAACCTTGAACCGTTTGGTCCCCATTGAAGTCCATTATATGGAGAAAAATCCTGGAATGTTTTCATCAAAAACCTTAATTTCTTTTCGACTGAAGAAAGAAAGACATGGACATCTTGGATGACATGGGGGTGAGTAAATTATCAGCAAAAGTTTTTTTAAAAGTGAACTACTCCTTTAAATTACATCACGTTTAAATGTTTTGGTATGATTCTGCAGTGTATAAACCGTACTGAACAGATTACTTGCCGATTTATAATAAGTTACAGATTTTATAACTTAAATCTACAGCATTGCTTCTCTGACACGTGACCATCTCTATTAATCAAAAGCACTGGGAATGTGTCCGTCCGAGTGTACCTTGAAGTGGTGCTCGATGTTGCTGTCGGTGTATTTGGGGATGTGGAGGAAGATGAGGAGGTTCTGGCGGAGGTAGTGAGCCACGGCCTGGATCCACGGCACACAGTACTGAGGCAGACAGAACTCCATCACCTCCGTCGCCGGAGAGCCGGGAGGCTGAATGAACTGACACAAAGAGGAAAGAGTGGACGTGTAAAAAATGATGTGTAATCAACACAAATCACATCCACAGTCTATTATCCAAGCGTTAAATCTCAGACGACACGCCAGCTGACCGCCCACAGACGGAAACTGGGCCTCTGATGTACAGAGAGAGAAACAGAGACCGCACCTTTTCGGCGATACTTCAAATAATCTTCAATAAAAACTCACAACATTACAAGCTTTGATTCAAAGCAAGAAGTATTTAAAAAATCAGAAAAGAGCAAAAAGAAAACACAGTGCATGAGTGCATATTTTTTCACAAATGTGTCTCTGCATAACAAAGTAAAATATCGTTTGCTTAAAGTCCCCCTGAAGTCAATCATTTTATCCCTTAAAACTGATATTTGATCACATTTAAAAGTTTTTTCCTTGAAAAAAAATCTTCAAGCCTTAAAATAGCTTGAATGTAATCCGACACCAGTGTTGGGTAAGTTACTCTAAAAAAGTAATTAATTACTAGTTACTAATTACCTCTTCAACAGTGTAATTAGATTACACTCTCTAAAAAGTATTTAATTACTTTTAATTACTAATTACTTTCAAAATCTCATATCAATCTCATCCAGGATAGACATGAATCTGTTTTAATTCTTTCAAATAAATACTATAAAATGACATTATAAAAACATACTTTTTTAGCATCAGACAATACATTTTGATGTTAAACCCACTATTGTTTTATGTCTGATCTCATGACATTTCACACTTTTTTCATACATATTTTACAATAATTCATATGAATTTGTACGAGTGCGGTCGTAATATTTAGACACCTCATAAAATGCATACGAATCGCTGTGAGATCGGATTGATCTATACACAGTATTTACCTCAATTACATCAGAAGTAACTGTAATTAAATTACAGATAAATGAAGAGTAATCCCTTACATTTTCAAGGGAAAAGTAATTAAATTACAGTAACTAATTACTTAGTAATTAGTTACACCCAACACTGTCCAACACCCTTGCCTCATTTAGTGTATGTGGTTCTATGAATATGCAAATGAGCCCCGCCTCCACTCACTCACTCAGCTCAGAGATCCACACGTTGACCTGGGGTGTGTTTCCCGTACAACGATGTAACTCGATGCATCGTTGAAGAAATCAACTAGCTCGTCACGACCGTTTCCCGAAACCATATCATCGCAAATCGGACGTTCAACCACGTAGGTTTATGACATCACGCACGTGGTGGACTTTTTTAATGGTTTTAATAAAACAGTCGAATTAATGCTAGATGTTTTGCTATAAATTACACAGACATGGCATCTGAGGAATATTTCTAACTTTTCTCTTTTTTTTTCAGATCGTTCTTACACACTAGAGATCGTTCGCACATGCGCACTCTTCAAAAACAATGCTTTGAATCTCTTGATAAACTCAAAGACCTAAATTATATTTGTATGTATTCTAGGGCTGTCAATCAATTAATCGCATCCAAAATAAAAGTATATGTTTACATAATATATGTAGGTGCAAAGTGTATAATTATTTTTTATATATATAAATACACACACATGCTTGCTAGAAATATTTTCATGTATATACTGTATATGAAGAGTTCAGATGCAAAAGCCTCTAAGTGCCATTTGAAATTTTCTTCTAGAATGACCATTTTTATCAAACTTGTATATTTAAGTTCAGTGATTTCACTTAAATGGCAATGATAATTACCTATTAATTGTTATTTAAGTGAAATTACTGAACTTAAATATACAAGTTTGATAAAAATCATCATTAAAGAGGTTTTTGCATCTGAACTCTTCATATAGATTTATATATAATTTATATTATAAATATTTTACATATAAATAATTTTTTTTCTTAAATATACATGCATGTGTGTGTATTTATAAATATATATATATACAAAATAATTATACACAGTGCACCCACATATATTATGTAAACACAAAATTTTATTTTGGATGCGATTAATCACGATTAATCGTTTGACAGCCCTAATGTATTCTAAATAAAAGTGTCAGTTTGCTTATTTTACTCAAGATAAGGATTTATTAAGTGCACGTCATCGAATCTAGAAACAAAGAACGAGAGCTGTCGTTCCAAACACACATTGCGATGCCGTTTGCGAACGATGGTTTCGGGAAACACCGACTCGTTGAACTACACTGATAATGACGGAAATTGCAACCATAGTTGGCTTGGCTAACGATGCTTTCGGGAAACGCACCCCTGATTGGTTACAATGTCGTTTGTGGCGTCAGAAACACCAGCGATTTCAAAGCGTGTTTTTGTTTCACAGCAGTTTTAACCCTTGTGCTGCATTAGATTTTTAACACCGTTGAGTGCATTAAGGACCAAAAATGGCCACATATTAAACATTGCCTAAAATATTATATATTATTATTATTTTCCACTTTTACCAAGTTAAATCTTTTAACCAGCATCAGTCCTCATCATAACTACCAAAAATGTATTCAATTTCAGGATTTTAACCCTTTAATTACCAGTTTTGTTTGCGAAACCATCGATTTGTATAAGAGGAAAAAACACAAAAATTCAATTATTTTCAATAAACTAAATGCAAAGAGAAAACTTTAGATTTGGATTATCACAGTCCCACTTTGCAAAAAATCCCACTTAGCGCGTTAGAGACCAAAAATGGCCACCTATTAAACATTGCCTATTGCCTAAAATAAGGTGCATTTCCACCCATAGGGAATAAATATGTAGTGACGTCATCTGGTGGAATACACTATATAATGCAAATATAATGCTTTTGCTTCAAAATGAAAGGATGTTTGTGCAAAAATCATGTTTCATGTATTACTGACGGCCTCAGATTTAAACAACGTTTTAATGGGTTTCAATGGGCCATTTTTGGTCTTTATGGTGCTGAGTGTTACTATTTGATCTACACAGTGTGTGTTATACATATTTTGCAAAATGGGATCACATTTTTTACATGTATCCAAAAAGTCACCATTTTGCCAAATTTCATACCATTTGCATTAAAACAGCCAAAATGGTCAAAGAAATTAAACTGCAAAAGACCAAAAATGTCCCTAATGCAGCATAAGGGTTAAGGAGGAAATACTCAGCAATGCTGTCGACTTATGAATTTACACATGGCTTGTCTTGAAGCATATTAAAAAGATGTGTAAACAACATTAAAAGCTTGATTTTCACCACAGGGGGGACTTTAATCTGTTCTGCATCAGCCTGTGGTTAAGAACAAGTCAGACACAGAAAAAAGAGGGTTGAAAAGAGAGATGGTGGATGAGACGGAGAAAGAGGGATCACCTCCACATCTGCAGGCGTCAGTTTACAGTTCCTGACCAGCATGACTGTAATAATGTCCAGCGTGGCCTCGTCCAGACGCTTCCTCAATACCTTCACTAACTCATCGGTGATCTCTGGACCTGTACATCACAAAACATAACATCTCACTGTAGTATATGTCATATTATGCAGGTAAAATTGCTCACAGATTGGAAGCCACTTCATATTGACTTTCGATTTATAAATCAAGCCTCCCTCAGAGCTGCTCGCCTAAGCATGAAAAGTCCCAATAAATTACAAATACGCATTTAAAATTAAACTGATAGACTGGAAATGATTTGTATGGGTACACTTTGTGAGTGAAGTAAAACATTTACAGGAATGAAATGGGCGTAATGACAGCAGGACGTGTGCGAAGGACAACAGCGCCTCCTGTCAGATGCTGATGCCACTGCATGTGCTGATGGAGAGTCCTGAGAGATTGACTTAGCTAAAAAATCTATGCTGTTTCTCTGTACTTAAATTATTGTAATTTTTTTTAACTTATCTAAATCTTTGCTTTATGTATGCTTTGAAGTATGCTCAACTTTGTATGGTCACACTTGACTGAATTTATATTTTACGCACCATATACATACACATACATGTTTCAGAAAGAAGTCTCTTCTGCACACCAAGGCTGCATTTGATCAAAAATATAGTTAAAACAGTAATATTGTAAAATGTTATTAAAATTTTGATATGTGTATATTCTCTATGGTAATACATGTTAAAATGCAATTTATTCCTGTGATCAAAGCTGAATTTTCTCTTACTTACTTATATTTTTTGGTATTGTTTGTAATATATATACACACATAAAAATAATCCCACATTAGGATTTTACCCTCTTTTTTTGCATTTTTTGCCAATATAAATGTACTATACACCTTTAATTTGTATAAAAAAGAAGGAAAAAAAATAGAAAAAGAAATTGGTAAAAAATACATTTTGTAACATATTTCAGTCTCTGCATAATACTTATAATTTTCTATTATTCTAAAATGTGCAAGATGGTCATAATAAAGACCAAATAAATATTTGCTCCTCAAAATTAAGATAAAGGCAGTTTGTTGTCATACATGACTCTTTCTTGTTAAACCATTTCAGCTGCTAAAATCGCATCTCCGGTATCGCTGCACACTTCTTCTATTCTACGGTCTCTTGTTGAAAGTACCTTGTTGATGCTTTTACACTTTAAATGTCATTTTAATGTATGATGGTTGAAGGGTGAGTAGAATAATATCATCTCATTGTATCCAACGTACAGAAAAAAACAAAGAAAAAAAAGAAAAACATAATTGCTTTCATAAGGCGAGCCTTTCACTGATTGTTTATGAAGTTACACCCATAATTCGTGCAAAGCGTCATGGGAATGAGGTGGATATGAATGCAAGGCTCCTTATTGGTTCTGCTCTCACTGTTTTCAGACATTCATCTTGCTCACCTGCAGTCCCCACGCCATGCACCAGCAGCAAAATGTGTTTGTCCACCAGTCCAACCGGCCTTGAGCCTTCCAGAGACGAGCGGGATCCCTATGAGCAAAAGATGCATGTTATAACATACTTACATCACATCAGGCACACTGGAGCACGGGTCTACGCCTGTTTTCCAGGCAACAAACACATAATTACTCAGATCTTCTATCGCTTATCTCATCAGAATGAGCCTCATAACACAAGGACAGGTCAGCGCTTTGCAAGTCTCAGGTAAATCATTCCCTCGGGAAGGGGATCGGAGCCCTAATGGCTCCTGAGGGCTCTGGTTTCCTAAAGCGTAATGAGAAGTGACAGTATGTGAATGTTACCGCGAGGTCCTCGGAGCCCAGGGGCTCTTGGCTGCGGGCCAGACCGACAGAGCGTGTGTGCATGTTTCCATCCAAATCACTGTACTTCCCTGCCTGAGACGTCTCTGAGAGTCTGTGGAGACAAGACAGATGGGACGAGAAGGTCAAGATCATGAAAAGAATTCGAAAAAATTCTAGCGATCATTTCGGCCCTGTTTCCTTTATAGCTTTGGTCGATCGGATCGCAAGTAGACGAGTAACACACATTCCCGTTTACACCTGGTGTCTTAATCCATATCTTTTGTCCACGTTTAACCCTTTGAGCGGAGGGTCTATGGGTGGGTAAATGTATATATTAATTTTTTTCAGATCTTTCAATTTTACGGAAGCCCTGAACTGCAACTTAAAAAAAAATCAGTAAAAAAAAAATAAAAAATCTAGCATTTCGAGATTAAAGTCGCAAATTTTCGAGATTAAAGTCGAAACATTTCGAGATTAAAGTCGCAAATTTCGAGATTAAAGTCGCAAATTTCGAGATTAAAGTCGAAAACTTTCGAGATTAAAGTCGAAACATTTCGAGATTAAAGTCGAAAACTTTCGAGATTAAAGTCGAAACATTTCGAGATTAAAGTCGAAACATTTCGAGATTAAAGACGAAACATTTCGAGATTAAAGTCGAAACATTTCGAGATTAAAGTCGAAACATTTCGAGATTAAAGTCGAAACATTTCGAGATTAAAGTCGAAACAATTCAAGATTAAAGTCGAAACATTTCGAGATTAAAGACGAAACATTTCGAGATTAAAGTCGAAACATTTCAAGATTAAAGTCGTAACATTTCAAGATTAAAGTCGAAACATTTCGAGATTAAAGACGAAACATTTCGAGATTAAAGTCAAAACATTTCGAGATTAAAGTCGAAACATTTCGAGATTAAAGTCGAAAACTTTCGAGATTAAAGTCGAAACATTTCGAGATTAAAGTCGAAACAATTCAAGATTAAAGTCGAAACATTTCGAGATTAAAGACGAAACATTTCGAGATTAAAGACGAAACATTTCGAGATTAAAGACGAAACATTTCGAGATTAAAGTCGAAACATTTCGAGATTAAAGACGAAACATTTCGAGATTAAAGACGAAACATTTCGAGATTAAAGACGAAAAATTTCGAGATTAAAGTCGAAACATTTCGAGATTAAAGTCGAAACATTTCGAGATTAAAGACGAAACATTTCGAGATTAAAGACGAAACATTTCGAGATTAAAGTCGAAACATTTCAAGATTAAAGTCGAAAACTTTCGAGATTAAAGACGAAACATTTCGAGATTAAAGTCGAAACATTTCGAGATTAAAGTCGAAACATTTCGAGATTAAAGTCGAAACATTTCAAGATTAAAGTCGAAACATTTCGAGATTAAAGACGAAACATTTCGAGATTAAAGACGAAAAATTTCGAGATTAAAGTCGAAACATTTCAAGATTAAAGTCGAAAACTTTCGAGATTAAAGACGAAACATTTCGAGATTAAAGTCGAAACATTTCGAGATTAAAGTCGAAACATTTCGAGATTAAAGTCGAAACATTTCAAGATTAAAGTCGAAAACTTTCGAGATTAAAGACGAAACATTTCGAGATTAAAGTCGAAACATTTCGAGATTAAAGTCGAAACATTTCAAGATTAAAGTCGAAACATTTCGAGATTAAAGTCGAAACATTTCGAGATTAAAGTTGCAAATTTTCGAGATTAAAGACGAAACATTTCAAGATTAAAGTCGAAACATTTCGAGATTAAAGTCGAAACATTTCGAGATTAAAGTCGAAACATTTCGAGATTAAAGTCGAAACATTTCGAGATTAAAGTCGAAACATTTCAAGATTAAAGTCGAAAACTTTTGAGATTATATAGGAATAAATTACATATTAAAATACAAATCAAATGTAAAACAGTAATATTAAACTGTAAAAACATGTGCAGTTTTTGATCAAATAAATGCAGATTTCAGATTTAAAAACATTAAAAAAAATTTGAACGGTTGAGCAAGTTGCAACATTAACATTCACATATACGCATCTGGATGACGTTAATCACCCATAGCGGTTTACTATGTTCTCCAGATATCAACATCATCCACTGAAAAACTCAAACTGAAGCCATTGACTCACCGGAGGTAGAACACAGATTTGGTGGTTCGCTCCTGATAGACAAACATGTTTTTGCGGTTGACCACACAAAAGGCGTTTAGAACGGAGCGCAGAGCCTGAATAGCTGAAAGAATGAGAGAGTAAAATATCATCTTAGGGTGCAAGCATATGGAAGCTTGTTTTCCGCCACGGAATGAAAAATAAAAAAGGTAATTGCGACTTTTTATCTCACAATTCGGACTTTTTTTTCTCACAATTGCGAGTTTACATCTCGCAATTCTGACTTTATTTCTCAGAATTGCAAGATGTAAAGTCAGAATTGCGAGATATAAAGTCAGAAATGTGAGATATAAACTATTCTGAGAGGAAAAGTTAGTCTTTTTTTCCCATTAGAATTGGCCTGATAATTCGCAATTGTGAGTTTATATCCCACAATTCTGACTTTATATCTCGCAATTTGACTTTATATCTTGCAATTCTGACTTTGTATCTCACAATTCTGACTTTATATCTCGCAATTCTGACTTTATATCTCGCAATTCTGACTTTATATCTCGCAATTCTGACTTTATATCTCACAATTCTGACTTTATATCTCGCAATTCTGACTTTATATCTCGCAATTCTGACTTTATATCTCGCAATTCTGACTTTATATCTCGCAATTCTGACTTTATATCTCGCAATTCTGACTTTATATCTCACAATTCTGACTTTGTATCTCACAATTCTGACTTTATATCTCGCAATTCTGACTTTATATCTCGCAATTCTGACTTTATATCTCGCAATTCTGACTTTATATCTCGCAATTCTGACTTTGTATCTCGCAATTCTGACTTTGTATCTCGCAATTCTGACTTTATATCTCGCAATTCAGACTTTGTATCTCACAATTCTGACTTTATATCTCGCAATTCTGACTTTATATCTCACAATTCCGACTTTATATCTCGCAATTCTGACTTTATAACACTCAATTGTGACTATTTCTCACAATTCTGACTTCAGATCTCGCAGTTGTGAGGTAAAAGTCAAAAACAATTATTATTATTTGTTTATTCAGTGGCGAAAACAAGCTTCCATACTACAAGTTTAATGTGTCTTCATGAGGAACCGCCTGATTGGTCCACTGAGGTGTCACTCACCCCGGGACACGCCCATGTTGGGCCCCATTTTGAGCCGTGGGTGAATATAAATAACGGTGCTCCAGACCACGTCACAGGCGAAGTATCCGTGTATGAACTGCATAGTGGCGGCGAGGTAGTCCCGCGGCTGATAGCTCTCATCGGCGCTGTAGTCTGTGCCGGAAAAAAGGTGCAATTACGGGAATTTCATCTTAACTATTTTATAACAAAAGAGAGATTAGCAGGATTCTCTGAACTCAACAGGCCCGCAGAGCACCTCAAGTTGTACAACACAAATTCAGCATTTGAGCGTTCATCTCTGTGGTCGACCGGATCCAATTCATTCACACAGTCTGAGGCAGAACATCAGGCCATATTAAGACATTAGTGCAGTAATTCATGCTAAACAGCAGTTATGAAATTGCAGTCAATGAGGCGAGTGCTCACACTCATTATCACTACCCTTGAATTGACCTTCCCGACAAGTCTGTGTGTTTGTTTGTATTTGTGTAAATTGTGCTCCATTTCACAGCGGTGTCATCAGGCGCTATTAACTTTCTTCTGCATATCAAGAGAGCAACAGATTTAATTTAAACAAAGCCATATGCATGGTATGGGGCAGCCCGATTAATTGAAATTGAATTGGCTTTGTGCGATTACTGCGTTATGGTTGCTATTCAATTAAACAAATTACGCTTCAGAGTTTGGCTCGGTTTTAATGTGCATTTGGGAATGCCAACCATCTTCCCAAACCAGTAATAACAAGCGCTCATAAACCGGCTGTTGTCAAAAAAGGTCTCTATGCTGTTTTCAGACAAAATAAAAGCTTGATGTTTTAGGGTTTGGGGTGTGAGCAACATTTAACCCTTATAATTAAAGTTTTTAAAGATTTAGAAATTTGGAATCATAATTTTCTAATAAATTTAGCCATTTAAATGAATTTAACCACGTCAGAGAGGCTGTAGTGTGTATATGGCCTTGGCTTGTAGAAAGAGTGTGTGTTAGTCATCCAGCTGGGTTTTGTACCATCAGAGTGGGTCATTCTGGGCCGGTAAAGCGACTCGTGCTTCCAGATGTCCTCTTCACTCTCAGCAACCAGGAGAGAATGGCACACGTGACTATCATGCAGGTCTTGTAGTAGGAGGCGCTGTGGAGAAAGTCACTGAGAGGTTAAAGAGCAATCTGGGGGGATGAACCAGAGATAGCGGGACTTTCTCACTAAGTGAGCAGTTGTTAGGCTAGAATAAGCTGTATAATATTTACCTGGTTGACTATTCGGCACATTTCTCCAATCCTCCTCACCACCAGCTGATGAAGACGCAGGTATTCTGGAATCTCTTCCTCCTCTTTCGCTCTGTTAAAACTCCTGCCAACACAATGTTCAAGACTGACAATATTCAAACAGTACAAAGTGTTTTAACAGTCTCAGCAGGAAAAATGCAAAACTCGGTTTTGTTTGCACGTCTGGGGGAAACTAAAGTTTGCATTTTAAGCATTACAAACAGAATCATTTGTGCTCATTTGTGTGCTTCACATATTTATGCACAATTGAACACTCATTATAAGCTGAAAACTAACAAGGACAACAAAAACTTTTTTGGGCAGTTTACACAAATAGGCACTGAAAACCTTTCCATAAATTAAAGAAAATAATTGCTTTGATATCGTTTGGTACTTTTTTTATTACAAGAGCTTGCATTACAGCACTGAAGTCAACGTAAAACATTTTAAGGATATTATTTACATATTATTTATATTTTTTTAAATATTATATATATTATATATAAAAATGATATAAATGATAATGGATTGATTATTTAATAATTATTCATTAATTAGAAATATTTTAACATATTTTTAAATTATTTTGTTTTGAGATATATATATATATATATATATATATATATATATATATATATATATATTAGGGTTGTGCAAGGATTAATTGCATCCAAAATAAAAGTTTGTGTTTACATAATATATTTGTGTGTGCTGTGTATAATTATTTTGTATATATAAATACACACACACACGCTTATATGACCTACTATAATTAAGAAAATGTGTTATTCATAAAATATTTATATTTAAATTATGTAGATATATATATATATATATATATATATAATTCTTAAATATAAACATGCATGCATACGTATTTATATATACAAAACAGCACACACACATATATTATGTAAACACAAACTTTTATTTTGGATGCAATTAATCTTTGCACAACCCTAATATATATATATATATATATATATATCATTTCATTAATGAATAATTATTAAATAATCAATCCATTATCATTTATATTAATTAATTTAATTTTTTTTAATTAAATTCATCAATCATTCATGTTCATTCAACAAACTATGAGACTGGACTGATGTTTAATAAGTGGAAAACAACAAGTATGAGCAATAATAATAGTGATGCTTGCTTAGAAAACCCCTTCATGTCGATTCTTATAAAAATCAAGTGTCAAAGCATCTTTCTTAAATTGTGATTTAAATAAAGTCTACCGGCCAATTGTTTTACTTGCATTTGGTGCTTTCTGAATGTGAATTTGCATGTCGAGCAGTACCTGGCGTGTGAGAAAACCTCCACTCTGTCCTGATGAATTCTGATGATGAGCCAGAAATCAGGCATGAGCGGCGTCCGTCTCTCCTGCTCGTTCATAGTGGGTCCTTCACACTCAGAATCACTGCTGCCGCCATCATAACCTGAAACACAAACGCCAGAGAGGAGGACGACCATGAGGAATGATGATTGTGAGTGTGACCATGTTGTCTGTTCTGTGAAGTCTCACCTAGCATGTCTGAATCCAGGCTTCCCTGACTGGAGACGACGCTCTGAACTCGACTGGGCCGCAGTTTCCCACTGCCTGAAAGCAACAGCAATCAAAGCCTTTATTAACTTTTTTATTAGAGTCTAACTAAACGACCAGGGGCCTCATTTAGAAGACCTGCACAAATACAATTAATACCACTCTTATTTTATGCGGGAGACTCCCATCACTTCCGCGAGACTTGGGATGTCTGCAAACTGTGCTTGTGCTTTTTTGAAGCGCGAACGTTGTCAACATAACTCACTGGAAATCCCAAAAACTTCAATGAAAGAGGAGGGGGTTCAGGCTCTGTCGATGGGTTTCCATGCTATCATGCACTTTTGCAGATTTGTATACAAAAGTTCGATAAACAAGAAGTTCATATTAAGTAACTTATATTTTAGACACACTATTGTCAATATTGTATGTTTTTGCCCTATTTTGCAAATAATTCCAAGCTAGTGTCGTCACGATACTGAAATTTCCAACTTCGATACGATTTCTCGAAAAATATCGATAATCGATACCATTTTAGATACCGTGGGGGAAAACTGCCATACAGAGCTGTTATTATCTCATAACTTTTTGATAATTTGGGTATTTGTGTTGCAATATCTTGCACATGGCATAGAGAGGCTTTAATTGTATCGTTGAACCACATTTACAAACAGATTAAATTAACGACGTTTAAGTAAACAGTAATAAATGATAGCACAACGCTACAATTAAAACCTCCCTATGAAATGTGCAAGATATTGATATTTTTCGAGATATCGTATTGAAGTTGGAAATTTCAGTATCGTGACGACACTAGTTTGGAATTATTTGCAAAATAGGGCAAAAACATACAATATTAACAATAGTGTGACTAAAATGTAAGTTACTTAATATGAACTTCATCAAACTTTTGTATAAAAATCAACCTCATAATTGCAATAGTTTTTTTTAATTTGTTTTTTTTTTTTTTGCCCAGTATCTATAATTTTAGGTGCATTTTTATTAATTTAAGTGACATTTCTGACCCAGCTATTTACACATTTTCTTATTTGCATGAGTTACTCTTAAAATTATAGCTTTGTCATTAAACAAATGTCTGCAAACTGTGCTTGTGCTTTTTTGAAGCGCGAACGTCGTCAACATAACTCACTGGAAATCCCAAAAACTTCCACACCTGCAGATTTTTATACAAAAGTTCGATAAACAAGAAGTTCATATTAAGTAACTTATATTTTAGACACACTATTGTCAATATTGTATGTTTTTGCCCTATTTTGCAAATAATTCCAAACTAGTGTCGTCATGATACTGAAATGTCCAACTTCGATACGATTTCTCGAAAAATATCGATATTCGATACCATTTTAGATACCGTGGGGGAAAACTGCCATACAGAGCTGTTATTATCTCATAACTTTTTGATAATTTGGGTATTTGTGTTGCAATATCTTGCACATGGCATAGAGAGGCTTTAATTGTATCGTTGAACCACATTTACAAACAGATTAAATTAACGACGTTTAAGTAAACAGTAATAAATGATAGCACAACGCTACAATTAAAGCCTCCCTATGAAATGTGCAAGATATTGATATTTTTCCCCCATCGTATTGAAGTTGGAAATTTCAGTATCGTGACAACACTAGTTGCAAAATAGGGCAAAAACATACAATATTGACAATAGTGTGACTAAAATGTAAGTTACTTTATATGAACTTCTTGTTCATCGAACTTTTGTACAAAAATCAACTAATTTTAGGTGCATTTTTATTCATTTAAGTGACATTTCTGAACCAGCCATGGACTCACAGCACTTCAACACACGTGTTTTTTCCGCTTGGCACGCCGAACGGACGTGACATGGGGGCGTGGCAGCATCGACGATTGCATTTTTTTTATTTAAAGTTCGAAACTGTGAATTAATTTCGATCGATTTCGAGACACCCTCACTCACTGTGTGTGGCGGACTGCACGGACTCGGCCAGGCTGGCAGCGGAGGGTGTTTTGGGAGGGGTCATGTGATCAGAGGAGCGTTCGGTGCTGCTGCCGGTCTGCAGGTGAGCAGTCTGAGGTCGACTCTCCTCGGCATCGGCCTGTTTGACCTGCCCGGGGTCAGAGGTCTCGGAGAAAGACTCGCTGGCTGAGTCAGTGACCGCTGAAGGCCGAATCTCCCGGTCATGTCCCCCACACTCGACCTGCTGCGGGAAAACACATGAATCATTATCCAGATGATGAGGTAAGACGATATTACATTTATTACATGGCTCTTTGAATGTGAACGGTCAATCATTGCATTCTGTGATCATATATTTTAGTATAATGATGCTAAAGTGTTTAGCTAACCTTTCTCTCAGGCATGCTAGTTTTGCGTTTCTTGTATCAATCCACTCTTTTTCTTCAACATAATTAAATAATTTGCAATGATTCTGGTGTGACTTTGTTTAGAAAACGGTTACAATACTCCTTTTCTAAGCGTTCTTGCTCTTCGAAGGCAAATTGACACGCTTGTCTTATTCGGTTGAATAGCGCTTGTATTTCTGGAACGTAACTAGTTGAGAGAGCGCCTGTTGTGTAACGGTATATTGGATCCGTGCATAAACTCGGCCTAATAAACCACGGAGACAAAGAAAAAAACACTCGCTGCTCTTGACTGAATAACTTTTGTAACCTTAATTGTAAGCATTCATTTTATTTATTTTTTACAATGAAAACTATCCAGTGTTATGGATGATGTTGGATGTTGATGTTGTTTATTTCATTTGACAAAATCGTATATACTGGGCAAAAAAATGAAAAATAAAATCACAAGCAAGATTGCTGTTTTCCGAACTCTTGCAAATATGAGGTTGATTTTTATACAAAAGTTCGATAAACAAGAAGTTCTTATTAAGTAACTTACATTTTAGACACACTATTGTCAATATCGTACGTTTTTGCCCTATTTTGCAAATAATTCCAAACTAGTGTCGTCACGATACTGAAATTTCCAACTTCGATACGATACTTTGAAAAATATCGATATTCGATACCATTTTAGATACCGTGGGGAAAACTGCCATACAGAGCTGTTATTATCTCATAACTTTTTGATAATTTGGGTATTTGTGTTGCAATATCTTGCACATGGCATAGAGAGGCTTTAACTGTAGCGTTGAACCACATTTACAAACAGATTAAATTAACGACGTTTAAGTAAACAGTAATAAATTATAGCACAACGCTACAATTAAAGCCTCCCTATGAAATGTGCAAGATATTGATATTTTTCAAGGTATCGTATTGAAGTTGGAAATTTCAGTATCGTGACAACACTAGTTTGGAATTATTTGCAAAAGAGGGCAAAAATAATACTGACAATAGTGTGTCTAAAATGTAAGTTACTTAATATGAACTTCTTGTTCATTGAACTTTTGTATAAAAATCAACCTCATGATTGCAATAGTTCGGAAAACAATAGTTTTTCTTCGTTGTTTTTTTGCCCAGAATCTATGATATTAGGTGCATTTTTTAGAGCCCAACCGATAAAGGATTTTGAAGGCCGATACCGATACAAATTTGGATTCAAAATCCGATATATCGGCCGATATATATATTTTTATTTCAGAAACGTGCAACAAAACATTAACAGATTTCCCAAACAATAGTTATTTGTAGTTATTTATGAGTTTTAACTAAAATAATATGATAATGCATTTTAAAATGAAACTTGTTTCTTTTATTGTCACAACAGAACAGACTGATGATAGTGGCATTAGCTAGCTTGGTGGTTAGCTAGTCTATGATGAGCCATAATTTAGTAATGGTTTAGTAATGGCAATATAAACAGGCCAAGGAGAGATGATCCGTCTCATTGCTATTACTGTCACAAGCTATTAAAGAAATACTTCAGTCACATTGTCAAAAGTTAAAAGGACAGTCAGTCAACTACTCTACAAGGTAACGTAACTATTACTAGCTAATTCCGCTTCACTCTCGGCTTATTTAACAGAAGAATTTTGTCATGCTTATTTGAGTTAAGAGAACTGATGGGGATGTTCTTTTAATTGTTATTCAAGCAATATATGTATCGTGACCAACTCAACGAGTGTTGCCAACAGGAACGGTGTAGAGTGCCCTCTGGTGGACAAACTATACAACTCCAAAACTCACGACATGGTTCAAGCGCGTTTCATCCGTTTTTATTTTATTTTTTAAATATTCATTTATCGGCCATTATAACTGCCGATACCGATATTTTGGAAAATGCCTAATATCGGCCGATATATCGGTCTGGCTCTAGCATTTTTATTCATTTAGGTGACATTTTTGACCCTGCTATTTACACATTTTCTCATTTGCATGAGTTACTCTTAAAATTATAGCTTTGTCATTAAACAAATGGAATGCATTTCTTCAGGCATGGTTAAAAGGTTTTTAATAATCACCTCAGCGACCAGCTCCTTTTTCTTTTGCTCTCCTTCTTTGTCCGACGTCGAGATGTTTGCTGATGCTTTGGCACCATCCTCCCCCTCAGGACACAGGCTGGCTTGCTTGGATGTGGTTTCTGTCCCCGTTGAGTCCTGAGCAGTGGTGTTAGACAGCTGTCTTGCAGCCTGGAGCCGGTGAGACTGCGCCCGACTCAATGAGACGTAGTGGAAGTTGTATTGCTCTGCGTTTAGCAGGTAACCGGGAAACGATAACCTCTTGAACTCCTGCGGCGAGGAAGCAGAGACGTGTTATTAAACAGCAGTGCAGAACATAATCTGGTTCTTGACCTTTCCTGGGAAGTCTTATCACCAATAATAGAGGTCATCGCATGAGTTCACACCTCTTGAAACTTTTCCAGCGACTGCTCGGGACCAAATACGAACTGCAGGGGAACGACCTCACAGTGGCACTGCGGGCGGCCGCTGGAACGACACACGTGCTCGGACACTTTCTGCAGGGTGGAGGAGTTGATGACAGAGGAGTGCCGTAGAGCAGAGACGATCTCATCCTCCAAGAGCCAACGGATCTGAAAGAGACAGGGGTATTATCATAAACTAAACTCAATTAAACTCATTAACTAAAACTAGGGCTGGGCAATGATTAATCACGATTAATTGTTGCCCAGCCCTAATTGTGACTTTATTTTTAACAATTCTGACTTTTTTTCTCTCACATTGTGAGATTACATCATGCACAGAATTGCAATATATAAACTCGCAATTACGTGTTATAAAGTCAGAATTTCGAGATATAAACACTAATTTTTAAAAGTTCAATTCTAAGGAAAAAAAGACTGACTTTTTTTTCTCAGAATTGCATGTTTATATCTACTTTAAGCTTATTTCTGCCACAGAATGAAAAATAAAAAAGCTAATAATTGCGACTTTATCTCACAATTCTGACTTTATTTCTCAGAATTGCGAGATATAAAGTCAGAATTGCATGATTTAAAGTCGCAATTGCGTGTTATAATGTCAGAATTGTGAAATATAAAGTCAGAATTGCGAGATATAAATCAGAATTGCGAGATATAAAGTCAGAATTGCGAGATATAAAGACACAATTGCGAGACATAAAGTAAAAATTGCGAGATATAAATTCACAATTGCGTGTTATAAAATCAGAATTGCACAATATAAAGTCAGAATTGAGAGATATAAAGTCAGAATTGTGAGATATAAATCAGAATTGCGTGATATAAAGTCAGAATTGATTGACAAAGTCGCAATTGCGAGATATAAATTCGCAATTGCGTGTTATAAAGTCAAAATTGCAAGATATAAATTCGCAATCGAGTTATAAAATCAGAAATGCATGATATAAAGTTGAAATTGCGTGTTGTAAAGTCGGAAACACGTGATATAAAGTCGAAATTGCAAGATATAAATTCGCAATTGAGTTATAAAATCAAAAACGCATGATATAAAGTCAAAATTGCGCGCTGTAAAGTCAGAATTGTAATATATAAACTATTCTGAGGGGAAGAAATTAGAATTGGCCTGATAACTCGCAATTGCGAGTTTATATCTCACATTTCTGAGAAAAGATGTCAGAATTTCGAGACATAAACTCGCAATTGTGAGAAAAAGTCAGAATTGTGAGATAAAAAGTCGCAATTCAGATTTTTTTCTCAAAAACTGCGACTTTATTTCTCACAATTGCGACTTTATTTCTCACAATTGTGACTTCATATCTTGTAATTGTGAGATAAAAAGTCTAAACCATTTATTTATTTATTTTTTTTAATTCAGTGCCGGAAACAAGCTTCCATATATATATGTCTCAATTCTGACTTTAACATGCAAAAAACTAAATAAATAAAAATGTATTCCATGGTGGAAACAAGCTTATATACAATAATATATATATATTTATTTATTTTAATGTTTATTTATATTTATTCGGAAAAAGACAGATCCTCCTCCTGCAATAATAAACGGTACTGAATACATATACAGTGCTTGGAAGGGTTTAACTTTCATTACTGGTTCAATGATGAATAATTGTTTGAGATAATGAAAATATTTTTTAATAATATCACTATAATTATTCTTTTTCATTTAAATCTTTGCACCCTCACCTCATCCATGGTGGCTAAAACAGCCATTTTGTGCGGAATAGGAAGTTTGGACAGGGGATCTCCAGACATACTGCAGAAGATGACAAAATAAAGAGTTAATGCTCAAGATGTTCGGCAACAGATGATGTCTGTTGACCTCTAAACGCTGACCTTTCCACACCAACCCCGCGCAGGCCGTCCAGGTTCCCCATGAGCTCCTCGTCAGAGCGATATGATGAGGGCTGTCCAGGGGAGCGGTTCAGAGACACACTGCTCTCAGACGTGTACCTACACACACAGAGAAGCATCATGATCACTCGAGCTGAAGCCATCGTGCTTGTCTTTCATAAATCCAGGACAGTTCGCAATCACTGACCGGTTGTGGCGGAAGTCAGGGGCCATGACCTCGATCTCCAGAGGTAACGTGAGCACAAAGATATCAAGAGTGACTGACAACTCGTTCAGATCCACCGACTGAAGATTCTCAGCGTTTTCCAGACAGGTTATGACTTCAGCTGTAAACCATAGATGTATATTCACTATTACTATTCAGAGAGAAACAAATTTAGATAAAAAAAATCCCTCAAAATACTGTATATGGTTCACACTAATGATTTTCCATAACTTTGCTTGAGTAGATCTTTCTTTTTATTATTATAGTAATTTTGTTATCGCCATTTTAAAGGGTTAGTTCACCCAAAAATGAAAATGATGTCATTAATGACTCGTCCCAAGCCCGTCAGACCTCCGTTCATCTTCAGAACACAGTTTAAGATATTTTAGATTTAGTCCGAGAGCGTTCTGTCCCTCCATTGGAAATGTGTGTACGGTATACTGTCCTTGTCCAGAAAGGAAATAAAGACATCATCAAAGTAGACCATGTGACATCAGTGGGTTAGTTACAATGTTTTGAAGCATCGCAAATACATTTTGGTTCAAAAATAAGAAAAACTACGACTCTATTCAGCATTGTATTGTGTTCCGGTTCTGTTGTGGATCCGCGTTCGGTGACGTAAGATGCGGCTGACGTGTGTCTGGTGCGGCTGAGCTTCGGTTACAGTCTGAGGCTGTACAAAACAATCTTCACAAACACCTCTAAGGATTTCCATACAGAGGAAGACTTGCATTTTTTTTGCCCAGCTATATTTATTTGAACCCGAACACACGGACACAGCAGTGGCACTGAACGCGGATCCACAACACAACCGGAACACAATATAATGCTGAATAAAGTCACAGTTTTTGTCATTTTTGGACCAAAATGTATTTTCGATGCTTCAAAACATTGTAACTAACCCACTGATGCCACATGGACTACTTTGATGATGTCTTTATTTCCTTTCTGGACAAAGACAGTATAACATACACACATTTTCAATGGAGAGACAAAAAGCCGTTATTCGGTGACATTTAACGCCTCGTGACTAAACAAAGGGCGCCAATGTGCGTGTGCCCACCGACGCGGAAAACGCCACGTGTAAAAGCGTCATTTTTTTAAAAACGCGTCGGGTTCGTTCTTTTAGTTTGAAAACTGTCCGACCAATGAGATTGACGCTTTTGGATCTTCGTAAGTTACAGTAAAACACAACTTGGGGGCAATCAAGCACAAAACGGTCTTGCCGAGCTCACATATGCAACGGCGAAGAAGATATACGCCAAGTAGCGTCGCGGTCTACACTGCCAGGAAGAAATAAGACGAGGAAGATGAATGTAGAGCTGCTGTTCTCGTTGGTGTCAGAAGATAAAGAACTATATGACAAACGCAACTAAGAGAGAGAACTCTTATGGAGTGGTATTGCAGAGCAAATGGGCGCCATCTAATGTCAGGGAATGAATTTGCATGTTCAATCGGCTCATCGTCAGCGAAAATCGCTTGGGTGTGAACACATAAAACGCGCTAAAATATATTAAACTGTGTTCTGAAGATGAATGGCGGTCTTACGGGCTTGGAGGGTGAGCTAACATTTTTGGGTGAACTAACCCTTAAAGGATTAGTTCACTTTTGAAAAAACTTTTGCTGATAATTTCCTCACCCCCATGTCATCCAAGATGTCCATGTCTTTCTTTCTTCAGTCGAAAAGAAATTAAGTTTTTTGATGAAAACATTCCAGGATTTTTCTCCATATAATGGACTTCAATGGGAACCGGATGGTTCAAGATCCAAAAGACAGTTAATAACAGTTTCAGATGCAGCTTCAAATGTCTTTAAACGACACCAGACGATGAATAAGGGTCTTATCATGCGAAACGATCGGTTATTTCAAAGCTTATTCCAAAAATGTAACTTTTCTAAGGACAAATGCTAGCCTTGCTCTATTCTCTGAGGCGCGTTTGTAACATCACGTAATACGTAATTAAGTTCAAAAGGTCACGGGCGACGTAGCCGGAAGTACAGAATCAAAATCGTCCGACATCGTTGTTTTACCTTTTAATTCCTTTTTTGTAAACGCCGTTTGAGTTAGTTTTCACGTTCAACCTATGCGTTCAACTTGTAAACACTCTGACTCTGTACTTCTGGCTACGTCGCCCGTGACCTTTTGAACGTAATTACGTACTACGTGACGTTGCAAACGCGCCTCACAGAATGGAGAAAGGCTAGCATTTGTCCTTAGAAAAGTTACATTTTTGGAATAAGCTTTGAAATAACCGATCGTTTCGCATGATAAGACCCTTATTCATCGTCTGGTGTCGTTTAAAGACATTTGAAGCTGCATCTGAAACTGTTATTAACTGTCTTTTGGACCTTGAGCCGTTTGGTTCCCATTGAAGTCCATTATATGGAGAAAAATCCTGGAATGTTTTCATCAAAAACCTTAATTTCTTTTCGACTGAGGAAAGAAAGACATGGACATCTTGGATGACATGGGGGCGAGTAAATTATCAGCAAAAGTTTTTTCAAAAGTGAACTAATCCTTTAAAGGGATAAAATGACTATAGGAGGACTTTAAATGTCTGTAAGAGTAGGAAACAGTTTTAGTCAAAGGCAGAAAGCTCAGCAGTGTGTTGAGAGCCTTACCCAGACAGGTTGGCAGCGTTTGCGTGGGCATTGAGCCATGGCAGCTCTTCATGTTGACGGAGCAGGTGAGGTGTACAAACAGAGGCGGCATCTCCGGCTGCAGGCCATCAGCCTCCAGCAGAGAGTCTCCGTCCAGAATACTGAAGGAGTCATCGTCCTGGTTGACCGTGTTGGAGTCCGATGGAGATACGCCTTCACCTCCTTCCTCTTCTCCAGCCTCCGCTTTGCCATTCCCACACTCCTGATACTCCACCTCCAGATCCGTGTCACTCTCCGTCACGATGCAGCAGCCGGACACGTTCTCTGTGCATGTGCAAAGGATTAATACAAGTAACATGTTATCTTATATTTCTAGTTTACTAACAAATGCAAAAGACTGCTTGTATAACACGAAATCAAAATGGATGGACTCTATTAAATGTTTTAGTTTTGCTGTGAATGATTCATCATGGACCAAGAACAAAATATTCCTATCGAAAAAAACAACCTTTCGAAGATTAATAAATCACAACAGCAGATAAAATAACAAAAAATATCAGTGCATCAATAGCTGCGTTTCCACTACCCTTCAATTTGCGCAAATTGAAATTGCGAAATGAAAATACGCACAATGGAAACACGTCAATTTCGCGAAAACTCCCGTTAATCGCAAAAAAGTTTGGAGGAGGTTTTCAGGCAATTCGAAAAAGGATTTTTTCGCCAAACTGCAATGGAAACGGATTTTGCGCATTTACAGTCACCTGACTTAGAAGACGGAGTGTGTTTTCGGTCCGTGTCCGCAAATAATAATAATTACTATCATTAGCCTATTATAACATTTATTAGGCTACATATGTTGAAGACGCTATTATCCAAAAAAGGAACAAAGCAATTCGTCACATCTCATTCATAGTACAGGTTGGACAATAATAATAATAGGGCTAAGGCTATCACAAATAAACACTCGATTTTGACCAATATTCAAGAGTGTGTGTGGAGTTTGGAGCACGCACTGGATTTTCCCATCAACAGTGGAATCAACTTAAAATAATCATTTCTGGTTATACAGAAAATAATAATACATTATTCGCAACTACTTTTAATTGCGTAATGTCACAATAACAAGAAAACGTTGTGCTTTTGTAAGATAACATAAAACAATCAGGCGCGCTTTATGATCTTCGTGAACTGGAGCGCGAGAACTGAAACAATAGCCTTTATAGACTAAAGCTTTAAATGTCCACTTTAAAAAGAACAAATTCGAATCGTAAACCAATACCTTCTGATTATGCAATCCGTATGAAAGGTGCCGTTCTCTCTAAAGGTGCATCCGGAGATTATGTTTTTAGCTCGTTATTTTTTTTAGACGCATTTACCTATACAGCACTGCGGGAAAAATATCATAAATATCCATGTTCTAATTTGGCCATAGAAAACCAGTAAAATCTACATTTTTTCCATATTCATTTGTGAATATTTTAAATGTTTTAAAGGGACAAAAAATCATAAACAAATATCTGAAAATTCGTTGAGATGTAGCCTATATAGCACAGCATTGGTGTGGTCAAACTAAAATGTTGGTGTTCAACTTTGCGTTTTAAAAATACAACAATCGTTCATTTTTCGTTTTGCAACGACCGTTTGGACATAATACAAGATAGAGTTCTTTATTAAATTCATTTAAAAAAAAAAAAAGAAACAATAATTACAGGAATAGCCTCTCTAAACCTCAAAGAAATGCCATCAAGACATCGAAGCGCAGAAATAAGGGAGAAACACCCAGGAACTCTGTGTCTTTCCCTGCCATTAATGCTTGGATAACACACCACGTCTCCTTCCATTAATAATAATAATAATGTCTAGAGCGGTGCATGGCTGTGAAATAGGTTATAAACCTACCAAAGTCCGTTGCCATGATTTTTGGAATGACTTATCGCGAGAGGAAAAATAAGACGTTTTAGTTGTATAACATCGGTTAATGGAAACAGCGTCATATCGCAATAGTTTTTTATCGACATTTGGAAAATATCGCAAAAGTTTTGCGCCTAATTTTGTGCATGCAATGAAAAATATGAACCAATAGCATTAGCTAACTTTTCAGAAAGCAATTAACTCTTTCCCGCCGTTGACAAAAAGAATGTCAGTTTTCCGTGTTTTTACTGTTATACAGTAGGGGAGCTATTACGCATCATCTGAAAGAGAACAAGATCTCTGGATCAAAACACATGCAAAAAAGAAGCAGAGACGAGAGATAAAAGCACTGCGGATGCATGTCGTAGTCTTCGGGGGGGGAAAAAAACATGGTTTGTTCAAAATGTTGCTTTTTTTAAGTATTAATAAAAAAATAAGCATAATGCATAAAGCTAGAATAAAATTTTGGGGGCTTTTTGTTGAAAAGCAAAGTCTCTGTTCTGTTCAGATATTCATGCAACAACATATTCTGGGGGCCTTGAAAGTTTTGTAAAAATTATCAATAAAAAATAAACTTAAAAAATAAAATAAAAAAATGCTGGCGGGGAAAGAGTTAAAGTTTCATTCGTCTCACTGGGTTGTTAAATCAATTTTTTTTTACTACACTGTAAAAAATGCTGGGTTATTTCAACCCAAATTTGGATCAAATACTGACAAACCCAGTAATTGGATTAACATTTTAAACGACATTTTTAACCCAAAGTTTGGGTTTGTCCATATTTTACCCAAAATTGGGTTAAAACAACCCAGCATATTTTAGAGTGTATTAATCTCTTTATGTATAACCCATATTACTGAGTGCACCTTTAAATATGTTACAAATGGCATTAAATGTCAAATGAGTTACTGAACGAACAGCCTGACTTGGACACTTAGATATGAAAGATATTTCAGATTAAAAAGGCCATAAATGATGTCTAACCGTCTTCTGTAGCCAGTTCAGCTTCAGACAGCTCGCACTCTTCACTGGGTCTCCGCTCTCCTTCCCTGTCCGAGTCCTCCTGGAGAAGATGAAGGAAAACGGGGACTGAGTCTAAGGTCCCAATCAGGTTCAGAGGGTCTCTTGCTGTAAAGTTGAGTGCTAATGCGACAGTCAAACGTTTGACTATCCGAGATTCATACACAATTGTCTAAATAAAATAAACCAAACTCTTTTGAGAATGTACTACATGTTGTCATATAAACATCCAGTAATGTGGTCAGCTAAGGACAAAAAGGAAGGAAAGTATCCATTTAATATCACTACACTAATACTGTGCCATAATTGTAATTCATTTTATTATTACTAAAAAACACATTTAAAATGACACAAATCAATAAAAATACATTACTAGTGCAATAACACTACTATACTGTAAAATAAAAAAGTATTTAACAACTATAATAATATTTTACCCCCAAAAATAACAGTACAATTACAATACTAATATTTATGGCCACTATAATTTCTTTAGAAAGTGTGTTGCATTATAAGAGACCCAAACTCTCAGTGCTTGCAGAGATGAAATGTGTATAAATACGGGAAAGAAAGAAAAAAACACATACCTAAGTAAGCACTCTGATGGATAGAACGGATTAAAATCGATAACTCATGAATAATTCCCTCATTAGAGAAATTTTCGAATGAATGTGTGTTTTTCCAACACAATAGAAAGGTGTTAACGTCACTGAAAGGAAAGGAATGCCAAAATATTTCCATAACGCACCTCTTTTTTGGATGATGGAAGGCAGTAAAAGAAATAATGTGGGTTGGACGGTACCGTCTTGAAATACTGAGCACCAATTTCCATGAACTTCTCCTGCAGAAATGAGCAGAACAGAATGTGTGACAATACACTTTTAAAAATGCCGTTTCTGCATCCCTCGCAACACTTGGTGTCTGCTGAAATGCATATTTTTATTATTGTCTCACTGAAATGTATATTTTTAGGAATTTATATACCTTTACTGTATATATATTTGTCTTTATATTTATATTTATTTTCAGATGCAAAAGCCTCTAAATGCCATTTGAAATTTTCTTCTAAAATGATCATTTTTATCAAGCTTGTATATTTAAGTTCAGTAATTTCACTTAAATAGCAATGATAATTACCTATTAATTGTCATTTAAGTGAAATTACTGAACTTAAATATACAAGCTTGATAAAAATGGTCATTTTAGAAGAAAATTTCAAATGGCATTTAGAGGCTTTTGCATCTGAACTCTTTATATATATATATATATATACACACATATATATATATATATTTCAAAATATATATTTTTTAATTTTAGACTATTACACTATTTACAAAAAAAATAAATACATGAAATAAATGAATTAAATACCTTTAAAATCAAAGTCTAAAGGTATTTATTAAAGGTATTTAATATATATATAATGTTTCTGGACTCAATCGCCATTGATAATAATAAATTACAAAATATTTTATTAATTCATAATTAATAAATAAAAAAAGTCTCAATCCTGTAATGAGAATTAAAATGTCAAGAAAATAATGTCACAACACAGTACCTGTATGATTTTATGCAAATCAAGATACACTTCACACTTCTGCTGGGACTGGAGAAGAGACAGAGGGAATTCTGGGATTTTCAGAGACTTTGGTTCATCCAGGTCCAGCGGGGAGGAAGGGACAGAGAGTTTTCCTCTGGAATCGGCTTCGCTCCCGTCCTCCAGTTCAATACTTTGACAAAATACAAACTGGGTTAAAAGGGTGGTTCAGGATTTTGGACACCGGGCGTCATTTTTTCCATGTGAGCCTGGGTGTTATTTATCAGTTCCAGTTGCATAGTTCACCGGTGCTAGGCTAGCGTGAGTCAACGGTATCTCCTAGCCTGCCATTAAAAACAGTTTTACCCACTCCACAGTTCACCAAAAGCAAATAAATTATAAGGCCAGACTATCGATGAACAAGTCTGTAAGAGAATAATGCTAAAAATCAAACCAATATTTGCAATGGAAATGAATCAATCAAAACTAACTTTAGCTGGACAATAACTTTATTCTAGAGCTTCTGTAAAGCCAAAACAGTCTGTGATACTTTAATGTCCTATTATCACTGTAAATACCTGGATGAAGACACCAGTGTGGCTCTGTCAGCTCCATCATCCTCTCCCTCGCCAATGATGAAGGTGGTGGGGCTGCTACTGGACTTGCAGGTCAGCTCGTGACGTTCACGGAAAACACGTACGTGTCCGCACAGGGTCTGCAGGAAGGAAGTGATGTCGATCTCCTGCAGCGACTCCTCGCAGTAATCCATGGCCGTCAGAACGTCCTGCGAGCTCACATTGTACGCCTGCTGCAGACTGCGGTACACACCTGTCAATCAACACAGGCACATGGATGATCAAATCATTCCCCATGAAAACGACACTCATTGCATTTTGCATAAAGAAACTCAATACCATTATGATTTTTTTGAATTGTAACATTTTTATGAAAATTAAACACATTTTCTGCCCCAATTCACATTACTGACATGCATATTTTTAGGAATTTATAAATCTTTATTATATGTATATTTGTCATATATATATATATATATATATATATATATATCAGCATATCTTTTTTTTAATTTTAGACTATTACACTATTTACAAAAAATAAATATATTAAATAAATGAATGAAATACCTTTAAAATTAAAGTCTAATAGGTATATATATATATATATATATATATATATATATATTGTTTCTGGACTCAATCACCATTGATAATGAATTACAAAATGTTTTATTAATTCATAATTAATAAATAAAAAAGTCTCAATGCTGTACGGAGAATTAAAATGTCAAGAAAATAATGTCATAATGCAAAAAATCATCTTCATTCACTTTATGAGAAATATTATTTCCTATTTTTGCTTATTTATTTATTTCATCTATATGTATAAAAAAAGACTGGTGAGAACATGCAATAAATAATATTTCTACTTGAATTTTTGAATTGTAACATTTTTATGAAAATTAAACACATTTTCTGCCTCCATTCACATTACTGAAATGCATATTTTTAGGAATTTATATACCTTTATTATATGTATATTTGTCTATATATATATATATATATTTTTTGTAATTTTAGACTATTACACTATTTACAAAAAATAAATACATTAAATAAATGAATTAAATACCTTCAAAATTAAATTCTAATGGTATTTATTAAAGGTATTTAATATATATATATATATATATATATATATATATAAATTTAAATATATATATATATATATATATATATATATAATGTTTCTGGACTCATTTACCATCGATAATAATGAACTACAAAATGTTTTATTAATTCATAATTAATAAATAAAAAAAGTCTCAATGCTGTAATGAGAATTAAAATGGCAAGAAAATAATATCACAATGCAAAATATCATCTTCGTTCACTTTATGCGAAATATTTTTTCGCTTATTTTTGCTTATTATATTTTTGCTTATTAATTTATTTCAGCTATATGCATAAAAAGACTTTGGTGAGAACATGCAATAAATAATATTTCTACTTTTTCCTTTTTTTAGTTTGTGTGGGCACTGGATGTGCACACATTTGTTTAAGTCTAACTATACGTATGTATGCATATGTTTGTGTGTGACCTTTGACATAGCTCTGATAGTAGTGTTCCTGTAGAAGGCTGCAGTAGTTGGCCAGTTCCTTGTGTTTGTGAGGGTGCGTCATGAGCTCAGACCAGGAGGAGGCGCTGCTGCGCTCCTGAGAGATTGACCTGCCAATACACACACACACACACACCAGATAACACGAGGCCACAATCTGCCACACATTTCCTACAACACTACACCAGACACCAGCCTTAAATAGCAGAGACAAGCAGCAGGAACAGTCAGCAAGATATCCAATTCAAAGATTCACCCACATGTTTAACTTAGGGAAAACTGGCACTTTCTGTCACTTATTTGAACATCAGATCTCCATTTTTCTTTTAGTTTATTATCGTAGTACAATTGAATCAAATTTAAATTATATGAAAGGCACAATGTTAGAAAAAAATTATAATATGGCAATTTATTGACTTATTTACCAGATTCTGAAAAAACAATATTGGTACCATCGTAGCCCTCAAACCGTATTCACTTTATAGTAATTGTGGACAAATGTGGGCACAGAGGACTCAGGTGTGATCCTAATTTTCATTTATTATAAATGTTATATCACTGTCTTCGATAAAGTTTTGTGTATCCATTTATGGTGTTTTCTTTTATTTTGGGGGCATTTTTTTATTTATTTACTTCAAAAAGTACCATATTTTCTATGTAAATTATGCTTATTGTTGTTTTATTTTTTATTAACCACATTAAAATATCATTCCAATAAGTTCCTAGAACTAAAACCTAAAGATGAAGTGACTTTGCTGTCACCTGGTGTCTTATTTTGGCTTATGCTCTAAATTACAGTTTTTCCCATTCATTTCTATGGGTGCCCATTTTTGACCCAAATACAAGATTAAGGAGGTTTTTTTCACCCACTTAACATTGTAGAATTGAGCCAAAAAATTGTGTGTGTTCAGGAGGCAAACTTAGGAAAAGTATTTTTTTAAATAAATAAATCAAAACTATTTTGCCCACATTTGTCCAGAATACGGTTTTAGGGTTAAAAACATCATGTCTATCTGACATGTACAGAAAGCGAATGCATGCTCTTGAATTTATTAATTTGGGTCTATATCTATTTATTATATTACATGCACAAAGAAGGTGATTATTGACCCTATTAAACAGTGTAAAATCTGTTCTAAATGGATGATTTTAAATATTAGGGGCCGATTCAACATCAGTATTCCTGAGTGTAATCCTTATATCAAGCAGCACTCCAGTGCAATAGTGTTACATTTATCTACACTGTCCAAAGCATCATCAAATGTAAATACTAGTCGTGTTTGCTTCTGAAGAGGACAGGAAAATATCCAGCTGCAGGTTTTAGACAGCTTTAAGAGCATGCAAAACAGGTTTACAGCCATGAAGCAACAAAATCCTAAAATATATGGCATAGGTTTAAACATTTTTTGTGGTCAACAAAGCAGGAAAAATACATTAAAAGGAAAAGCGAGGTGGAAAACAAGACGTTGAGACATAAAATGTACCCTCAAATGTGAGTATTCAGACACTACCACCAAGACAGTTGAACATACCAGATTAACAAAGACTAATTTTTTTCAATAAAGTCATAATCCAGTCATTTCACCCTACTTTTGAATGTCTTGGGATGTCCTAAATATAAAATGATGTCTACATATTGGGATCGAACCTCCAAATTTCAGTATGTACACTATCAGTCAAAAGTTTGGATGCATCGAATCACTTTTACCAACTCTGAAAACCACAAATGAAGCCTCCCTCATATTTGAGACTGATGAAACTGTATTGAAAATGCATGATCACGTGGAGCACGTGATGGATATGCACTGTCGTATTGCTTCTCCTTTTCCACGTGTTATCAGAGAGTCAGAAACAGACATTCAGTCAAATACGTCCAAACTTTTGACTGGCACTGAACATCAGAAGGCAGAGAAAACAACCCTCAGCAGGACATGAGGTCTTAAAACATACAAGTCAATGTAGAGCAATCTAAATCACTGTGCATCTGAATCAATAACAATATAGATCACAGATCGTAACATTTTAAATAACAGGTTTTCTATATGAATATATTTTTAAATGTGATTTATTCCTGTGATGGCAAAGCTTGACTGTCACCTGATCAGTCAAAAATTTTTTGCAGGATTCTTTGATGAATATAAAGTTAAAAAAAATTATTTTTTGGTAACACTTCACTTGAAGGGGTGTGCATAAGACTAACATGACGCCTTCATAATCATGACATGACATGAAGTTTTATGCATGTTTGCCTAATGACTACTGTCATTAAGTGTCATTCGCTCAGTTATGACATTTTTAATGCAAATATGACATTGTTTGAGATGTTTTTGTTATGACACCTTGACATAAACCAAATTCAAGTTATAATGCCTCATGACAGCCAATGTCAAAGCCAACGACTTTAATTTTAAAGGTATTTAATTAATTTATTTAATGTATTTATTTTTTGTAAATATTGTAATAGTCTAAAATTAAAAAAAAAATAATATATATATATATATATATATGAAGAGTTCAGATGCAAAAGCCTCTAAATGCCATTTGAAATTTTCTTCTTTAATGATGATTTTGATCAAACTTGTATATTTAAGTTCAGTAATTTCACTTAAATAACAATTAATAGGTGCCATTTAAGTGAAATTACTGAACTTAAATATACAAGTTTGATAAAAATCATCATTAAAGAAGAAAATTTCAAATGGCACATAGAGGCTTTTGCATCTGAACTCTTATATATATATATATATATAGACAAATATACATATAATAAAGGTATATACATTCCTAAAAATATGCATTTCAGTAATGTGAATGGAGGCAGAAAATGTGTTTAATTTTCATAAAAATGTTACAATTCAAAAATTCAAGTAGAAATATTATTTATTGCATGCTCTCACTAGTCTTTTTTATACATATAGAAGTTTTATGCAAGTTTGTGACTACTGTCATTAAGTGTCATTCGCTCAGTTATGACATTTTTAATGCAAATATGACATTGTTTTTGTTATGACACCTTGACATAAACCAATACATCATAACCTGTCAGTGTCTTTGTCATGACAACTTGACATTACCAAGACAACACAACCTGTCATAAACATGATTAATGATCAAACTTTATTGGTTAACATTACATTAAACTGTCAGGCGGTTGGTTTTGACATTGGCTGTCATGAAGCCATTATAACCTTTTAATGACAAATTCAACTAGTACCACTGTAGTTGAGGTCACGAAACATATTCAAGACACAGTTATAATGCCTCATGACAGCCAATGTCAAAGCCGACCACATTTAATGTCAAGGTGTCATGACAAAGACACTGACAGGTTACGATGTATTGGTTTAATCTTAAACAAGGTCATATTTGCATTCAAAATGTCATTATTGAGCGAAACACACTTAATGACAGATGTCATAAACCCTACTTCATATTCAAGACATACGTCATGTCAGTCTCTTCAAGTAAAGTGTTACAGTATTGATTAATGGCTTTACTGTCACTTTTGATCAATTTACTGAATCCTTGCTGAATAAAAGTATTCATTTCTTTCCACAACAAAAAAGCCCTAACTTTTGAAGTTTGAATATGTTTACAGATTATTTTAAGACCTCATACCCATAGCTAAATCTCCTGAAGCCTGATACCCCCTCAGTCACCTTCCTAGAAAAGCAAAACCCTCCAGAGAAAGAGAAAGACAGAAGGACCATCCTCAGTGTAACCATCCTCAGTCGTACCCCCCGCCCCGGTCCCGCTTGAGGGCAACAGCAGCAAGCAGTGAGCAGGGCTACCTGTATTTGGTCTGCTGACTGAACTCCCAGTTGTCTGTCTCTTGAGCTCTTCTCATCCAAAGAGAAACCAGACAGTAAAACATTAGGATGACCACACGGTGCCCTCTGAATGATTAAACACAACAGGTCTGTCCCAAAACATAGCGAGCTGCCTACCTAGGCAACATTTTAAGGCCCTTGCTCTGTTCTGTGACTCTCCTGTTCGAACTCGTTTGTCAAAATGAACGAATCTTTTTTCGTGTCATTTGGTTCATTCAACGAACGAAACGAACGAGCCGACTCTGGAAAAGACTGAACGGGTGAGTCACAAACGTGCATCGCAGAACAGAGCAAGGCTTATAAAACTTAAACTTTGTTATTTATTTTTGTTAAATGAGCGATCGTTTCGCTTGATAAGACCCTTATTCATCGTCTGGAATCGTTTAAAGCCCTTTGAACAGTTTGCACCGAAAGTCTCATTTGGACCCCATTGAAGTCCATTATATGGAGAAAAATCCTGGAAAACCTTAATTTCTTTTCGACTGAAGAAAGAAAGACATGGACATCTTGGATGACATGGGGGTGAGTAAATTATCAGCAAAAGTTTTTTAAAAGTGAACTACTCCTTTAAGAATGTTACAGGCCTATGTCACACTTCCTGCTTCTGGAAATACAGAACTTCCGGTCAATAGTATTTCTCGATAAGGATTTCGATTATCTAAACCATCCGAGGTAGACTGACCACGAGCTATGAGGTTGTGAAACGAAGGTTTTTGCTCCTGTCGAAGATATAGGTTTGTATGAAATCAACCTTGTTTAAAGAAAAAAATGTTTTATCCACGATAGAGTTTTCATTTATCATCCGAACCACATCGTCATCGTCATATGTGACTTCAGGCAGGTTGTGGAGAGATTTGGTCCAGGGGTATCTATCGGACTCCACCACTGTAAAAAGCTAACCAGAAGAGCCGTATCCCTACTAAAAGACGTACTTCCGGTCTTCAATAGGGCTGGGTATTGAGACAAATTTCACAATTCGATTCGATTTCGATTACGATTTGATTCGATTCAATATCAATTATTTTGGATATCAGTTACAATAAATGGCCATTTTTCTCAAGGGAATCAAATCTCAACTAATGCTGTAAACTATGGGAGTCTAGTTGTAGCCTATAGGCTTCATTAGCCTAATATGAAGGTAATAATGAACTGTTTTGTAGCTACACAAACACTTAAATTACACTTTTATTTATTTTCATAATAAGAAGATTATATGAAATATAAACATTTAAATGGTGGCCGTCATAAAAACTTGCCAGATTTATTCAAATATGCATTAAATATTGAAGAACATTAAGATTATAATGCATATGTAATATGGTGTATATATTTAGCAAAATGCTCCTCTCTAGAGCTATTTTTTCCAGCTAACGAGTTTATGTGGGTTTTCTGAGGTAAATATGACGAAACATGATATTGATTACAAGCTGTTTTAACTGACGTCTTTCCACGGTTGAAACGCTGATTCGGATTTCGATCTTTCAATACACTTTCAGATGCTCAATCATGTTTATTTCGCTCTGTAACTGGTATTATTAAGCCGGAAGAGAGATCAGCGCTGCTGCTTCTCCAGAGCGATCTCACGCCACAGCGCCAAAACACTATTTATGTTTTTGAATTTCTAAAGAAAATGGACGTAATTTGAAAATTGAGACTTTGTTTCATATCAATAGTAACAAAGCACAAAGATTATTGCGATTTTTTGGATGCGCGCGGCCGCGATACAACGTCCCATTCATTCAAATGAAACAGGATGACTAATCGATTCTTGAGATTTAAGAATCGATATCGATTCGTAAAAATGAGAATCGATTAATATCGAGAAATCGATATTTATTACCCAGCCCTAGTCTTCAATTTTTTGGTGACGTAGGCCTATTGATGCTTATATTCAAAGCACGCAGTGTTTATTGCTAATGAAGAGCATTTCAGATGCTGTATTGGAAGGTAGTTATCTAGGTAGGCAGAAGGCCGCTCTATGGGGTTTGGATCAGAGCTGATGACCAGAGACCTTCAAGCTATCATGTAGCTTTCATGTGGATGTGTGCCTCAGTACCTGAAGAAGACGTCTCTGGGCTTCCGTCCCGACCGCGGATTGACCAGCTGCTCTTTGAGGGAGTCCAGTGAGCAGTTGTAGATGTAGATGGGGCAGCGAGGTCGAGTGGCGTCGGTGCCGCTCTGCTGAGACACCTGTCTGCTGAACGTGATGTGACAGTCTCGCTTTTGGGGCTCTGTAAACTGCACACCATCCTTCTCTTCTGGAGCTAAACGTTATGGGACACAGTTATGGAGATAAACGTCTCTCCCAGATATGTTAAGTTTTTTTATATTTCATATTTTAACATTTAACCCTTAATCACTCTTTGGGGTAAATATGACCCCAATTGACTTTTCCTAGATTTTTTAAAAATGTTCCCTTCATCTCAGGGCCATGAAACTCTTCCTTAATAAAAAATCTAAAAACATGCGCAAAAAAAAAAACTGGGTTCGATTTGGTTGTTCTAATTTTTTTTTACCATTTAAGGTGTTTGGGGTCAAAATGACCCCATTTGAAAATGAATGTAAGGATTTTTTTTATTTTGTTTGTTAAAAAAATAAAAGTAAATCCATTATAAATCTGAAATGTTCCACATATAAACCAAGGTCTGGTCTAGAGCATAAATAGAAATCTCATACACACACACACACACACATACACGCACAAACACACACGTCATGACTGCAACAGAGAGCATTTTTTTTACAGAAATTGGCAAATAAAACAAACAAAACTGGCATAAATCTAAGAAAAATTACATTTAAATCAAGGTCTGGTCCTAGAGCATAAACACAAAGTGGAACGAGCTTTCTATCTCACACACACACACACACACACGTAAGCATCCTGTTCATTACAGTTTATTAGTGCTGTTGTTTTGTATTATATTGGTTTATCAAATTTATTTTGTTCTAAAAAAATGAATAATTGTTGATAAATAATTTTCTGAAATGAACAGTGTGTGATTACAGTCATGTCATAGTGCTGACTTGTAATGTTTATGCAAATGTATGTATAATAATTTGCAAAAACAAATAATTCAAAATCTATCAGACAACAACACCAAACTCTAATTTTGACAAAAATATTTTGTACAATTCTCAAAATATATATATCATATATATCAAGTTGTGAGGAGAATTTGAAGCATCAAGAAAAATGAAGTGAAAATGAATGAGTCTTTATGGACCCCTATTGGATAGATGTGGTCATTGCACTTTAATACTATAAGAAAAACTGTGTTTCGACTAACCACCAGATGGTAGTATTCTATCCCTAACACATAGAGCAATGTCCAAAAACTGTTTAGATTTAATTATCAACATAATTTAAGTGTTTTTTCTTTTTCTTTAAAAAATCATTTTTCATGTACCAATTTATGGCCTAGTTATGTAATTGTGCAGTAAATAGGTAGAAAACTTAAAAAATTCCAAAAAAAACACAGCATAAATGATTAGTTGAGAAGTGAATTTAAAAAATGATGTATAGTTTTCCATATAAAAAAAATGTATATTTCCTTATGCAATCACTCTTTAAAGGTCTGGGGACCCCAAAGACCATAAGTGTTGTCCTTTTTTAAGAGTGATTAAGGGTTAAGTAACAATAAAGTTCTTTAACGGTTCATGTGAAATGCATGTAAAATCTCTTGTTTGGTTTTGGTTTCTGATATTACTGCAAACCTGCATCGCCTGTGTTCATGTTGGTTTGTTCTGTAGACGTCTCCAACGCTGCTTCTGGTTTAGCTGTGGACCCCTCTCTGGACGCAGGGTGGCCCTTGACATCATCTTTATGTTGACCATTGGCTGAACTGCTGATAGAGTCTTCCTGTGATTGGCCGTTGCCGTGGCTACAGGTCTCCTCCTCTTCCAGGAAGCTGCCGTTGATTGGAGGTTCAGTTTCCAGACCAGATGACATCAAAAGCTGCACATCTGCACAATCAAAATAAAATATATATGTGTGTATAAATATATATCAGGGTTCCTACACTTTTTAAAGTCAAATTTTAGGCTTTTTAAGACGTTTTTAAGACCTGAAGAAATCAAAATTAATACCATACATTAGGCGAGTGCAATATTTCAAGGTTTTGTTGATAATAATCAGATGATATTTTACTGATTGTGTTTTTGTGCTGGTTCTATTTAATACCGTAGTATTTTATTTTTCAAATAATAATTACATATCAAATATTCGTGCACACCCCTAATTAAAAACCCAATAAAAATGGTAGTTTGCTAACATTCTCCAGCTGGCAATATTAGTTTGGTAAACTGTGGGTATATTTCTTGCTATGCTTTCAGCCAAGAATGTAAACGGCTAAATAGAAAGCATTAATCTCATGATGTGTGCAAACATAAAAGGACAACTGAGCTCTAATTGGTGTGGCACTGACAGATGATGCACCTGTAAATGTAGCTGGCAGGAATGTGAGCAGGATCTGCTGATGGCTGATGTATTTGGCGTAACATTTCCAGTGAGGAGATAAGCCGTCTCGCTCCAGGCCAGCTGGCTCGTCATCCACAAGATCTGCATTGCTGAAACTCTGCCAGGAACAGAGAAACACACACTGTAGCCACTCTGCCAACAACAGAAAGATGAATACACTACTGTTTAACCCCTTAACGGTCACCGTCACACCTGTCCCACATGCGTGTTCTTTGTGTTTCTTAGAGGTTGAATTCATTTCAAAATCTGCCAGACTTCCCATATTACTTCTGAATAGGATTTCTATTTCATAAATTGTACGAAAAATGTGGAAATAATGGTTCAGATCACTCAAAACACATATGGAAATGGAGGTGCCCTTATATGAGCAATAATGGTTGTCACCTAGTGAAAAAGTTTGGTACTGCGCCCAAACAACATCTTACTGAAAGCTCATTTTTTTGAGATTTCAACCTAAAATTTTAAAAACAACTTTTTCTGTAGTTTTAGAGTAGCCCAGGTTTTGAAAATATATATTTTATATAATTTTTTTTACATTGTAGTTCATTTCCATAAACTCAAACTTCTATAACTTTTTTTCTGTTTCACTTTACACTTCTACAAAAATGCCAAAGGTCGTCTTTAAAACAAGACCCATTCATGAATTACAACCATTTAAGTTTGAAATGTGGATTTCCATGTCTATTCAAAAAAAGGGGGGTGACACTAAAGAGGTTAAAGGTTTGGGGCAAAGTAAGTTTTTTATTTATTTTTTTCAAGAAATTTTAACTTTTATTCAGCAGAGATGCATTAACTGTCACCGTCCCACAGGTGGGACGTTTGCCACTATATTTTTAAAACAATAGTAAATACCTTTAGTAATATTGACAAACTATAAATCATTTGAAAGCTTACAATCTCTAGTTTCCATATTTGGTGACTGATTTTCAAAATATATTACAGAGGAACCATAATTTATCAATATGCAACAAGAATATTTTCATACTCATAAAGCGAGTTCAGACCTTTATTTTAAAATAGCAGTGAACATGAAAAATCATGAAAAAAATGGTAGATACCTCAGTTTGTTTTTTTAATGCCAAAAGTTCAAAAGATAACATCCATTTAATTATTTTGGAAAAAAAGGTCTGAAATGTTTGAAATATCAAGAAAAAAAATAATAAATTCACCATTTGTGATGTGGCAGCGAGCTATGACTTACATGAAGGTTATTTGTAGGCTGTGTTTCTTAGAGGTTGAATTCATATCAGAATCTGCCAAACTTCCCATATTACTTCTAAATAGGATTTCTACTTCATAAATTGTATGAAAATTGTGGAAATAATGGTTCAGATCACTCAAAACACATATGGAAATGGAGGCGCCCTTATATGGGCAGTAATGGAGTCTGATTGTGCCCTAGTGAAAAAGTTTGGTACTGCGCTCAAACAAAATCTTGAAAGCTCATTTTTTAAGATATCAACCTAAAATTTGAAACACAACTTGTTCAGATTTTTTGCTTTGATCTTTCTGCCGTTTTAGAGTAGCCCAGGTTTTGAAAATATATATTTTATGTAAAATATAAATAATTAATATTTTTACATTGCACATTTCCATAAACTCAAACTTCTATAACTTTTTTTCTGTTTCACCTTCTTAATTTATTTCACTTCGACAAAAATCTGCCAAATGTCTTCTTTAAAACAAGACGAATCCGTCTATATTCCAAAGCATTCTTGAATTACAACCATTTAAGCTCGAAATGTGGATTTCCATGTCTATTCAAAAAAAGGGGGGTGACCCTTAAAAGGTTAAAGGTTTGGGGCCAGGAAGTTTTATTTATTTTTTTCAAGAAATTATAACTTTTATTCAGCAGAGATGCATTACATTGATCAAAAGTGATAGCAAAAACACTAATTACTAGTCAAAGACAGCGGGTTTGTCCCAGTTTGCATAATTATGCACTATTCAATGCTGTTTTGTAGTATGAATAGTGCAAGTAGAGCATTCACACTGAAAATAAAACAACAAAAAAGTGCACTTTAAATACCTGGATGATGCACTTGACCGGAAAAAAAAGTGTGTAATGTTAGACACTTCATGTACTCGACTGCACAGCTTAAATTACATGGTTGAATGACAAAATAAGACACAATAATAGCACATAGTTTATAAGTGCATAGTGTATAGTGTGTCATTTGGATGCAACTAGTTTTCACACACACATGTGGACGGGCATAGTGGAGATAATAAGGGATGACATACCTGTAGTGTGCTGGAGGAGCCCGTCACATCTTTACTGCTTCCTATCGTGTGGAAAGAAAGTACAGTGTCCTGCCTCTCCGGAGGCTTCAAACTCTCTTCTGAACACACACACACACACAATAATAATCTCTTCTTATGTCACTATCAATTGTTAATGAATCACTTAAAGCTTCATTGAGGATGTCTGGCATCCATTAGCATTAAGTCTTTCAATTACGCTGTTTTTTAATCATCTACTCAGTCCTTCACTGATCACAATGCTATTCAATCTATCAAACACTGTGGCAAGAGTAAATGCAAACCACAAACCATCTGTGGTTGTTATCTGTTTCCACTTTCCAGAAATGATCCGGGTTTAATACAACTTAAAGGGTTAGTTCACCCCAAAATGAAAACCCAAAAGAAAAATAAATGCTTTAGATGTATTTTTCATTGCTAAGTAATTTTAAATAATTTTTGCTGCGTATGAGTCCTAAATGTTTAGTGATTTTTTTATGTTTTTGTATAGTGGTATTACTTCTTATTGTATTGTTTGCATTTTATCCTGTTGTACAGCACTTTGATGTATTAAATGTATTATTATTATTATTATTATTATTATTAATGCAGAACCATATAGACCATTTCACAAGATGTAAACAACACTGGTCCAGAAGCACTTCCTGTTTCAGTTTAACACTACATAAAAGCTGGGATAAAATACAACCAACAGAACATGTAAAACTAAATCAAAAAGTTAAACATTTTACATGTGAAATAAAGAAAACAGTTACAAACTGAAACAGGAAGTGTTTCTGGACCATCTTGTGAAATAGTCTATTGTAAAGTGTTACCAAAAAATCTTACCCCACACCTTTGAATGGTAGTGTAATTTGTATTAGCCTGCGTAATCAGTCATATACACCAGGATTTAAAAACAAGTACTCTTAAATCACCTTTAATGACAGGTAGTGAGAACGGAGCCACATGACCATCTCTTTCCCGCTCCAGGATGTGATGCATGAACGCCACATGATCCTCGTCGGTCAGTGGGATCTCTCGATCGCTGAGCTCGTTCTGCAGAGAGCCGTGGAAGAGGCTGAGGAGGAGGTCGTTGGGCAAAGACGAGGCACTATGGGACACATCCGCCTGCCCCTCTGAAGCAGAGGGTAAAGGTCAACAGAAACAGTGAAACCATGCCCTGATTTGATGGTTGAATACAGGAAAATGGGTAACACTTTATAATAAGTTTCATCAGTTAACTACTTTTCCTTTTTTTAACTACCACTCTTGACGCACGAATGGATTCAAAAAGGGTTCACGCGAATTTGACGCGCTATTCGCTTCTGGTGTGAACGCAGCATTAAAGGAGCGATTGATTGGTCGTGTCACGGTGTCACGGGCCTTAATGTCTGACGTCGGGTTACACTTGAAGCAAATCATCTACACAATTATTTAGTTTTCCTATTTAACGACCCGAAAATTTAGTTGTAATAATAATTTTGGCATAAGACTCATTAGCGTTAGGCTATATCTGAAATGTCCGATTTAGCCTGTGCACTTTTTTTTTTCCACAGTTTAATGTTTTTTTATTTAATCTTTTTGTGGCAGACTAAAGACTCATGACAGACTGTTGATCTTTGAATGAAAATGTATGAACCAAAACCTAACATATTGAACCAAAACCAAATCACCCAGGTCCTGAATTTCAGCCAATCTCATCTGGTCACCCGACAAATAACACATTTTTGTATATGTATATGTAAAACGAATATTTTTATTAGCTTTACAATCGAAATCTAAAGTTTTTACAAGCAAAAATGTGGTTTCCCTGATGGGTTTATTTAACAACCGGAGATATTTATAGTCCGCTCAGCTTGGAGAACCCTTCAGTTTAGCTAATTTACTTTGTTGCTATGGTTACTCACAGCTGATGTAGCCAGCGCATTTATTTATTAACGGTAAACAGTCAGTTTCACCAGAACTCCTTTCCTAGGTGTCCTCTATCACTTTTTAATGGACACCCAGCAGCCAATCAGAATCAAATATTCACTCAGACCATGATATAACTAATGTTAACTAAAGCCTAGTTCACACTACATGATTTTAAAACGTCGGGTTGAACTGTGCGGTTCACACTACATGACTTGAGGAGTGTTAAAGTTGTTGAGCTGTTCACACCACACAACATGATTGGTAACACACTACAACAGTTGACCACAACTCTGTCACCCAACGATTCTATCTTGTCTAAAAACCACGTTTTGTGACGAAAAATCATGTGATAAAACAAACCGGAAATGACGCGAAAACAGCCCGCGCGCCAATACCCAGCGAAGAAGACGAAGAACACCACACGAATATGGACGTCAGACAGAAACTAGTGCTGAAAACTGTTTGTGCGATGATTTGCTCTGAGAAAAAAAATGCAAAAAAAGAAAAAATAAGATCTATTGGGTGACCTCAACTCATGCCTTGCTCTGATTGGCTGTAGCTCATGACATCACTGAGGTTGAGTCGTGCGACAGCTCTGGATATCTAGCATACTAGATATTTTTTCTGGGCTCGGCGACGCATCTGCGAGTGTCTTTGATGCGTTGTTTCATACTAACAGAGTGGCAAGCGTTCATCGCCCGCGATTTGCACGCGATAACACTCTGACCTGTCGGCGAGCTCAACGATTTGCAAATCGGGCTTGTAGTGTGAATTGGCTTAAAGCTACACTGTGTAACTCTTTTAGTTTATTCTTAGCTAAAAACACTTAGTTCTTTCAAAAATATATGAAGAGTTCAGATGCAAAAGCCTCTAAGTGCCATTTGAAATTTTCTTCTTTAATGATGATTTTGATCAAACTTGTATATTTAAGTTCAGTAATTTCACTTAAATAACAATTAATAGGTAATTTTCATTGCCATTTAAGTGAAATCACTGAACTTAAATATACAAGTTTGATAAAAATTATCATTTTAGAAGAAAATTTCAAATGGCACTTAGAGGCTTTTGCATCTGAACTCTTCATATGTGCTCATTAATGTACATTCACTTCGTTCAAGTAATAAAGTATTCTCGTGAGTGTATAATATAGAGCCCCTCCATCTTGAAAGTACATTAGCCAAAGAGGGACATACCCGTTAATTCAAGCTTCGCGTTTGAGTTAACACTCGTGGACGAGGTCGAACTGGAAGCCCTGTTAATCTTGGACTACATTGGCCACCGTAGGAGTTAAAACGAAATCGGAATTGAGAGGAACAGAAACTAATATTCACTGGATGGTCATATACCTTTTCACCACTAGATGGGGGTAAAAATCACACAGTGTAGCTTTAATGAACCTTATTGTAAAGTGTCAGCGGAATATGAACGCAAGAAAGGACAGGATGAGGGATGATCAACTCGTACCTCGGCTAAAGGTGTAGAAGAAGAGCTCTATCTGCTGGCACTTGGGCAAGAGTTTCATCAGGTCAAACTGGAAAGGCACAGTGTGTATGCAGTCGTCAGCGGCGGCGGGGACCTCGCCTGCAAGAGTTACCACATCACATTAAGCATACACACTGATTGAGACTGTGTGCAGGAGACGTGATGGTGGACGTTTGTACCTGGAGCATCTTTGAGGCTGTTGAGAGGGCACGCCTGCTCTTTATTCTGACACAGCTGAATGAGGTACTCAAAGGTGATCATTGTGGTCATGCACGACAGGTCACGGGGGAAAATCTGAAATGGAGAAGAAAAACAACAATTCGTCGTAAGCTTTGGCCGTGCAAGTTCTCCGAAAAAGTCAACTTGAAATAAAAACTGGCCCTATTTTCTAAATCAATTTCTTATTTAAAGAAAAACTCTCATCATCTCTGAAACTGATATAAACAAATACCACACGAGCAGGCAGAAAAAAAATACTAGATTAATAATTCTACAATAATCAACAATTCTTGCCTTAATCCCTATTAGTTTGGTCATTCTTTCTCATATGGACGTCTGTAACAATAACTAATGGCTACTTGGTTGACTAGTAAACTTATATGTATATAATACATACATTAGCATTGTATTGTTTACCTGTTGCTGCCATTTTAAAAGCTTTTGAATTTGCGCACTTCTTTTTTTTAACATCTCCGTCTCACTGTAGAGGAGCGGATTTAAGAAATTCAAGAACATTTCAGGTTTGACTATCCAATGCCACCGAATTTTACTGTATATTCACTGAAAAGTTCACTCAGATTATAGAATGTAAAAGCTTTGTCACTGCAAATTTATGAATGCTCATGTCAGGGGTGACTAAAACCATAAAAAAAAAAAGGTTATAATAAACTGCAACTTTATTTCAGTCTCATTTTCATTTAGTTTAACTTGATGTGCTAAAAGAAATCAAATTAAAGCTGAAATACAAATTAATAAAAACATTAAAAAATAATAATAATAAAGTTAAAAGCAAAATATTAAAATACTAATTAAAAAATATTAATAAAAACTAGGGCTGTCAAACGATTCATCACGATTAATCACATCCAAAATAAGAGTTTGTGTTTACATAATATATGTGGGTGCACTGTGTATAAATATAAAAATACACACACATGCTTGTATATTTAAGAAATATTTACATGTATATACTGTAGATAGATTTATTAGAATTTTTATTATATATAAATAATATTTTTTCTTAAATATACATGCATGTGTATGTATTTATATATATGCACACAATAATTATACACACAGTGCACCCACATATATGTAAATACGATTAATCGTTTGACAGCCCTAATAAAAACCATAATAGTATCTCAATGATCCAAAAATAAAACAGTCTCATGTAAAATTAATATTATTGATCACTGTCAAGTCTCAGATCTTTGTAAAATAGGTACAATTTCACCGCATTTATTAGAGCTGCACGATTCTGGATAAATTGAGAATGTGTAATTTACTAAAGGCAGTCTATAATTAATTACAATGAATAATTTAAAAAAAAATGATTCAATGACTCACTCACAAATACTTGTTTCATTACAGTATGAATCAGCGTTTTTGAACAAATCTCTTGAATGAATGATTCAATGACAAATAAATTCTTTACGGTCACTTGTCGCCCCCTACTGGTGTAACGATGTAATGATACAATAATTTGAAGCGCCAAGTTACTTATAAAAGGTGATTCACTCTATTTTGATTTTATCCGAACTATTAACTTTTATCCCATTACTTGTAAAACAGAAATAACCATACTGTGACGATTTGTGAAGCGTTTTTTCACACACATATACATGATAACTCAGCTCAGCGGCAGTGTGAACAGATTTGAGAGTTTGCTGTGATTGCACTTAATAGACAGATCTGTATTATTGTCATTTAGGAATAAGATTATGCGGGTGTTTGAATCGGGTAAGGGATTAATCTCTAGCATGTTTAGTTTATTTCTCAATGGTATTTGATGTGTAAGTGGAGATGAGGCTGCTGGTCACTAACAGCTTGAGGAATCTGCTGGTACGTGAGGTTGTGAAAGTGCCTCTGCTGGTCCAGTGAACTGCAGACGGATCCACTCTGAGGCTCGACCCAGCACTCGGTCACCAGACTCAGCTCTGTGTCCACATCTATGGCCTCCACTTCAGTATCATTGTCATCATCTGTGGAGAAACTATAGGCAACAAGAGTTAAACCAAAAGACTATTCTCCCACAAAAAAGCCAACTGGACTCTTCTGGCGTATTAGTCGACTTGTAATTGATGCACATAGTATGTGATTAGCTGTGTGAAGTGAGCATAAACAATATTTAAATGCGTTTATTCTAAATAAATCACGAATAATCGCATACAAAATAAAAGTGAAATATAAAAATAAATTTTGTATATATAAATAAAGTAAACACACCTGTTATTTATATATAAAATATTTATATATTTGTTCACACACATACGTATATTATGTAAATACAAACTTTTATTTTGGATGCAATTGATCGTTTCACAGCCCTAATTCTAAACCATTAAAAGCATAGGAAACATCAGCTGAAGCCATTTAACCCTATAAAGCCTACTGTATCATATTTGATGTGCAAATTTTCTATTTTTTTGATAAATTATCAACATGAAAGTTCTACTGTACACAATCTACTAGTTTATCCTGGACGATAGTCTAAAACGTCCTTCAGGTGATCATGATGGTTCTTTTTATATTGCTGTGAAATCTTTGATGATTTTTATAAAGTAAACCTAAAAATAACTTTAAAATTGTTAGTAATATTTCATTCACTGGACATAAGCAACTCAGGTTTACTTGTTTATCCATATTTATTTCTTTTTTTTTTCTTTTTTTTTATTATGTTCATATGCATCAATTATGACTCCAGGCTTTTCTCAGTCATTTGTTTGTTTTGCATTGACAACTGATATTTATATGATTATGTTATAAAGATCTCATGACAAACTATCAGAAATCCAAATTTTAGCCATATAAATATCAGCATATTGTATATTTGTGCTCTGCATTCTAACTATATCATACTATATGAGCCATAAAAGCCTAATGTATTAAATATGACACTCAACAAAAACACATATGCAAACTTTTTTTGTAATCATTTAATCGACGGCTAGCCGCTTACACCATGGTCATTTGCCAGCATTGACAACATAAAGCTGTTATTGTTGTTAATCAATAACAATATTTGATGAGAAGGGAATTAAACTGATTTGGAAATATCTGTGCATTAAACGGTTTTATTGCACACCTTTCAGCCAATCAGAATTGAGTATTAAGACAGACCATTGTAAAAAGTAAAATATTTTGTGTAAAGGTTTCAATAAACAAATTCAGTTTATTTAGCAGTGGACAGAAACTCAAGTTTCTCATTACCTGTCCTTGGTAGAAGTGTAATGAGGCGGAAATAGGATATACTGGACTATGCAGGTGTGTTTTTCTCCGTCCAAATCAGCTGGAAGACTCTGCATACACAGTAGAGGCTGAACGTTAGCGATGCATCGCCAACAAAATGCTACAACTGGGCTCTACTAGCAGAGAGAGTTTATTCTTTCACCTGCATTGGCAGCTCTGTCACCATGTTGACGATACCCTCCCCGCTGGCAGCAAAATGGAAGCCTTCAGACAGACGAATACTGTGCAAAAAAAGTCATTTTGTAGTTGCTTATTTTGGATTTACATTACAAGCTTTCGGAATTTTAAGATTTTAAGGTTTCTGAAAAAATTACGCTTGCTTAAAGGAGTAGCTCACTTTTAAAAAACTTCTGCTGATAATTTACTCACCCCCATGTCATCCAAGATGTCCATGTCTTTCTTTCTTCAGTCGAAAAGAAATTAAGGTTTTTGATGAAAACACTCCAGGATTTTCTCCATATAATGGACTTCAATGGGAACCAAACGGTTCAAGATCCAAATGAGAGTTTCAGAGCAAACTGTTTAACAAAACTAAATAACAAAGTTTAAGTTTCATAAGCTCAAATGGTCACCTTGCTTATAAAACTTAAACGTTGTTATTTTTCTTTTAAATGAGCAATCGTTTCGCTTGATAAGACCCTTATTCATCGTCTGGAATTGTTTAAAGTCCTTTGAACAGTTTGCCGTTTGCACTGAAACTGTCTTTTGGACCTTGAACCGTTTGGTCCCCATTGAAGTCCATTATATGGAGAAAATCCTGGAATGTTTTCATCAAAAAACTTAATTTCTTTTCGACTGAAGAAAGAAAGACATGGACATCTTGGATGACATGGGGGTGAGAAAATTATCAGCAAAAGTTTTTTATTAAAAGTGAACTACTCCTTTAACTTGGGAATTTCCCAAGGATCTTTCAGACTCACTCAGAGAGCATGGAGAGGATATGAGCGACCGCATGCAGCGATACAGCGGTTCCCGGCCCGTTCTGCACGGCCCAAACCCAGCGCTGGTGAAGGAAGTATCGGGAGAGCGACGCCACGGTGGAGGAGGCCGTCCTGCTGGCAGCCATGCTGAGAGGGGCGCCCATGGTGGCCGGCTGGGCGAACAGCTCCATGTTTAGGATAAAAGAGGTGTGGAAATCTGACGGAAGTTTCTCGTACCTGTAGCAGGACGTCAGTAGAGGTCAGATATGGGCTCTAACTGAAGTCAATGTTGTAACTGTAAAACTAAAACTAATAAAAATTATTTTTGTTAATTGAAATAAAGTTAAATATAAAAATTTGATGAAAAACTTAAAATTAGAAATGCTGTCTTGGCAAGTAACTGAAATAAAGTATACGGTTGAAGTATTAAAATTACTAAAACTGAAATAAAATAAAGACCAAAATATATATATATAAAAAAAAACAACTAATAAAAATGATAAAAGATCTGAAAAAAAAAATGCAATTAAATTGAAAACTGAAAACATAAAAATAATAAATACTATAATAGTATATCAATAACAATTAAATGACATTTATTGAAGTCAACATGTTTACAAACCATTGTAATTACCATATATAATGTGACAGAATATTCAATGAGAAAAGCATGAATCTTTGGAAGTTAATCAAGTTAATCAATCACGAAAACTTAAAACGAGTTCAAATATAAAATATTGTAAAAAATGTACAATAAAACATAGCTGTCAACATTGAAAATAAGGGAGATTTCCCAGAATCCATCCCCAAAATAAGGGATTTTTTTTACAATATACTTACCCACAAACTTTAAAAATAAAGCACTAATCATTAAAAGTCTAAAGAGTTTAGACTTTTAATGATTTAGGGGTGGTGATGGCGCAGTGGATAAGACGCATGCCTTTGGTGTGAGAAACCCGGGTTCGAATCCACGAATCCAATGTGTCCCTGATCAAGACTCGTTCATCAAAATGATTTCAAAATTTCTGAACTCGTTCATCAAAACGAACAAATCTTTTTCCGAGTCATTTGGTTCATTCAACGAACGAAACGAACGAATTGACTCGGAAAAAGATTCTTTCATTTTTGATGAACGAGTTCGAACAGGAGAGTCACGAACGCGCATCAGAACAGAGCAAGGCGAGCATTTGAGCTTATAAAACTTAAACTTTGTTATTTATTTTTTAAATGAGCGATCGTTTCGCTTGATAAGACCCTTATTCATCGTCTGGAATCGTTTAAACCCCTTTGAACAGTTTGCAGTTTGCACTGAAAGTGTCTTTTGGACCTTGAACCAGCTATGGGTTGACAGCTATGCAATAAAATGACTTGGTGTCAGTCAAAAAGAAAATAACTTGAATTGAATTTGACTGTCGCGCAGTCACAACTTTTTGTACATGCTAAAAAACGTTATCAAGATAACAGAAATGAGATTGAGAATCGATTTATGTTTACGACACTGACCTGATCAGTAGTTTTTCAAGAGGTTTGTTGAGCACCACCACACACGGCCGGTCCGAGAGCGCCGGTTTGGGCACCGGAAGAGGCGGAGACTTGGAGGGTGAAGCGTTACCCAGAATCTTCCGTTTGGTCTTTGGTGTGGCCTCCTTATTCTGGACTCGATGAGGGAAGCGCAGCCGCAGGATCTGCTCTCGAAGTTCATCCACGATCTACAAACAGAGTCAGAGTGACAAACACTCATTCTGCTGTACTGTCCTGATCTGAAAGCAGTTTTCAAACGAACTGAACTCGCCTTATTCCTGGTGTGTGCAAGAGTTCCTATCGGGAAGCCCAATCGCAGCACCATGCAGGGAGCTTTGGAGATCAGACGCACCAGATAGAAGGAGACGGGCGGCAACTCAGAGGCACTGTGGGAATAATGCTTGTTAAAACACTGCCTGTAAATACGGCAAAAGTTCTGTGCGTGTACCTGTAAATAAGTTTGACGTATGAGTAACCCTCCACCAGGACGAAACTGCTCCAGTCCCTGAGCAGCGAGGTGAGCGCCGAGTGAGAGATCCGACACTGGACGGTACTGAATCGCCCATTACTGCCAGCGTTGTGCACATGCTTCGGGACTGGGCTGAACAGAGAGATATAAAGCAGAGAGGGATTTATTAACCACTGATTTTTATATGGAGCACTGCCTGTAACTCCAAACCAAGCCTTTTTATACCAACTCAACTTGTCTAATTTCTCTTCAGACTAGTCAAGTCCCCTTAAAGGAGTAGTTCACTTTTAAAAAAAACTTTTGTTGATAATTTATTCACCCCCATGTCATCCAAGATGTCCATGTCTTTCTTTCTTCAGTCGAAAAGAAATTAAGGTTTTTGATGAAAACATTCCAGGATTTTTCTCCATATAATGGACTTCATTGGGAACCAAACGGTTCAAGGTCAAAATGAGAGTTTCAGAGCAGCTTCAAAGGGCTTTAAACGACACCAGACGATGAATAAGGGTCTTATCAAGGACCCTTCGAGTCACGACTCGAAAAAAGATTCATTCATTTTGATAGGTGAGATCGAACAGGAGAGTCATGATGGAGAGTCATTACAGAACAGAGCAAGGCGAACATTTGTGCTTATAAAACTTATACTTTTTTATTTATTTTTGTAAATGGCCGATCGTTTCGCTTGATAAGACCCTTATTCATCGTCTGGTGTCGTTTAAAGCCCTTTGAAACTGCACTGAAACTCTCATTTGGACCTTGAACCGTTTGGTTCCCATTGAAGTCCATTATATGGAGAAAATCCTGGAATGTTTTCATCAAAAACCTTAATTTCTTTCTGACTGAAGAAAGAAAGACATGGACATCTTGGATGACATGGGGGTGTGTAAATTATCAGCAAAAGTTTTTTTTAAAAATGAACTACACCTTTAATTTACAGTACATAGCGCTTTTAACAATATGGACTGTTTCAAAGCAGCTTTACCGTGATAATAGGAAATTAAAGTGACAGAGATTGTTTTGGTATTACAGCAGCTCTAGAACAAAGTTATTGTCCAGCTTAAAGCTACACTGTGTGATTTTTACCCCCATCTAGTGGAGAAAGGGTATATGACCATCCACTGAATATTAGTTTCTGTTCCTCTCAATTCCGATTTCGTTTTAACTCCTACGGTGGCCAATGTAGTCCAAGATTAACATGGCTTCCGGTTCGACCTTGTCCATGAGTGTATAAACGCGAAAGGCGAAGCTTGAATTAACGGGTATGTCCCTCTTTGGCTAATGTACTTTCAAGATAGAGGAGCAACATGGCGGCCGACATCAGAACCCCTCACCCGTATGTATTTTCAATGGCATATTATATAATGTTTGTTTAAAATTTGACCTCAACAAACTACCCGTCTGGCCTTAAATTCATAATAAATAATACTTTTTTTATCGCTTCTGTGTGTCCATGCGAACCGGAATTAATTTGACAACGTTTTATCTGTACAGAGGTAAAGGGAAGAGACTAATGGCTCTTTCAGACTGCACGATTTTCAAAGTAGTCAGGTCGCTGCTCTTTTCACACTGCATGACTATCTTGGCCAGCATTCAGTCGCTGCTGTGTTCACACTGGACGATGGATCGGCGACAGAAGGTTTCACACTGCATGACTTTAGAAAAATCGCCGACAGACTCTGTCTAGCACGCTGCACGCAAACTACATTTCACAACAAACACGCGTGAGATATGAAAAGGAAACAACGCGCGACACCACACGTGCAAGACCGGAGTTCTCACGTGAGACCTTTTTTTTTCGACCCGGTTGTGGTACAGCTGGTGAAACAGACACGAGTGCTCCTGCCAAATTTCTACTAATTTTTCTTCCATTTATTGTGTGCAAATAGACCGAGAAGAAGCTTTTTTTGTTGAAACAATGCCATATCATGTTGATATGTGATCTATAACTCCTCCCCGAACTCCCTGCTGCTCTGTATCTTGCTCTCTCACTGGCTGCCGGTGATCGCCGATGTAGTTTTCAGTCAAAACACTTTTCACACAGCAGGATTTTGAATCGCCGACAGGTCCAGATATTTAGCATGCCAAATATCTCACGGGCGTCGGCGACTCGTCGGTGATTCTCTCAGTTCGCGTCTTTGTTCATTCACACTGCGTGATTGTCACTCGCGTGAACGAGCGCCGATTTGCCTGTGATTTCGGGCATTTGTCGGCGATTTCTCAAAACCTGTCGGCGAGCCAAAATCGTGGCTAAAATCATGCAGTCTGAACTCGGCATAACACGCATCAATGAAGACGTGTAGTAAGAAAATATGTTCAGTTTTGACTTTTTATATGGAGCAGTATTTCCACTACACTAACAGGACTAAACTATATTGGTCTAGGCTGTGTTCACTCACATGTCATGCTCCAGAATGATAGCGATGCGATGCATGTGAAGCCAGCGCTGCCAGAAGTTAGCGTCCATGGACAGGATTGGCTTCCAGTAAGAGGCAAACTGCGATTGGCTGGAGTCTTTAGAGCCACTGTGCTGGAGGGAAAGGACCTGATGGAGAGCAGGATTGTGGTTCGCATGTTAATATATCACCATTGAGAAACATTATCACAATTTAACCCTAAAATCGTATTCTGGACAAATGTGGGCAAAATAGTTTTGATTTATTTTAAAAAAATATTTCCCTTGATCTGAGCGGTCCAAGACTTGGCTACTTTTCCTAAGTTTGCCTCCTGAACACATGCAATTTTTTTTTTTGACTCAATTCTACAATGTTAAGTGGGTGAAAAAAAACTCCTTAATCTTGTATTTGGGTCAAAAATGGGCACCCATAGAAATGAATGGGAAAAACTGTAATTTAGAGCATTCTAAAATAAGCCAAAATAAGACACCAGGTGACAGCAAAGTCACTTCATCTTTAGGTTTTAGCTCTAAGAACTTATTGGAATGATATTTTAATGTAGTTAAAAAAAATCAAACAAAAATAAGCATAAATTACATAGAAAATATGGTACTTTTTGAAGTAAATAAATTCAAAAATACCCCCAAAATAAAATAAACACACCATAAATGGATAAACAAAACTTTATCGAAGACAGTGATATAACATTTATAATAAATAAAAATTAGGATCACACTTCTGTGCCCACATTTGTCCACAATTACAGAATAAAGGGCTAAAGTGAATACGGTTTGAGGGCTTCTATAAGTATTTTCTATGTGAATATATGTAATTTATTCCTGTGATGCAAAGCTGAATTTTTAGTGTCACATGATCCTTCAGAAATCATTCTAATACGATGATTTTGTGCTCACTCACCGGTGTGGTCGAGCCAGGTGGGATGTAAAACAGAGGAACGCCATTTTTTGTGCTTTCGGGGATGGTGTAATGTTCTGGGATAGAATTAAAGGACTGCAGGTGCACTAACATCTGGTCGGTCTGATTTATGCTGTTGAGAACGAACGACATACAGCATTACTATATCACAGTAAAGTATCTAAAAACTTCCTTCTGCAATGGCTGTTCAAGTTTATAACCGAAATCTGACCTCTGCAGAGTGTTCCAGAAGCGACGGATGACAGACGTCCGGTAAGGGCTTGTGATTGGTTTCCGCATGGTGCAGCTGATGTCATGGAGGATGTCATAACTGCCCTCCATGGTCACCTCCACCCAGGTGGTGCGTTTGAGTGGATCCAGGGGCCAGGACGCCACGGCAAGGTACTCGATGCGCATGTTGTGCTTCCAGAGGAGGACAAGCTTCAACTCCAGCTGACTTCCTCCTTATGGAGATGATTACATGATGATTGAGAAATCCCAATTACCAAGGCTGCATTAAAGGTGCAGTGTGTAAATTCTAACGGCATCTAGTGGTTGCGAATTGCAACCAACAGAAGTTACGGTTGCCGACAGGAAATGATGTCACAACCAACATACAGCATGATGATGCTGTATGGTAATGTCAGTTTGCTTTACTGTGTTCATGATCTGTCTAAATGCAGCAAATTTTGCCTTGCACTTCTGTAACTGAAGATGAAATTCTTTTCCAATGTAGCCACGCCCCCAAACTCACGCTATAGGTTAAGAATAATCATACATCCTTCACCTTTAAACACATAAAATACATAATTTGCGCAAGATGTGGCATTGAAATATTTCAACTTTTGAAATATTTGAACTATTGAAATATTTCAACTATTTCAACTTAATGCCACACCTTATGAAGTATATGTTAAAGTACCTTTAGTGATGTTAATCTCTCGGATGGTGTATCCCTCTCTCAGTCTGATAGACAACACGCTGATCAAATCAGCGTGCACTTCCTTCTCGGTGTGTTTCTTCCTGCGCATCACTAAAGCGGGGTTTCCACTGGCCGACACCAGGTGTTCATTAAAGAGCCTGTGCTGGGAGACTAGAAACACAGAGGACACAGACCAGTCATTACAGTGCTGTTTGCATAACCTAATGTGTGTGTGTGTATCAAAGAGTTCAGATGCAAAAGCCTCTAAATGCCATTTGAAATTTTCTTCTTTAATGATGATTTTTATCAAACTTGTATATTTAAGTTCAGTAATTTCACTTAAATAACAATTAATAGGTAATTATCATTGCCATTTAAGTGAAATCACTGAACTTAAATATACAAGCTTGATAAAAATGATCATTCTAGAAGAAAATTTCAAATGGCACTTAGAGGCTTTTGCATCTGAACTCTTCATATCAATTTGTATATCATATATCAAAGCCAATCAAATTCTAGGTGTATATAGACTTTTTATAAGTGAAAGCAAAATCAAATTCAGTTCAATGCTTCCTTTCAAAAATGACTCAGCATCTTTAAACATTGCGAAAGGAAATAAGCAGATGACTGAGTGAAACTCACATGACTAACTTTTGACCAAATGTCAAGAGCATCTAATGTGATTGTGATTTTGCATAATTGTGAAGCAGAACTGAAAGTTCACAGACAGGGTTGAGATACCAAGCTCTGAGAGCTCTGTTATTAAATGCTTTGCTTTGCTATCTGATGATGTATTGTAAAATAATTAGTATTTTAAGTGGACAGAGCAATCCTCTCTTAGAAATATTCAGGGAAGCACAAAACACTAAACTTGGTTAAGGTATTTATCTGAGAAAACGTTTTGGCAAAAAAGGCAGGTTTTATTTCACTATGCAAAACAAAAATGCATAGAAAAACAAAAAGTTCCCAGCATGCATTGACTACAGCATAATCAGTTATTAATATTTTTTTGGTTCTCTCTTGTTTATGCATGTGTTCATAATTAGTTTGCATGACCGTCTGGCCAAAAATTATTATGTTGGCACAATTTAATTTTGCATAATCACAAGTAAAACAATTGACTCCAAGCGCAACTATAGACCATGTTGCAAGATGTAAACAACTCTGGTCCAGAAACACTTCCTGTTTCAGTTTGTAACCGTTTTCTTTATTTCACATGTAAAGAAAACATCTTAAAGATGTTTGTTTAACTTTTTGATTCAGTTTTATATGTTCTGTTGGTTGTATTTTATCCCAGCTTTTATGTAGTGTTAAAAAACTGAAACAGGAAGTGCTTCTGGACCAATCTTGCAAAATGGTCTATACAATACGCAAAGAAAAAGTTTAACCCTTTAATAATAATTTCAAATAAAGGGTGTCAATTTTCCTAGGTCGGACATCATGTTTGGCCACTGCTGTAGTGTAACAGTATATTTCCTATATTATAAGATATTGCAGGCTCATGTTTCAAGAAAAACCATGGACAGTTTGAAATGTCAAAACAATGAAATACTCAGCAGGACCTTCTGTTAAGCCTGAGTTGAGCTTACAGCAGTAGTACTCCGGGTTCATGGACTCGCCGGTCCTCAGGAAGGAGTATGTGAGGAAGGAGCGGTGGTAAGCGTTCATCTCGTCGCCGGTCGAGTCGGACTCGGGACACATGGACAGATAGGAGCCAAAGGTTGCCATGGAGATGAACTTCATCAGCTCCACGTTGGGGATGTAGCCGAAACTACAGTCGTAGGAGTATGCGCCGCCCACCTGAGGGAAACACATTTGAACAAACGGGAATATTATTGCTTTATAACGGACCGGTTACACATGCAAACTAAATCTAAAATATTGTTCAAAAGTTTGGGGTCAGTTTTTTTTTTTTTTTTTTAAATAAATGAATATTTTTATTCAGCAAGGACACAATAAATTGATGAGAAGTGACGGTGAAGACTTGTATAACATTTAAAAATATTTCTATTAGGGCTGGGCAACGATTATTCGCGATTAATTGCATCTAAAATAAAAGTTTGTGTTTACATAATATATGTGTATGAGCTGTGTATAATTATTGTACATGAAAAATTCACACACGTGCATCTATATATTTAAGAAAAATGTGTTATTAATATATGAACTATTAATATTTATTTAATATATTTTATACACACACACACACACATATATATATATATTATTTATGCATATATTTCTTAAATATATACATGCATGTGTGTGTGTGTGTGTGTGTGTGAAAAATGTGTTATTAATACATAAACTATTAATATTTATTTAATATATTCTCTCTCTCTCTATATATATATATATATATATATATATACACACACACACACACACATATAAATATATATATATATATATATATATATATAGTATATTCATACATATATTTCTTAAATATATACATGCACGTGTGTGTGTGTATTTATATATGCAAAATAATTATACAGACCTACACACACATATATTGTGCAAACACAAACTTTTATTTTGGATATGATTAATCGCGATTAATCGTTGCCCAGCCTAATTTCTATATATCATCATTTAATTTCATCATTTTCAATTGTAATAATATTTCACAATATTACAGTTTTTTTCTGTATGTATTGATGAAATAATCTTAGCCCTGATGAGCAGATTTTTGTTTTAATACTAGGGATGCACCGATACCACTTTTTAAGGATCGAGTACGAGTACCGATATTTTTTTCCTGGTACTCGCCGATACCGATACCGATGCCTGATTTTCTAAGAACAACACAATGAGACTAATGAACATATAAGCATCTTTATTTTTTTAACAACAAACTTTAACCAATAAATTTAGAGTGGTTTATTGTCAAGAACAATGAATTGGGTAAGCATTTCTGTTATTTTTATTGCTCTTGGGTTATCTTTTGACATTTTCTCTTGCCTTGAAAAGGTTTGCTGCAAAGTTTGTTGCAGAGTGCTAGTGCTACTGCTAGTGGCAAATTCACCGTGCTCACTTTTGTATTTAAATTTCAGATGTTTTATCAAGTTACTTGTATTATACTGGCTTTTGTACCTCCTCTCGATTAGGGGTGTTAATGGTTAAAACCGGTTAGCCGATTAACCGTTTAAAATTGTGGCGTCAATACATTTGCACAAAACGTTTGCGTTTTTTTTCTTCTGAATGTCGATAAAAAAATATTGTGAAATGACAGCGTTTCTATTAAAGATGTTATGCGACTAAAGCATTTTTTTTCTTTCGCAATAAGTCATTCCAAAAATAATGGCAACGGTCTATATCACAACCACCGCACTAAACATTAGCCTATTATTATTTATGTGAGGAGACGTCGTGTGTCATCCAAGCATTAATGGCAGGCAAAGACACAGAGTTTCTTTGTGTTTCTCCCTCATTTCTGCTCCGAGGTCTTGATTTTGGCATTTCTTTGAGGTTTTGTCTAGTAGGCTATTCCTTAATCTTTTATGATTTAAAAAAAAAAAGAACTCTGCCTCGTATTATGTCCAAACGGTCAGTGTACTTGTTTTGTGTTCATTCGTCTCCCCTTATTTAATCCATAGGCCTAATTGCAAAACGAAAAATGAATGGTTATTTTGTAAAACGCAAAGTTGAACACCAAAATGTTCATTTGAACTGTAGGACTACGTCAAATGCTGCGCAAAAAATATATAGGATAGGCTATACATATCGACGAATTTTCAGATATTTGTTTGATTTTTTTTGCCCATTTAAACATTTAAAATATTTGGCAAATGAATATGAAAAAAAAAGATTTTACTGGTTTTCTGAGGCCAAATTAGAACCTGGAAATGATATTTTCCCGCAGTAATGAATGAGTAGAGCCGTAACTAGCCTACAGAAAGGAGATTTATAGATGATTTATAAGATATAATAAATGTGTCTGATAATAAAATAATATAAAATAACGAGACATTAATTGTTTGTTAATAAACTATTGTTTTCTAAATCAGTTTCTGCTAAAAACAAATCTCCATCCCGGATCCACCTTTAGAGAGAAATACATAATTATAGGCTACATAATTACATCAGAAGATATTGGCTTTCGATTCGAATTTGTTCGTTTTAAATTGGACATTTAAAGCTAAAGCTTTAAATGTCCAATTTAAAACGAACAAATTCGAATGCGGCTGTTTCAGTTCTCGCGCTTCAGTTCACGGAGATCATGATTCATGAAGCGCGCCTGCTGTTAAAGCACAACGTTTTCTTGTTATTGTGAGTTTACGCAAATAAATGTATTTGTCAATAATGTATTATTATTTTCTGTATGACCAGAAATCAAAGAGTATTTTAAGTTGTTTCCACTGAAAGAACTGCAATGAAACTGCAAGTGTTCACATGGGCGTCTCGCAGCCATCAGTGCACGCTCCACACTAAGCACAAACACTGGATATGCGTCAAAATATTGTGTTTATTTGTGCTTTGATCCTTTTTTGGATAAAGGCGTCTACATATGCAGCCTAATAAAATGTTACAATAATGATGATGATCATAAATATTTATTTGCGGACACTGAGTTTTTGCGAAATGGACTTGTTTCTGTAGGCTATTTTCAATTGGCAATTTCAGTTTGAATGGTGATGGAAATGTGCCTACTTTAACTGCTCTGTACTTATCACTGCGTTTTATTTCTATAAATTAATTCGTTTCAAATGGGGTCCAACCAGTTATTAAAGGTTTTAAAAATTAACTCTGTATCTCGACGTTGCAGCGCTCACACTATGGTTAACCGAGTATTAACGGTTAATGAAAAACTTGAAAACGTGCAGCCCTACTCTGGATATTAATGCAGAAATAATCGTGCAGATTGCCATGCGTGGGTCGTCATCATTGATTTTGAAAATATTTCCACACTGCTGAGGCTGACATTGCATCTGGTGTCTCTGTGTGCACTGGAAAGTTCTGTCAGTTACGTCGCGTGAGGTATCGGTCTTTGGTATCGGGGTATTTTTACGAGTACGAGTACAAGTACATGAGCTTGGTATCGGGCCCGATACCCGATACTGGTATCGGTATCGGTGCATCCCTATTTAATACCGACCTCAAACCCTTTGAATGGTAATGTAAAGAGCATTAATATATTTGTGGCAGCCAGACTGAACATGAACATGTCAAAATGGATCTGAGCAGTACTTGAACAAAGGAACAGGCGATGGTTCCACTTCTCAGCTGGTTCAGCAGAGTCTCACACACAGCTACATCAGGGACGCTCGTCACTCCGTCTGTGATGATTATTATACCTGCAGGACAGCACAAAAGATGATTAATTGTACGTCATGCATTAGTGCCCACTCAGCAGCTGAACACATTTTGTTTCGCTCTTAGCCATGGCTAAATGGAGTCTTTAAAATCATTCATAGTATAATTAATTTTGTTTCTGGGTGCATTGATTAAAACTAATGAATAAATGGTTTGTATTAATTGTATTAAAGGTTTGGTTCGGACCAAAAAAATAATAATTTAGTCCGAACAGTATTTAATAATAAAAGTGTAAAAGTACAGTATAAAATAATAATTTAAAATGAACAGTATTTATATAGTTTTTATCACTTGGACGTGGCTGTGGTTACAAGAGGTAAAACGATATAAATACTGTTGGTTTTCTCACACAAACCGCTCGTTTTGTGTCTTAGGCCATCAATGTGTACTTACATTTACGAGTCATTAAATCATGTTTAATTCGGACTTCTCTGTGCATGCTCTTTAAGGTGGTGACCATAGACCTCCATTATATGACTGACAGACAAGAACGATTTGACCTAAAAATATCAAAATTGAAACTACTGTGGAAACAAAGACACCTACATCTTGGATGCACTTGAGGTAAGCTAAAACATACCAAAAATTAATTTCAAAGTGAACTATCGCTTTAAGTCGAAGTGCACCAGAGTTCGTTTGGAAGTGGACCGAGACTCGGATGGATGGCAGCGTTCACACTTGTTCAAATGAAATCGCACCAGAGTTCGTTTCAATCCAACTAAACATGCCAAGTGTGAACACACCCTATATGTGATGCTCACATCATGTGGGGAACGGGATAGAGACACTGACCTGCACCGGAGTTTGGAGGCAGAAGTTGCAGCGCCAGAATCCCCTGCCTCACCATGCTGACCAGCCCCACATCGGCCGTCACCATCGAAACCCCCGGCTTCCTCAGAGACGGCTCCTCCACAGCCTCATTGGAGAAGGACTGATAAACAGATCCATTGAACTGAAGAACGTACAGAGAGATGTTTTATAGACATAAAGTGTCTAATGTAAGAAACTCAAATCTTATTGCAAACATACACTACTGGCCAAAAGTTTGGGGTCGGTAAGATCGTTTAATATTTTTGAAAGAAGTCTCTGTCTCTTTATGTGAGCAAAAATACACTAAAGACTATTGTGAAGTATTATTGCAATTTAAAATGACTGTGAATAGAAGTTAAAATATAATTTATTCCTGTGGTCAAAGCTGAATTTTCAGCCCCACACTGCACTTTTTAGGATTTTTTGATTAATAGAAAGTTCAAAAGAAAATATTTGAATTAGAAATATTTTGTAACAATCTAAATACCATTAGTGTCACATTTGATAGATTGAAAGCCTCCTTAATGAATAAATGTATTAATTAAATTAAAAATCTCTCTATCCCAAACTTTTGAATAGTAGTGTATGACAAGAAGACGCTGTAAAATTACACATGAACACTAATTAAGAAACAACATATGAGAGGTTATGCAAACTTAGCACACAGAACAATGGTGCCTTTTATCATTTTACACTCGATAACGGTAAAACCCGACTGTTTAACTCTGGGGGAGTGGTAAAATGAGCCTATTTCCAAAAAAAAGTGGAGTATCCCTTTAAAAATCATAAAAATGTTACCGGCCAACTGGCCAACTTTGACATATGTCAAAAAAGGTACTCGAATCAATCACTGGTATTAATAAAGATCCATTCTTACAGATCATTAACTAAAAAAAAGTTGGTTAAGTGTTTAGTTACTCTTTAATATATTTTGATGTTCCTCTGTTCTTTTGTGACAATAAAAGACACACGTTTCTATTATTTTAGTTAAAACTTATACATAACTACAAATAACTAATGTTAGGGAAATCTGTTACTGTTTTGTTGCGCGTTTCTGGAAATAAGAAAATAAAATATCGGCTCATATATCGGATTTCAAAACCAACAAATATTTGTGTCGGTAATGTACCATTGTCTTGACATTTGTATAGTATAGTTGTTGTCGTTGTTGTTTTTATTATTATTTCTTTTTATTTATTTAATTTTTATTTTGTATTTTTATATTTTATTTTTCTTTCTGTGCTTGTTTTAATGTAAATGTTTCTAAAATCAATAAATACAATGTTGAAAAAAAAAATATATATATATATATATATATATATATATATTTGTGTCGGCCTTCAAAATCCTTTATCGGTCGGGCTCTAGCCTGTATAAAAACCACAAGCGCTCTTGCCTGATTGTGCTGCTGCTGCTGTAGGACGTCGGCGATGCTGCTCTCCACGGCTCTCAGCTGCTGATAGATCTGATGCAAGAACTGCTCCAAATCCATGCAGTCCAGCTGACAGCCCTGAACCAACACCTGAAGGGCAGAATCATGCCATATAACCGGTCAGAAGACGCGCTCTCAACTAATGTGCATTATATAGACTCACAATGATCCAGACCTGATGAGAACTAAGGCCAATGATGGAGGAATACGCCAGAATCGTGATGAAGATCTCTGGCTGGAACAGGTGATCAGTTCCTGGGACTTTAAAGGGTTTCGCCAGACCAATCAAGCACCGAGACAGAGCATGGAAGACTTCGTCAAAGATCATCTCTCCTGTGCTGTCATCCTGAAGACAAGAAACATGACAACGCACTGTTAAAGGACAAGTTCAGTGTTTTACACTTAAACCCCTTTAGTGTCACGGGCCCACCGGTGGGCCCAAATCCATTACATTTTTAAAACAGTATTATCCTATACTGAACCTAAACTAATCTTGACAAACTATATATCATTTGAAAGCTTAGAATGTCTAGTTTTCATCAAAATATATTACAGAGAAGCCGTAATTTATCAATTTGCAACAGGAATATTTTTATACCATAAGGCGTGTTTAGACCTTTATTTTGAAATTGTGATGAACATGAAAAATCATGAAAGAAGGGTAGAAACCTGTTTGTATTCATGCCAAGAGTTCAAAAGAAAGCCTCCATTCAATTATTTTATAATTATAATAATTATTATTTCATATGGAAATGGAGGCGCCCTTATATGGGCAGTAATGGAGTCTGGTTGTGCCCTAAAAAAAAAAGTTAATTTTTTGAGATATCAACCTAAAATTTGAAACACAACTTATTCAGATTTTTGGCTTTGATTTTTCAGCAGTTTTAGAGTCGCCAGGTTTTGAAAATATATATTTTATATAAAATATGAATAATAAAAAATTTTATGCACATTTCGAATGTGCATATTGTACATTTTCATAAACTCAAACTTCTATAACTTTTTTTCTGTTTCACATTCTTAATTTATTTCACTTCTACAAAAATCTGCCAAATGTCTTCTTTAAAACGAGACCAATTTTACGTCTATATTCCAAAGCATTCTTGAATTACAACCATTTAAGTTCTAAATGTGCATTTTCATCTATATTAAAAAAAAAAGGGGGGGTGACACTTAAAGGGTTAAAGGGATACTTCAGGATTTAGCATTCAGCTTTGTATTAGTAGAAAACCTGTAGTATTTTTGATTGTCTTTTTCGACAGTTTCTGGTCTCATTGACTTCCATAGTAGGAAAAAATATATACTATGGAAGTCAATGAGACCAGAAACTGTCTGGTTACTGATATTCTTCTAAATATCAGAAAATGGATTCAAAAACGGTAAACTGTTTAACTCTGAGGGAGTTGTAAAATGAGCCTATTTCCAAACAAAAAGTGGAGTATCCCTTTAAGTGTAAAATACCGAACTTGTCCTTTAAAAGAGTTGATTCCACTTTAAACAAGCCACTGAATATGATGATGGCAATGTCTTACCACGATCCCGGTGGACGGGCTCAGGTCCAGCTCGATGATGAAGCGGTACCGACGAGCCAGGAAAGTCACGCGTGTGGAGGGAACCAGCAGACACGAGCAGGACGAGGGAGGAGAATCGGGCTGCCATCCTTTCGGGGTGATGCTCAAAACATCCAGCGCATTCTCGGACTTCAGCTGAGGAGATGCAACACAAACATGACCAGACACACACACACACACACACACACACACACACACACACACACAGAGAGAGAGATTCTCATAGGGTATGTATGATCATGGGATACAATGTCATGAGATCCATGAAGATCTGAACTGATCTGGGTGAAAGCTATAGTTTGCTTTTTCATGGTATAGAAGGAAGACATTAGACATGCATGGAAATAGAAAAAGTTATTAAAGTAAGATTAATAAACTGATATTTGCCTATTTTGAGGTTATTGTTATCAGCTTGTATATATTGTATCTAGGGCTGTCAAACGATTAATCGCATCCAAAATAAAAGTTTGTGTTTACATAATATATGTGGCTGCACTGTGTATAATTATTTTGTATATATAGAAATACATACACATGCATGTGTATTTCAGAAAAAAAGATTATTTATATATAAAATATTTATATTTATATATAATATAAATTATATATAAATCTATATACATAAAAATATGTTTTTTAAATATATACAAGCATGTGTGTGTATTTATATATATAAAATAACTATACACAGTGCACCCACATATATTATGTAAACACAAACTTTTATTTTGCATGCGATTAATCGTTTGACAGCCCTAATTGTATCAAATAAGTGTTCATTTCATTTAATGACTACCATCAATACACTACCATTTAAAGGTTTGGGGTCAGTAAGATTAAGAAAGAAATTAATGTTTTTATTCAGCAAGGACATAGGTGGAAGAAAATACATTTATAATTGTGCAAAAGATTTCTGTTTTAAATAAATACTGTGCTTTCTATTCATTAAACAATCCTGAAAAAAATGTGTCATTCTTTCACAAAAAAATATAAACCAGCAAAAATGTTTTCAACATTGAAAATAAGCTCATATAACAATGTAGACAGGAGTAATGATGCTGAAAAATCAGCGTTGGCATCAGGAATTAATTATGTTTCAAGATATATTCAAAAAGAAAACAGCTCTTTTAAATGGTAATATTCCTGAATATTACTCTTTTTATTTTTGATCAAATAAATGAAGGCTTGGTGAGCAAAAACACTTACTACTAACCCCAAACTTTTGAACGATAGTGTATGAGGAGTAAATCACCTATCAGTCACCCTTTTCTCCATCAGAAAGCCATCAGTCGACAACTAAATAATCTCTTACCAGCTCAGACGGTGGACTGGGCCGAACGACCTGATTGAGCCGGCTGAGGAACCAGGACAGACGCACGTTGCGTGATATCCTGTACTCCTCCTTCATCAGCAGGTACACATGCTCAGCCTCCTCCACCTTCACACACACAAAACACATTTCATTATAGGAACAAAATGTCATCTTAAAAAAATGCCTGGTCTTTGGCTTTTGAAATGTGAGACGATCTGCTTTTAGCAAGATACAATGGCGATAATGATCCTCATGATGTTGAATGTGTTATGCGGTACAGTCAACGTCCGCCATCTTACTACAGTATCACATTTACGGTGCATAATCGTATATGAAACACTAATTAACCAGCAAATTCCCCAGATATTTTAAAAGTCTGGAACATAGTGAAAACCTCTGTCCATTTCCAGTTCACAAATTCAAAATAAAGGCCCTAGTGCAAGTTCATAAATACACAGGCTGGAGAGGAATGTGTGTATATGTATATATATATATATATATATATGTATATAAATATAAAGATATAGATATAGATATACATAGATATATAGATATATAAAGTACAATGGGGTCCAAAATCTGTACCCACTGCCATTTTCTAATTTAATATTAAAACACATAACTAATGATATCATCACAACAACAATTTGAGTGCAAAGTTTAATTAAAAGTCAGGGTCAGATATTAAACAGGGCAAAAAGAAAGTGACAAAAATACCCCCAGATAGCACAAACATTTCTACATTTGATATATTTCATCATTTTTATCTGGTTATGATTATATCTATATACCTGTATTCACTGTCCCTCTGAAAATGTTGTGCGTGCTTAGTTATTATAAAGTTGTTAATTTACATTAATTGATTCAATCGAAGGATTTGATTTAAATAGACAGCACAACACCTAAAAATATGGCATCATAAAATTAAAAAAATGCCTTAAATAAAAAAAATAAAATGAATCCTCTGAGAAACAGAATAAAACTAACATTTCAGATTTCACTTTGGACATCAAGTGGCGACTAAATAATCAACCAAAACTGTTTATCAAACAAAAGTAAAGGGAAACAAAAAGGGCTTTTATAGTTTTTTTTTTTTTTGACATGTCTGAAAAATGAGTCCAGTGCTGAGAGACACTTGCTGCAGTTGTTGTCCCACAAACTAGATTTACACTGCTGGAGAATTTTAAAAAGCTTCAGCTAAATTTGATGGCCAGCGATAAATACATGCAGTGTGCCCACATTTAATGCCATTTAAATATGATTTACGAACAGCATGTTGTTGTTGTGTAGTCTGAGGGAGTGGCTGCAAACACATGACAGAACTGCATTCATCTAATTTATTCCCAACCTCTGCGTAAACTCTTTGCAAATATCTCTAATTTAAAAAAAGAAAAAAAAGATTTATTGCAGAAAATGCATTCAGTGTAAGACATAACAGAATAAAAGTCTCAAATGTATTCTGAAATAAACGTGTTCCTCCTGTTCTGTTTATTTGCTCTGTTACCTAACATGTAAACAATTTCCGAAGTGGAACTGAACAAAACAAACAGTCAAAGTAAGAATTTAACTTACCTCATTGTCCTGTCTGTCTGCCATGCCGTGCTTCGCATTACTGGCGGGTTGTTTTTGAGCGAGTTTTAGAGGGTTTGTGTCAAAATCTGTAAACTGCAGCTCGTCTGACTGCAGCTGCTTCACTTCCGGTTCCCCAATTTAAAATAAAAGCCCTCATGAATGATCCATAGACCGATCATACACATCATATATGATTACACATGATCTTGTGTACAGGTTATAGAGAAAATTGTGTTTGTGTACGAATGTACATTACAGTATACTTAAGATACAAATGTACAAATTCAACTTTGGTAAAATTGGTATGGTGATAATATCATTGGTAGAATTAATTATTATTTATTTAAATTCTCCTGGTTGTATTACCAATTATAATATTTCCCCATACCAATTTGAGTGAAAAGTCTATGGAATGTACATTACAGTATACTTAAAATTTTTCAAAAACTTTTTTCTCACTACGGTGGTAATATAATTGGTAATGCAACCAGAGGTATTTAATAAAAAATAATAACAAAATCTACCAGTGATATTATCACCGTGCCAATTTGGCTGAATTTGAAAAGTAAGGAACCATTCTTTTGGGTGCGTTTTGACAACCGGACTCGAATTACTGAAGCGAGTGTTTGTTTACTTCCGCTCAGTGTCGTTGCGCCTGTCGCTGTAAAATGCAGGTAAACTGATAAAAACATTCTCAATTTAGGCCCTTTTTTGCAGCTGTTTTGCATTTCGAAAAACATACTTATAAATAATGACTCTAGCACGCAGATAGTTTGCGAGAAGATGACTTTTTTGCCGTTGGTTTTTTCTGCTGGCATGCTAACTGTCGATACAGAAAAACGCGTTAATGGTAATTGTTGTGTTTGTGTTGTATAAGAGCTGAAGGATGATCTGTTTGTGTTTTATTTCAATAGCAGCGGGAGGAGAAGCAGCTGGAGGCGTCTGTGGAGTCTCTGGTCACTCGAGTGGCTCATCTGAAAGGTTCCCTGCAGAGTTTCATTTATAAACTGGAAAATGAGTATGAGAGGCTCACGTGGTGAGTAAGAACTACACCTCTTTCCTAATCAACTCCACATTTTTGCTATGTTGACGCTGATGTTTTGGATTCAGGCCCTCTGTGCTGGATAATTTCGCCCTTTTGTCTGGGCAGCTGAACACCATCAACAAGCTGTTGAGAAACGAGAAGACCCCATCATACAGGTCACAGGTCATCATCCCTCTGCTGCTGTCTCCTGATCGAGATGAAGAGCTGGCGGTAAGCGCTTTCACAAAGTCACCCTGGTTATGATGACACCATAACCCGCAAAAACGGGCCTTTTAATTTCAAGATGCAACCTTTTGTTACTTCTCAGAAACTGACAGAGCAGCGAGTGCCTGTGTTCAGCCATGAGATCGTGCCTGATCACCTCAGGACGAAACCTGACCCGGAGGTCGAGGAACAGGAGAAACACCTGAGCGCTGAAGCGGCCCGGATCGGACCTGAAGTAGCCCAGGTGAGCACGAAATTCAAAGCAACACCCTCGCGACCATTCTGGACACTAGTAACCACGTCTACGTCCTTTTAAACTCAAATCTGATGGCCCAGATGTTCAGACTAAATGAAGCTCGTTTAACCCTCTGATACACTTGCGATCAAAGCAGACAGAAGACAATGAATAAAGAAATAAATAGTCAAAGGTTAAACACCAGATCTCACTTGAGTAATTGTATTACCATTTTTCATTTTAGTTGAAGATATTTTTATATTTAGAGATTATTTATAGAATTTTTTTTCTACAAGAGTTTTACTAACCTTTAAACCTCTGTAAACACAGCAAGGATTAGGCCTTAGTTTAATTAGGACATTTAAAGTAGCTTTTATAAATGTTTCTCAGTAAAAACATTACTCGTAAGCATCTTGAGAGAAAACAATGGAAATATTTAAGATGCATCAGTGCATCAGTTAAAAGAGCTCAGCTTGTGAAACCGGGGGATTAAAATGTGGTTGTTGAATTTTGTTCTGTTTTCTTTTTAGAAACAGATCCAAACATTGAATAAACTTTGCTCAAGTCTTTTGGAGAAGCTGAATAATCCTCGTGACGACAGAGACTCTGAAACATCAGGTAAACATTACCCGTCGCTCCAGTGTTTCATGCGTTCAAAGTCACTGATGTTAAAAACGGATTCTTCTATTCAGCTTTAAGACAAAACAAGCCGTCCTTCAATCCGGCCGACACTAACGCGCTGGTGGCAGCCGTGGGGTTCGGGAAGGGTCTGTCGAAATGCAGACCACCTGGACCCGTGGCCCCGGGTCACCCCGGACAGCCGATGATGTCAGCGGGCCCCACGCTACACCAGGTCACCGTCGCCGGGGCCTCGGGTCATCAGGCTGGCATGGGCGGACAGGTCACCCAACAGCAGCCTGGACAACCTGGTACAACATTTAATAACATTCACAAACACATTTAGGCTTGAGATCAGCATTGATCATGCTAATTACATGCTCTGTTTTAACAGGTAAAATGCCCAGCAATATCAAGACTAACATCAAGTCTGCATCTGCATCCATGCATCCTTATAACCGATGAGTTTCATGCATAAGTGTGGCATTTTTTTTTTTTTTTTTTTTTCTGATTCGATGTTGTGAGATAAAAAAGCTAATTTGTTTTGTGCATTTTCAATAAACGAGTTTGTTGAAAGAATCAAGTGTCTAATCTTATCACAATCAGGATTGAGGATTTCAAAGAAGGAACATAGTCTGTTTTAGTCACTAGATGGCAATATTGGCTTTTTTAAATGTCTGACCAATAAGTGCTAAGTAAACTTTAAGAAGTTTAGGACCAGGAAGATATTTTTTATATCTTTTATTCAGTGATGAATTAAATTGATTTAAAAAAAATGACATTAAAGGCATGTTACAAAAATGTCTATTTCAAATAAATGCTGTTTCTATTAACCAAAGAATCCTGAAAAAAAAAAAAATCACATATCATGGTTTCCACAAAATATGAAGCAGCACAATTGTTTTCAACATTGATAATAATAATCAGAAATGTTTTTAAGCATCAAATCATCATATTAGAATGATTCCTGAAGGATCATGTGACACTGAAGATTGATGCTGAAAATTCAGCTTTGTTCACAGGAATAAACTGCATTTATAAGCATTTAAATTGTTATAACATTTTACTAAAACTCGGAAATCTTACTAACCACTAACTTTTGAACAGTAGTGACTTTTGTTTCACAATGAATAATTAAATTACCTTCTCTAATGATTTAAAAATGTTGACCGGGGAGCTTTCTTTTACAATTTCAATAATGTATGTTCCTCATTTAGGGGAAAACAGTGTTGTAAGTGTGCACTGTAAATCGTTTCATTCTAGTTTGGAGCCATTTTAGTGCCATGGTGTTCTTTGTACCTCACAAACATGATCATCAAAGTTTCTATTATCATTTATTTTCACACGTTGTGTTGCCCCATCAATAAATATCATACACTTTAGGACTGGGCGGAAAGTATTTTTCTTTTAAAGTTCCCCTATTATGTTATTTTAATGGTTCCTAATATAATTTGAAGTCTCCTACAACAGGTTTACTATGAAGGACTAAAAATGACAAAAGGAAAAATAAATAAATAAATATATATATATATATATATATATATATATATAATATATATATACATAAATAAATGTGTAAAAATACAGAAATAGCTATTCATATTATCAAAATGTATTTATTTTAACTATATTTCCTCATTTATTTATTTATTTATTTCTACTTTTAATTATTTATGAAGGACTAAAAATGACAAAAGGAAAAATAAATAAATAAATGTAGAAATATATATATATATATATATATATATAAATGCATAAATATATAAATACAGAAATAAATGCATAAATAAATATGTGTAAAAATACAGAAATAGCCATTTATATTATCAAAATGTATTTATTTTCACTATATTTCCTCATTTATTTATTTATTTATACTTTTATTTATTTATCCTTTTGTCATTTTTAGTCCTTCATAACTATGAAGGACTAAAAATGACAAAAGGAAAAGAAGAAAAAAATATATATATATATAAATGCATAAATATATAAATACATAAATAAATACATAAATAAATATGTGTAAAAATACAGAAATAGCCATTTATATTGTCAAAATGTATTTATTTTCCCTATATTTCCTCATTTATTTATTTATTTCTACTTTTATTTATTTATCCTTTTGTCATTTTTAGTCCTTCATAACACACTGCATGAAAGGGAATATTAAAAAAGCATAATGGGGCACTTTAACCCTTTATCAACTTTGATCTGCAACCATCAGCCTGTGATAACCTTCCAACCAGCGCAGATCCCATGACATCACACACCTTCAGTATCACCTCACATCGTGGGGGTGTTTAATGGTAAATCTAAAAGTGAAAATGAAAGCGGTTTGGGACCCTTGTGAATCCTTCAAGCCAATTAGCACATGAGGAACATCGCTGGGTGAAACACGAATCTTCTCAGAGGACTCCCAAATTTAATCACATTCCTAAATTTGCACATAAATTAGGTATAAAATTCCAGTTCCCTTTTGTGTTTTGTGGGTGTTAATGAATACATAAGAGGAAATAATCGCTGAGAACGAACTGCTTTTGCCCACCAATTTAGAATTATAATAGAAAATGGTCGAAATAATTAGTCATATAGCAATTGGAAAAATTTTCCTTATGCACCCTTTTTTTTAATTCAACGTGACTTGTTTGCATTATTTAGCCAATAAATTTCACCTGATAAAGAAAGTTGACTGTTTAACAGTGTAAAATTATGTAGGATAGTCTAGCCTATGTATTTGATTTATTTTGAAGTGCTTGGGACTTGACTTTTAATGATGAGACTTTTGTTTTGTAATCAGGCTCTCAAAAATCATATACAAATTTGGATTTAGAATATATCTTTATATAAATTATATTATATTAATTAAATTATATAGGCTAATATAAATATCAGCTTTTAAATCTAGAATTATCGGTTATCGGCCAAAATGTTCATATCAGTGCATCCCTAAATGCAAATTTGCAATACTTCAATGTAAGATTTGTCACACAAAAAAAGTCAATTTTTTGTTTATGTGTGTTT